TAATTGCAAGTGAAAGAGACTCGGCCGTTCATAAATAACCAAGCTGCTTTGATAAAGGAAATATTATTATTTTCATGAAACAAATGTACGTACACATTTCGTAATGTCGGTCATCAGTTACGTCTATAGACTTGGTCCAGATGCATTAACTAGCTACGGTAATGTGAAAGGTATCCAATATCGCGTAGAGTTGCATTATTTTATACGGACATCGTACAGTAATTTCTGTAAGGCTTAATACGTTACATGAAAATTAAAAATGCATGTTATAATATGATTTATCTCTGAATTTTTAATATTAATCGGGTAACATTTTCACCCAGATTTATGAAAAATATCTGTCTAATATAAATGTATATTTCTCAATTAGCAAAGAAACAAGTTTAGAAGGCGTGAACTCAGACAAGAGCTAATTAAATAAACACCCACTATTTCCAATGAGAATTTATTACCCAAGTTGATGTCTGTACTTTATTCTCATAGCGGATAATTACATTAGGCAAGTTTATATGAACCCAGACCATCCATCTTAGTTTTTATATGACTTCTAAACCATATCCTCCCTAAAGCATATGGTTAAACCATGTTGAAGGCAAACAACACGTTGATACATCGTACAAAAGTACGTGTAACATGATTGAATAGAAATTCAATCACGTTACAAGTGTTATATCCGGAGAGGCTGTCATACTCTCTATGCTACATACAGCTATTTATCTACCGTGGACTATTGTAAAGTAAAACAGTGGAACAATGCCTTCGACGATATAGTGTCGTGCACAGCACAATATGAAACTGATTTAACATGTGCTCGGCGGTGATGGAAAATATCACAAGGAAACCTGGATAAAAATCCGCCACTTGGGTCGTACCCCAATTTTTTAATTATATGGGGAGTATCCATAGTCTTGACATGCCAACGTTCAATCATATTATGGAGTTAAACAAAATTTGTTTGGGGAGACGGCGCATTTGGGTCAATCAATAAGACACGACTCAATGGCGGTCACGACACGACGTGCCCCGTTCGATAGTCTGACGACATGCGATGCCGAATGCTCATGATTGGTGACACAATAGTATGACTAATACATTGTTCGTTAACATGTTCAAACTCCTTCATATAATTAAGTTAATAATTGTTCAAAGCACCTAACTCCTTCATATAATCGATAACCAAAAATGAGTTAGTTATCAGTGTTTCAAGTAACTCGTTATCGTGGTTAGTTATCAGTGTTTCGGTTATTGGTATATTAACACAGCCGAAAATGAAACAACTACAGATTTTCATTTAAGCTTGATACATATAATGTTATTATATACATATAATATTTTATACTATAAGCTTAGTATGACAAATGCCACAGTTCGTAAATGCTTTAATAACCATATAGTACGGTGTACGGACATTGCGTCGAGTGCTAAATACGACATTCAAATAATCTGATAAGAAAGATAACGTTGCTAGATCATATCATGTATTTCCCTTAATCTTATCGTATGCATTAACCCTTGGAAACATCAATGGCGTAGTAAGGTTATGTGAGAAGCAAACTTTGAATGTTCACTTTCATATACTTGATCACTTTTCTTGATAATTAAATAAAAAATAATATTCAAGACACAACCCTGAAACATCGCAAGAAGACAATTCTCTAATAAGAATTTTTAATTCATAAACCGTCTCATTTGACCGTAAAGTCGTTTTAAGACTGCATAGTCATTACTGAAAGCCGAAAGTTAGACATGTTGAAAAACGAGCTGGCCTACGCGAGGTGTGTCAGATCAAACTAGGGTTGCCACACATACTATAATTTATGTATATTATTGTACTGAATTTCAGCCTATTGTACTGTATAATATAGGAAAATAATACAGTACTATATATTCATTGGTAATTAAATTGTCGCTCTTCTTTATATTAACTGTAAACTCGAACATATCCACTGCGTAGCGTGGGGTTGACCGTCAAACCGATTGTACGGAGATATCTACAAGCACTACTACTATAATTTATGTATATTATTGTACTGAATTTTAGCCTATTGTACTGTATAATATAGGAAAATAATACATTACTATATATTCATTGGTAATTAAATTGTCGCTCTTCTTTATATTAACTGTAAACTCGAACATATCCACTGCGTAGCGTGGGGTTGACCGTCAAACCGATTGTACGGAGATATCTACAAGCACTATATTATTTCACGTTGCTTTTACACCGGCTTGATGTCTGGCAATAAAAAGACGTAAGTTCTTTCTTACTCCTTTCTTCTTTTATTCTTTTTTTCTATTTATAGTGATTAATTTACTGATTTCTGGTCTGTGTTAACGCAGTGCCTCCAAAATCTTTTTAGACTCCCGATATCTTCGCAGACATGCCATCGCTTATATGTATAGCGAAAACCGGTTAGTAAAGAAATAATCAAATTTAAATTGTACATTTGTTATTTTAGTTAGGATAAAAGTTGTATCATACCAGATAAAAGATTAGAAGTATTCATTTGCATCTATTTGAGTGTTAAATCGATCACTTAAAATTTATTAAAATGATTAAATTTTCTAATGTACATATATCAGTAACAGTTGGACGCTTTGTGATTTTAACGTGTTGTAATGATGAACGGCGCGTATTGTACCGCAACTGAGATCGTAATTTGCAACGGACGTGTAATGAATTGTATGACGGCCGTTCGGTTTCTCCTTGATATAGATACGCTACAGAGGATGCGTGGATACATTGGGTACATACATATATCGGAGCACAATAGAGGCACAGAGGTACACTTAAGGCGTTAATTGAATTGCAAAACCGCGAATAAGACGGCATACGCAACCCGTTCGGAGGCGAGACCGGCCGATTTCGGCAACATTTCCGTTGTAATGGCTAGTTTACACAGTGCGATCTAGCCTGTCTGCCGAGTAAACGCACTGCAGTAACTCGTTGGACAGCAGCGATAGCTCGCCAGTACCAGCCGAACTGTTTTGGGCGACAACATCTCAAGTGACATCGCGACAACATCTCAAGTGACATCGCGACAACATCTCAAGTGACATCGCGACAACATCTCAAGTGACATCGCGACAACATCTCAAGTGACATCGCGACAACATCTCAAGTGACATCACGTCAACATCTTAAACGACATCGCGACATCTCAAGCGACATCGCGACACAACTCGCAAGTGAGCAGCAGCTACTATGTGTCGTGTAGCAGCTGGAGCCGTGATAGCATCAATGTCCGGGCGCTCGCCTTTAATTCAATATACTCGAACAACCCGAGTTCGATCCCCGGTGCCGGCACCAATGAAATTGTTAATTTTAAGTGCCGAATCATCACGTACTCTGCGCTGAAGGAAATATCGTGAGGAAATTTGCATTTTTTTGAAATAATAACAAAAAAATATTTCGAAGATATGTGAAGTCCGCCAATCCGTAGTGGGGCCGCGTGGTGGACTATGTATAGAGGAGGCCTTTGCCCAGCAGTGGGACATGTATAGGCTGATACTTTACTTTTACTTTAGACAGCTAAGGCGAGCCGAGCTGCTGACATAGGAGTAGACAAGCCGAGTAACTGTCTACTGGCTAGGCAACTCGCACTATGTAAGCCAGCCATAAGGCGAGACGTCTGCTTACGACTACGATCACCGCCATCCATGAACAAACATAACCATTCGTCAGTAAGAGGTCGCTTTAACTAATTCACCAAACAAAACGAAAAATAAATCTAATTTTTATATGCTCATCTCCTGTGAAGTTTTAGTGCTTTTTAGGGAACGAGCAGGCGCTTTGAACATCAATAGTATCATAGTAAAATATGCAAACATTTTTTCCCAGATTATTCGTGTAGGTACTAAAGACCATTACAGAATTGTTCGCCTTCAGTTATTTAATCGCTCTAAAGCTTTTAACTTAGTTGCCTCCTTTATCGCCACACGGCTGATCTTAGAATTCATTATCGATTAATTATTCCACAAAGTCAGTAATTATTTAGTCCGAACTTAGTTTTATCATACAATATTCAGTTTTTAATTTGCTTATTAGATAGTAGAACGCTACATCCTGAAGGCGGAGGAATTTAACAATAACTCCTCATAACTATGCCGTTTTTAAGCACAATGCTTTAGAATAACAAATTCAAAACCGTTGGTTGATAATGAAGAAATTTAAGAATTTCACCGTATTTTGTAAGTCCTAAGTTATCAAGACAATATTGAGCGGTAACGATCGAACAATGGATAATTTGCAGATAAGTGGAGGATGGTTTCGTCATTAAAAACTCTACAGACAAAACGCCTTTAATTATAGATGTCAAAATCATACTTTCCAAACAAAAGAATCAAGGACTAGGAATAAATCGCAATGTAACTGGGTAAAGAATGTACACGTGCGTCTTTCACTGATCAGAATTGTTGAAATCGTGATGGTTAGATACGCATAACAAGAAGCAGGGGAATAATTCCAAGCTTAATTAAAAATACATTACGAGACTATTACAAACAAAAAATAATTATAATTTACTCCATGATCCAACCGTCAGTGACGTAAATATTTCTCGAAAAATTGCGTAGGTCCTTAAGAAAAAAAATCTTATCTATCCGTACAAACGAAAACTGTGAGAGCTTCTCATATCAAACATTTACCGCAAGGCTCGCGCATAGCTAGCTAAGTAGCTCGCCGCTCCCGCATTAACAAACATAAATAAGCGTAATCAATTTATTTAGAAAGAACGTCGTCCGACCTTTCTCGCGGAGGTCGACGCAAAAGAAAATAAATTCTAGACGGCCTTGGTGTATTTACGTCACCGAGGACACGACAAAGAATGGCCAACTAGACATTGTAGCGTCAAGACATTGTCTTATGAGTGGTGAACAACAAAACATGATTAACGGATTTCACGGTCTACAACTTTTCGGATTAGGCTCCGAGGATCTTCTTTATTATCATCACAATTTAAGTTTGGTAGGGTCACGCAATAGTGTTCGCTGTTGCACGAATGGGCAGGCCCGTCCGGGTAAGTACCACGACCTCACAGAAGACCGGCGTAAAGTAGAAGTGTTACACTTCTGCGTTTCGTTTGGTGAGTGCGACGCATTTGTGACCCTACGGGTGTTACAAATGTCCATGGGCGGCGATTCTCACTTAACATCAGGCGAACCGCCAGCTCGTTTGCCATTTTCTCACATAAAAAAAGCAATACAATGCATTGCACGTTGATCTCTATTAACATCCAGGATTTGATCACTAGCTGGCACTGACTGTATACGAGTTTTCCTTGTAAATTTAATTTATTTTAGGTCGCATTGATGCTTTACTAATAAACCGGTTCTGATAACATAACTATATAGTTATGTTATCAGAACTACTAACTCGCATCCGGCTTCCAGCTGATCAATGTGTCTTAAAGGTAAGAAAGACATTTCCTCTACCAGGATAACTCTTTCCGAAGACCAGTCAAACACCAAATGTCATGCTAGTCCAGCTCTAACTAGTTCCTGATTAAAGGCAGAGGTAATATTATTTAAAGGGTCAATACGTATATGTTCTATCTCCGACATATATATTATATCTTCCTATCAGAATAGAATAATACTCGTAATTGATTCAACTGCGAAATCCTGTCAATAGCAGCGTTGTCTGTTATGCCAACTCACAGTTGATTAACAGGTCATAGAGGTAAAAGCAATATTTATGCAAAATCGATATCGTAACATTGGTTCAATTTTTAATACGTACTCTTTGCGATAAGATAAATTGTAACTCGCAAGGTTCATAGATAACGTTAATGTAAAGACAGCTTACCTTATCGTCGCCGATATAGCTATGAACAAGACATTATTTAAATCCAATAAAATACAACGATTATTCTCCAATTTTTATCACACCTTTATGTCATAACTTTTAAATTTAACTCAATTTAATGATCATATCAATGGATATGTTTTCTCCGAAAACCAAATTTTACGAAATAGGTGGCCCTGCAGTTTAGATCGTCAAGTTAAAATGTATAGTACGATACAATTTAATGATTTCGAAACCTAATCATTTTAACAAAACTTAATATTTATACTTGAAACTATATCTTTATGACACGTGAAGGATAATTTGGTATGTGGTAGCACCACGCAACAGTCTTCACTGTTGCACGAACGGGGAAGTACCACAACCACACAGAAGAACGGCGTGAATGAACACTTCTACGTTTTGCCTGGTGAGTGAGGTAACAAGGACACACTTTTTTAAAAGGTGGCAATGCATTTGCAACCCTACGGGTATTGCAAATGCGACTTTCACGTCCATGGGCCGCGGTTTACACTTAACATTAGGTGTATCGCCTATGCGCTGGCCATCTTCTTACATAAAAAAATATTTAGTACTACAGAGACTGTAGTCTGTAGTACAGACAAGAGTAAAATTTCAGTTTTTGTGCGCATTATACAAAACCGATGACTCAATGTTACGGTTTCGGATTTTAGCTCTAAATGGGCGCGAAGTGTTGCAAGTGAGAATTGCACGCAATTTAAGAGACTGCGCGCACTAAATTTAAATCTCGGTAATGATTTTAAATTAAAACACATTTAACCAAAGATGTGGTAAAGGAGATTGACATTGCATTAGTTAAAGCTTATTGCACTGATTCGTGTAAACTGATTGCAATCATTTACTTTAATTTAGACTGCTTTGTTTTTCGTGAACCCCAAATGAGTTAATATTAAAAACATTATATTATACCATATGAGTATGGTAGGAAATGGTGAACAATGACTTAATATTCTATACTTTAAAAGGCAACCGAATAAATTACAATTTGTTCTGATCTAATAGCCGGAATACCAAGTCAAGAAACAAATCTGCGGTACAATCAAACTACCTAGTTAATAGGGTGAATTTGAGAGTCCCAAACATTAAATAGGCAATAAAGATACAGTAGAATGTTTACTTTAAATATCATTATCGTCGAAATATCAGAGCAGTAACTGTCAGACTCGAACAAACTCAAGATTTTGTAGCTCACTTCAATATACTCATGTAAGGCAAACAATGACTTGAGCTGTCGGGATAAAATGAACACTAACTCCGTCAATATTTGGACATACCTATATTTGCCTGTCTGATCATACTTTCAAAGGTCTTTTTTCTTTCACTTATCCCTAGATATGAAGTGTTGACTTGGGATATCGGACTTACAAACCAACAAGTGATCGCGGTTTGAAATTGAATTTCATATTCAGGTTCAATGTCTTTCCTTTCACTCAGATTTGATATCAATGTCTCGCACCGGTTTGGGGCGACAGGCTAGCGGCTCGTCAAGCGAAGACTCAACCAGAGTGCCATGGGTGGCGCGAGACGGTCTCCGACCACCGCTAGGGTTGTGTCGACAGCAGCTTGTCTTTCTACAGCGCGTTGGCGGTTGCACAACGAGCGGGGTCGTTTCCGAACACCGTTAGGGTTGTACGCGCAGCAGCTCGCCTTTTGAGAACCCCGTGCGCGAACACCGTTAGGGTTGTACGCGCAGCAGCTCGCCTTTTGACAACCTGGTGCGCGCGGTTTCGTCTCTAGCGTGGGCGTCTAAACACCGCCAGGGTTGTACTTGTGCTGACAAAAGCTTGCCTTTCGACAGCCACGTGCGCGCGGTTTCGACTCTGGCGTGGGCGGTTGCACAACTCGCGAGTCGTCTCCGAATACCGCCTTTCGACCGCCCCGTGCGCGCGTTTTCGACTCTGGCGCGCGGGCGGTTGCACAACGCGGCAGCGGCCGCGGCAATCAGAGCGCCTCGGCCGGCGGCACGATGCCGTTGGAGCGCGCCGATCGCCCGATAAGAACGATACGGGCGCGCTGTGCGGCGAATCGCACCGCTTTCAAGTTCGAGCGCCGCGTACACGGCAGGTACGTGGACGCGTCGGGTGGTTACGATAGCACACGACGCGCCACGCCGCGTAACGCAGATATGTCGCCATAACAAAACTTATTCGCTGTGACCCAAAAGTAGGGCGGTAATAAGCATACTATAGTGTGTAGTGTCTTGCAAGGTACGTGTAAAAAGTAAAAAGAGGAAAATGTAAAAAATATTCTTAAAATTCATGTTCCTACGATTGACAGTTTTGATGTTGTTTCATTTTTGATGTTGCTGGTGCCGATTCATTCCAAATTAATTGCAAATCAAAACGCGATAGTTACAACATAAAGGATCTCAACGGGCGATATCCTTGAATTGAGCGAGCGTGCGCTTCCTCATATTCCTTTATATCTCGCTGACTGAAACCGGGGCAAGGACGGCTTGTTAAGGCCGACCACGTTATTCGTTCGGAAACTTCCTACTTTACGGAACTGCGAAAGGCTCTTAAACATTTTTGTCCTGAATTTATTATAATTGCCTTGTATTTTTGTTCGCATTTTAATGACGCAACTTGCGCAACTTGGACAACGTCCGTTCGGTGTCGTCGCTCTGCCCTTTAATCCGCTACTTCGAGTAAGGCGTCTTGGTCACTTTATATAATATATTCACGATATGATGTGAAACGGAGGCAACGTCAGTGCTTAGCGAACTCTACTAGTGCCTGGAAAAGACAGATATACATATAATAAAAAAACTATGATATCACTGTTTGTATAATATCACCGGCGCTACCCTTAGACACTGTAGCTGGTCTAGCTCCTAAACGGCTTCAGGGCCATTATGAACTTGACTAGGGATTAGGAAGGAATATTAACATTTTTTTAGAAAAAAAATTAAAACCGTCCAACTTTGTGTAATTCAAGTTTAAAAAGTTTAAACAATTTTTTTTTATTTGAAAAAAAATATAAAATGAAGAATATAAAAATGAAATATATAAAAAAGAATAATGGACTACTGTATTCATTACCATTTACCTTTTTAATACCGGATAATGGAATACGAAATAGCACATACCTGCCGGTTAGTGACATTTCTAAAGCTCTCTAAATCTTAAACTACATTTTATACTGTAAAAATATTTTGTATCTGGATCGCGGAAATAGGTATATAGGTAACATAACAAAATATTACTAAAATCGAAAACATCAACTTTTTTACCGGTCCCCTTCACGTGGAATGCCCAATGATAAATAGATCGGAAATGAAATAGATTCCCAATAAAACGTCAGAGAAGACCAATTCGGTAATGTGACAAATATTGACCGAGTCTGGGATTTTAAGTCAACATCCGCTTGTCTGCACTTCAGTTCAGTTTTTTTCGGCAACGCTTGGGGTTTATTAAACTTCTACAAAGAGCACTTCACAAAGAACCAGAAATATTGAACGGAAGACTTTAATGAAAACTTAAAATAACGCTATTATTACAACACACGGCATATTTACCGAGCCATGATGATGTTTTATACTCAGGCGAGTTTAAAACAGATGAAATTTTTAATTGTAATTCTAAAATAATCACGCGCTCGGCGATGAAGGAAAATATGGTGAGAAATTCTGCATATTTTGGAAATAATTACATAAGATATTTGAAGTTTTCCAATCCGCAGTAGGGTCGCATGGTGTACTACGCCCTAACACCCTCTGTACAGAAAAGCCCTATTGCCAGCGGCTCATGTAAATGCTTTATTTCTTTTTACTTTTTAATATTTCAAATTAATTTTTAACGCGATGCAATGCGACCCTTCCCGTACTGTCACGGACACCCTCTCAGGTTCAGCTAGTACGCTGACAGGGTACCCAAGATCGAGGGTTTAATAAAGTGTGGAAGTCACCGTACGCGCGTAACGCAACAACATCACATACCTTTCTTTGTCTGTGTGCGCTGACTGCGGATATTGCAGAATAGTCTGCTGTCCTTCCATTTCGACGACGCATTGTGTGCCGAGCTCTAGTTCTGCAAAGAAAATGAATGTAAGTTAGCAAGATAATGTATTAAATGTGCAAATCGCATCTCCTTATCTAATCACAAAGCGACTTGTATAATTTACGACATTATAAAGTTTTAATAGATACATCATAACGGTGTTTTATTCAAAAATAATTGATATCAACGTGAAATGGAAAGAAATTAAAATAAATAATAGTTCAAAAAACCTTAAAACAGGCTTTAATGGTAACCTGAACTAAAAAATAAAAAATGAGCCGTCACGGGACGCCTGGCAAATGTGAAACATCGAAATTATTTTGTAAAAGTAATATGCAGAAAACAGATTGTGATAGGAACTAAATATGTCATAATGATAAAATAAAATATTCCGATTTTTTTCCAGATAATGATGATTATTTATTGAATAAACATTAATTTTCATTAAATACAAAAATTTACGAATTTATTTCAAATCGTGACAACTTAGTTCGTTTAATCAGTGACTTCGGTAATAGTACACACAATTAATTAAAGTTAATTTAATTAATTAATAATTAATAAATAATTATTAACAATTAATTTAAATTTGAGTAATTAATCGTACACACTACTGCATATAGACTGTATATATATACCATCATATAGCGTGTGCGAGTGCAGCCGACATTTCATTGCCCGAATGGTTTATCAGTCTAGCTCAGTGGCTACAGCTACGCCAGACGCGAATTCAAATAGTCATGGCGGAAGAAAAAAGTTTTCGTCCATTTTTTTTTTACATTTACATTAGCATTACATTTTTACATTGTACGCGGAACGTGTCGGTACATTGGCTGCAACGAATCGCTACACAAAATCGAGATAGCCGTGACAAGTGTGCAATCGAATTCAACTCACGTAGTAGCGAACGCGAGGAGCTGGAATGTTAATCGCGCATAATCATTTAGCGGCGTCTATATTCCGATAACGAATATAATTCGAGGCGCATGATCGGGATCACCCGGTGCGCACGTTTGTCGTTATGTCGCCGCAGGTGGCGTTATCCAGAAACGGGCCACAAGAGCTAGGATTCACATAGTCCCTTCGTTGCGATAGCTGATTGATATAACTAATTGATTTATTAAAAGTTAGTTATAGTCTATATTTGTCCCAACGCTAGCCAAAGGCCTTTCATTTAATGGTATCAGGGCATAGTTTACCACGCAATCCCACTGCTGATTAACAGACTTCACAAATGTTCATAAAAAGTAAAGTTAGAGCCTATATTTGTCCCAACGCTAGCCAAAGGCTTTCCATTTAATGGTATCAGGGTATATTTCACCACGCAATCCCACTGCTCATTAGCAGGCTTCACAAATGTTCAAAATATTTTATTATTATTATTTCACCGCTGAATACTACGCAATTTTGAGTGGTCAGTATTAAATTTGTAGAAAATTGATGTCATCACTCAAAATTGCAAATAACTTGATCTACAGGATTTAAAAATTAAAATTTTTTAATGTTGCTAATCTCTGCACTTAACTTTTTCTACAAATTTTAATACACGATTTAAATTTACTGTAGTAACTAGTGAATTGTATTGAAACCGAGCGCCCGTAAACTATTACAATAAACATATAAACTATCATATTGTATATAACTTATCAAACGGCTCTATTTAGATATATTATGAATGAGATAATTCGAAATTTTGAATTAATTTTATATATTTAGTTGTTTTCCTTTATGAATCACTGTTTTTTCTTAAGTAACAGCCTATAAATGTCCCACTAGTGCACAAAACCAGGAAATTTCACACTGATAATGTAGACAAATGCAATAGAGGGACTATACATATCAATCGTGTAAATTGCCTATTAGACCGTCGGCTTATAGGATAATATCACCGCTTTTGAAAAGCACGTGGTATGAATATCATCGAATACATGACCTAACGAACAATTTTTCTCTTGTAATGGAAAAACAGAGGTGAGAGAACTCGTTTAGATTGTTAAATCAATGTAATTAATTGAAATTCAATGAATTAATTAACATAACCGAAAGACAATACCTTATTAGCTATTTGATGTTCGTAAGAAAGGATCAAAAAATCGAACGAATACAAATTAAACGCGCCGGCACGCGCCGGGTAAATTCGAGCGTTCGCGTCTGCTTTTCGACGAAAAAAAAAACAATCAACAGAAAAACTTGCCCAGCGTGTGCGCCGGCTTCAAGGTGTATGATTCAGTTGGACGCCGGGCGCCGCGGCCGCGCTCACCGCCGAATCCGGTTCCACTATGCCATTGTAGTATTTTACCTCATCCATACTCGCACACTAATGGTGATACTTTGGCATGCCTCCTTTGTACAATTAAGCGCGTTTGATGAATTTCGGATACGTTCAGGGATTGCAATATTCCTCTCTAGTTTCACTTTTGCTGATACACAATATAGTCTAATGTTAAAAAGCATATGTTTTAATGTTAACAAACTTATGAATTGACGCGCGGTTTCTGAAACACTGATCATCGTAGAAGTCAAGTAATCAGCTGTCAAGTGGCTTTTCAAATGTTATTTGAGTTGCCAATAGGATTGGTAAACTCTCTGAATTGGTCAGAACGATCTTCTTAAAGATCAGAACCGGGCGTAAGTTTAATAAAATCAAAAATGTGCAACATAGTTTATCATTTTTCTTATTCATCATCGTCATTTCAGTATGTATGAATCCACTGGAACATAGGCCTGCCCCACAGACTGACACAAAACACGATCCTGAGCCACCTGCATCCATCAACTTCCCGCACCTTTGCATAGGTCGTCAATCTATCTCGTGGCGGGTCGTCGTACACTGCGATGGCCAGTACGAGACTGCCACTAGAGAACCTTTCTTCCCCAACGGTTATAGGTTCTAAAAATTATATGGCCGGACATTGCCCCTTCAGCTTGCTAATCATCTGAGCTATGTGTGTTATTAATTTTGTTCTACTGCACATAATATGTTATCTTTATTATTAATGTGAAATTGTGGTAGTAGCTTAATATACTACATAACTCATCATCGTCATCCTCCTGCTCTCATCCCAGCAAGGTGGGAGCTCCACATGTGGATTATGTTGTAAGCGGGTGTGGCTGTGTTTTTTACGATCGGCTGGCTTTTTGACGTCAACCCTCCTTGGGAACCAAATACTTGTCCCATGTGGAAATCGAAATAGAGACCCCGACGCCGAAGCCAGTAGCTTAGCAACATAGCCACAGAGTCATCTTACTACATGACTATAATGTTTAATAAATTTATTACAACCCTCTAAGTTAATGCATGCATAAGCAGATGTGTGGTCCACTGTGGAGGGTCTCAAACACATGGGCTCTGGCTAGTCCACGGGTTCTACATTCGATGAAGCTTTAATGATCTACAGACTGAAAGCTCTAACATCAGTTAAAACCAAAAACAATTACAACCCTACAATTCTGATGCAAATAAAATTAGTTAAATCATACATAAGTTAATAGTACATGTCATATACTTTAAAAGAATATAAATTATTATGTATACATTTTATTACAGCTACATATGATAACATTGTATTAATAACACATCCCATAACTACAAATTATTATTACACACACTGATACACATTTTAGAGATAAAACTTTTTTATGTAACAAAAAAAAAGCTGAGGGTTGGAAAACATTTCACAGATTATTATTGACTTTAATATTAATTATTGTTTACTTGAGATAACATGTGCTTGAGCACCTTAGGTCGTATACCTATTTCATAGAAAAAATTATGATTTTCTAAAACTTCACAAATTGGGTTGCATATAAAAATTTTGAATATTTGAATATTTATTTCTAGAAATGATACAGAAAAAAATTGTGTTACATATAATTAACTAATGAACTAAAAATTGCAACCTAATTTTCAGTTTGATCTGTAATTAATATATTTTCATTACATTCCTATTCAATTCAGTCATGTACAAAATATACCACAAAATCACTACTAGTCACGATTTACTAGAAGTATTAAATAATTAGATACCTTCATTTGAATCAATCTTAATACATATACATACATAAAAAATATACATTACAATTATGTTATGTGTATACACTAATAACAATTTACTAAACCTCAAAAAAAAATTTTAGCTTCAGATTATTAAATCCATTAAAATCTTAATATCGAAGATTATAAAAATGAAAATGACTTTTTAATTTAACTACAAAAACGGAAATTGTTAATATACAACAATTCGAATAACAAACAAAAAATTTTGAGATCTAAACAATAAATTTATATTAGAAAAAAATAAACTTACTTCTACACTAAAAAGTAGGTATAACATTTATTTCACTGAGTATTCAACTTGAATTTGTGTAAAACATAAACCCAAGTTTGCGCTGTCACCTGTAAGATTGCAGATTTCTTTATTTATTACAAATGCGAAACCAGCTTACCTCGCCTATTGAAGGGTCGAACCCGTACAGCGACTTTAATCTTATCCGATGCCATTTTTACACTTCAAATACACAGATATATTTAAAACACAACACTTTACACATCAGAGTATAATAAATTATTGCACATATTCACCCATATTCTAAAACAACAAAATTCATTATTTCACGTTTCGTTCACGACGTTCCCGAGTTGACACTGCTCGCCATGTTGTTTTTACGCTGGTATAGAGTTGGCCAAATTTATTCTTGTTAATGTTATCGGTTTTTGTACAGATAACATATTTTGCTTTAATTTTTAAAAGAGTTGTTAATAATCATAATTAAATGAATACTTACCTACTTGAATCATAATACTTTTATTTTTGTGTTATATTATGTACTCAAGAACTTTTAAGAAGTCAAATAAATATTTATAAATATTTTACTCGATGGCTATTAATTAAAAAAATATTTATTTGCGGTGTAAAAAAATTACAATTCAATAACAATCCGGGAGTTAATTTTTACGCAACATGTTATAAAATCAATGCATTAAATTATTAAGTCTCAACCATAGATGGTCTCAACTGTCAATTTTAATGTCAAAGTCAAAATATTTCATGACAAGTCAAAATATTTCATAGCAGGCAGATTTTGTTGCTAATACAATCAATCAGGTTTGAGTTTTTCTAAGTAGGGAATTTTTCTTTTTACTTATTCATACAATAAAAAAAAAATTACAGTACTGTACTGGAAAAGAAATCAAAATGGCGACAGACCCACTCTTTGGTTGGGATTTAACTTTTAAGATTATTGAAAAGGACGTACGACGCAAATCCGATATTTTGATAGCTTTTATTCACTGGAATTTAACTAAAAGAGGCTTTAGAAGTATCGGAATAGGTGATGAGGTAATGTATATTAAGAATGAATCAATTTAAATTTAATAACTTATCGGCGACATTAATTCGTATAAACTTTATTAGCGGACACTTACCGGTGAAGAGGAAAAAACAGAGCTATTACCAAATGGTTGGAATGATAAAGACAACTATACCTTAAGATACGTTTTGGAAGACAAATTGTATATTCTTCATGGGATAAACACAGATGGCAATCTCATTATTAATCTTCTGGTAATGTTTTTTTTTTTCTATAATAGAACTACATTAGATGTCATAGCAAAAGTTTCGGCTTTGCTTTAGTTTATGGTAGCACGATTTTCGTTGTAATTTTAATAAGTAGGTAATAAATCATTGAAGTAAATACTGCAAGGATGTTTTCTCGGAAATTTATAATTTTTGAGAAATAATTTGGTGTTAGTTTCTTTAAGTTTCCGGGTGTTTTTCGACGTAAAAAAAATGTAATTAGGTACAGAAAAATCATTAATAAAATACTCACCAAGCAGAATTTGGCGGTCGCTTATAGTTTTCGAGAAAATAAATTATTTAAAACGTAATTTTCACTAAGAAAGTTCACCATTTTTACCAATTTGACTTCAAAAACTGAATACACAGTACCGCCAACATGAAAAATATAGGAAGTGGGCGAAGAAAGATCAATTTTCTTTTAATTTTTAGAGTGACAGATCCGACACAGAGCAATCCGACTCGGCTAAGGCGGGAACTTCGCTCCCGCCTTAGCCTTCGATGTTAGGTTTTTTTTTATGACCACCCAGAAAACTTTAGTGTAACAGTACTTTTAGTATTTTTAGACTCTTTTTTAATAATGCGAAGGTTATAATTTGGAAAAGTGTGTGAATTCGTAAATTTATACATGTTGTCAAACACAAAATGGCAGATTAATTTAGTGAAAATAACAAGTTTTAAATATATTTTTTTTTTCTCGAAAGCTATAAGTGACCGCCAAATTCTGATTGATTATTTTATTAGTGATTTTTCTTAACCGAATAAACTTTTTGTTTGGTCAAAAACACCTGGAGACTTATGGAAATTTTTACCAATAATTTTTTAAGTTTTATAGGTTAACTGCTACAAATTGTTTAGTATTTTTTCGTATTTCAGCCCAAAAGATTCACATAATTACATTCTTAAGAAATAACTTAATGGACATAACATCTTATAATGCATGTTATTCCAGAAAGAAAAATCATTTTTAATTATTTACACAATATATTTTTATATTGTCTTTGAAAGTTGCTTAAGTTTTTTGATATCATCATTATGCTTGACAGCCCGAGTCAGAGCAATCCAACTCGAACACATTAGTTTAGAAGATTAAGCCTTAGCCTTCTTTGTATATACGTAGGATAGAGCCCTACGTAGGAGGGCTAAGGAAAAGCCTCCATATGCCACCACCTGATTCTAAATAAATACCACCATAATAACATTGTATAGGTTAGAGTAGTTTTTTTAATATATTTAAGAAACTATTTCCACGACCCCCTCCCCCCTCCCTTCTTACAGGGGGGGTTGACCATTTCCCCATCCCTCCCCACATGCTACATGTGCTACCACATACTAAAACAATGCTAAAGTTGAGATGTGGCATTACTTTTACTTTCTATTTTTATAAAAATGATTTTATGTTACCTATTCTAGACCTAGTAAGTAATAAGTTGTCAATTTTACTACTTTTTGCTGACCAACCTATCAATTTACTTTGATATATATTTGATTATGATCTGTGTGGAAGGGTTTGTAGTGTGGGTAGTATGTTGTGAAGGGTAGTAAGTCCCAATTATCACAGATAATTCTGTGGAAATTAATTTATATGTTGAATATTAAAACAGAGATCGGATGATTTAGCAGTCTCCAACTTAGCGGTGAATGTTGATGAATCGGTGACAGCAACAAGTGGAAACATTGAAAAATTAATGCCGAACTACAAGGATCTGATGTTCAATATAAAAAGGGATCTCATTGACACAATTACACAGAGGCCTACTACTACTGCTCAAACACAAACACGAGGTTAATATCCACATAGTTTATAGCTGTTAACTATTGAAAAGTTTTTATAAGTAAGAGCAAAGAGTGCATTTGGCACCTACTTGAGTGGATTAGAAAATTTTGGCTACATGAAACTAGCTTTGATACTAAGTTTGATTAATTGACAGTCCATGACCATTATATTTTAAATGATTGTTTGTTCTTTTTATGCTTTTATTTGACATATGCTAGAGACTTACAATTCAAAAAGACTAAAATGTTTTCTTTAGTTGACGAAATTTGTTTCTTTTCAGAAACCTCCAATGAGAGAAGACCTGACAGTGATCCTTTAAGAATGCCGCCTCGACCTTTACCATGTGTTCGTCCAAATACGCAAGATTTATGGTATATAGGATTATTATGAATATAATTATTTATTAAGATATTTCAAAAACATAAACTTTTACATTTGTTAACAAAATTTAAACCAACCTTACCAGTAATTGATTTAACACAAGATAATTCCTAGGTATTTACAGCGTGTCGTTACAACCACGACAATAAATGAACACACATTTAAAGGATAACTTTTTAAAATTGTATTAAACATTTACATTCTTTAAACAATATTTACCGAGTTATAAAATTTTCCAAAACAAATAATTTTAGAACACCCTTACGTATGAAACTGTAACGTAAAGTTCATTTGTAAAGGTCACAAAGCATGTGTTGAATGAATTGAAAAGCAATAAAATATACTGTTAGAAGGAGAGATTTGTAATGCGACACTGTGGCAATGAGTGAAAAAGTCTCTGAATGTATGAATCAGTTAGTAGTAGTTGTATAGGATGTTACAAATTTTGTTTCTTTCTTATTTAATTAGTTTGTTTGAAAAATATTTTTTTTAATTATGAATTTTTTTAACGTTTATATTTTTTTTATGATTATTGGCAAGTAGCGTTAGACGTGTGTTCACCGTGTGAGAGAAAAGTACCCGCTAATGTAACATTTTTTGTTCATCTAAGAAGTAGGCAAATGAGCCTGTCGAGCCGAGAGTAACCCAATGTATAGTGATAACCGCCGTAGGGTTGCTGATGAATTGCCACCTTATAATATAGTGGGCCCCAGGGTACCACCCTGAACAGAAGGAATCCAGAAGTATAACACTTTCAATTCATGCTGGTGTACTAAGAATTTGTTATACTTACTCAGATGAACCTGCCCATTCATGCAACTGTTGTGTGGCCCTACCACAGGAACATGTATAAGCTGCTATAGTACTTCGCAATAAATATTTCACATCAACCTATTAAGAGAAAATCAGCTAATTTCACATGAAGCACTTACATATAGACATTCAGTATGTGGCAGAAATAACACTACAAATGCGAAATTATATGTCAATTGTCTTTTTTCACTAAGATACCAAGAGAAAAATAATGTGTATATTTTACTTGTATACTTGACAACTTTCTTTTGCAATTTATAAAAAGTTTAAATTATATTGCATATTTGCAATACCATTTATTACACTCCCTTACAAATGCTGGAACTTTCGCCTATATACCTTAATCTGGTTTTTTAAAGGGATTTACCTCCAGCTCAACCTAGCATTGGAAGATCAGATCTAGATCCCTTTGCACCTGGAGGTGGTGGAATGATCTTCAACCCATTTGGACCAAGAAGGGATATTGAAAATCCTGGTTTGGGTATTCCTGGAGGCTTACCAAGGTTTGTTTCATATTTTACAATACTATTACATAACATATTGTGTAAAACACAAAATAATGTATCATGTTCTGTCATCATATTATCGGTATACTATAATGCCAATGTAATTTTTTGTGTTAGTAACATTGAGCAAGAGTTTAGTCTGTGATATCAGAAGTCTGTGATGTTTTGTCTTAAATATTAAGCAAAGCTTTATTGACCATGATTTAAATGCATTAAATAATGTTACTCATTTAGTACAATAAATAAAATCGTTTTTTTTTACATATATGTGTAACATCTTATGTATCATTCTTACACACCTGATCAACACCGTATATTGTTATTCTAACAGGCATTTATGACATCTCGGCAATTGCATATATTACTTAGTTTACAAGCCAAAAACTTGATATGCTTATAAAACATGTTTAAAACCTCTGCATCTTTAATTAATATAAATTATTCTTTAAACCTTTTTTTTGATTTGTCAGAGGAGCTGTCCCACCAGGTGCACGTTTCGACCCTTTCGCGCCACCTGGGGTAGGACCGATGCCTGGACGTCGACCACCGCCTCCCGATGCTGATCATTTTCCGCCACCTGGCTTCAATGATAACATGTTTATGTAAGACTGTTATATTCTGTATAAATGTTAATATAATTTAACAAATAATAAATGTTTTGCTACAGGCTTCATGACTTTTTCGTTTGATTCTATCACAGTTATCTTTATTTCTTGGTTTGGTGTGGTTTTACTCATTTTATATAGAAATTAAAAAAATTATATAAAGTATTCCCCCAAAATTTTTAAACTGTATTTTATCATACGAACTATAAAGGACATAGGACACAGCAATATTTGCGTGAAAGAGCAACAAACATCCATCCATACATACAAACTTTCGCCTTTATAATATTAGTAAGGATTTTCATAAATTTTAATACTCTTGATCTTCGGTGTGCGTGTCTTCTTTAAGTCGAAGATTTAAATTTCAGGCAACCTATGACAGCCTAACATAAGTGAACAATTGCATCAACCGGAACTTAAATGCAATAAAACTGTGGTCTGATAGATTCCGATTGTTTGTCAATCCACCGAAGTGTCCGGCCACTGCTGTTGAGAGTTCTCATTTTCTAAAGAAAGTGATATAGATTTAAAAACAATCTTTCACCAATAATTTTTACATATTATGAAAGTTTAATGTTCTACTGCGGACTTTTTCGTTGCGAACTCTTTCACGTAGAGAAATACCGAGCATAGCCTCTCTATAGCTCGCTGAGCGGCTCTGAGCTTCCTCTTACGGCCAGCAGTGAAGGACCACGTCTCAGTTCCGGAGGTCATCACTGGCAACAAACATTGGTTGAAGACTTTAGTCTTCAAACATTGAGGTATATTCTACAAGAAGATTTCCGAATGCTGCCCGAGTTGAATTCGTCGATTGACCTCTGCGTCGAACTTGGACTTATCTAACCGGAACAACTGTCCCAGGTAAACGTACTCGTCAACAATTTCGAGTTCAGTGCTTCCAACAACAACCGGTGTAACCGTGACATGGACATTAGACGTGATCTTCGTCTTATCCATGTTCATCTTCATTCAAGGCCCATCCGTTGAGACACTGTTGAGGTCATTGAGTATAGTACTAAGGTCCTCCAGGGATTTTGCCATGATGACTATGTCATCGACAAATCGAAGGTGGGTGATGTATTTTCCATTGATGTTAATACCTCGTCCTTTCCAGTCCAGAAGCTTGAAAACATCTTCCAACGCTTCACCGCTGGATTAATGTTAATACCTCATCCTTTCCAATCTAGAACCTTGAAAACATCTTCCAACGCAGAAACGGTGAATAGTTTCGGGGATATGACATCACCCTGTTTTACACCCTTCTGCAGTTGGATGGGTTTTGTACTACTGGACTGAACTTGGACGGACATCGTGCCTTTTTATACAAACACAGTTCATTAACATTTAGTGTTAATTTTATTTAAATCAGTTCATAAATAAAAAAGTTATATTAACTTAAAAAAACACATTGAATATTTGTGCGATAAAATACTGTATTATAGCTACAGCTTAATTGGGTGAAACTATGGGGCAAATTTGGCCCAAATTTTTTGTCTTACAGAAACTAAGTATTTTTATAGTTATCAGTATATAATAAAATTACAGCATTTTTAAGGCATACGTTTACCCGTTTTATAATTAGAACATGATTTACTTTTTTCACATCGGAAATATACCTTAAACTACTTTTCTTGCAATCTTCACTAAATAGTGGGTTATAAAAAGAATCTAAGCCGTGTGGTGCCGGCGTAAGAATAAGCCACCCCATCTCATCCCGTGGGTGTCGTAAGAGGCGACTAAGGGACAAGCCACAAACATCTGTTGGCCACCGATAGATGGCGGGATAACCATCTTGACTCTCCAGACCCTAAATAGCCAGGCCAATAACGGGCAGCAGCGTTATAGGTGCAAGGAGTCTGGAGGAACTGCGGTTGCCAACCCGCTCGCCAGGCGTGGCAACTATGGCAAAACCCCCCTCTACATGATAGAAGTCCAAAATGTGCGGCCCCCAGTCCCCGGCGGCCCTGCTATTCCTGGCTACGGTAGCGGTCATGGTAACGGCAGGGCAGGGGGTGCTAAGAATCCCCGGCTAGGATTCGGCTACCAACGACGGCGACTGGACCTGGCAACATACAACCCAAGAACATTGAGGACTGACGAGAAGATTAGAGAGCTGGAAGAAGAGGTGAACAGGCTGCGCTGGGATATAATAGGATAATCTGAAGTCCGAAGACAGGGGGAGGACACGATAATCCTCGAATCCGGAAACCTGTTTTACCACCGGGAGGGTGACCAACTGTCCCAAGGAGGTGTCGGATTTATCGTCCACAAGTCTCTCATTAACAACGTTGTTAAAATCGAGAGTGTGTCGTCGAGGGTTGCGTACCTTATACTCAGAATATCCAATCGGTATTCGCTGAAGGTCATACAGGTTTACGCACCAACGTCGACACATCCCGATGATGATGTGGAGGCAATGTATGAGGATATATCACGAACCATACATTCCTCCGAAACTCAATACATGGTGTTAATGGGAGACTTCAACGCAAAACTAGGCAAAAGGAAAGACGATGACAGCTGGCTGACTTCATGGAGAAGGAGGGACTCTTTATGATGAACTCCGTAAGTCTTCAATCAATGTGTGTTGCCAGTGATGACCTACGGAACCGAGACATGGTCTTTCACTGCTGGCCGTATGAGAAAGCTCAAAGTCGCTCAGCGAGTTATGGAGCGGGCTATGCTCGGTATTTCTCTACGTGATAGAGTTCGTAACGAAGACATCCGCAGTAGAACTAAGATAACCGATATAGCTCAGAGGATTAGCAAGCTGAAGTGGTGATGGGCCGGCCATATAGCTCGTAGAACCGATAACCGTTGGGGAAGAAAGGTTCTCGAGTGGCAGCCTCGTACTGGCCATCGCAGTGTACGACGACCCCCCACTAGATGGAGTGACGACCTGTGCAAATGTGCGGGAAGTCGATGGATGCAGGTGGCTCAGGATCGTACTTCATGGCAGTCTGTGGGGGAGGCCTATGTTCAGCAGTGGACTCAAACAGGCTGAAAATGATGAAAAAGAATCTAAAAACTGACACAACGAAACCCTAATTCAAAATCATTCTTATAACAAGAAACGGGGCCATGTGCGAATCGGACTCACACACGAAGGGTTCTCCATACCATTATCTATAAAAACGACAAAACAACATGTCTGTTGTATCGGAGCCATACTTAAATATATATTTCTTTTTTTAGTATTTGCTATTGCTGTAGAAGCAAAAATCCATCATTTGTGAAAATTTCAACTGTCTAACTATCACGGTTCTAGAGATACAGCCTGGTGACAGACGGACAGACCAACGGACAGTCTTAGTAATAGGGTCCCGTTTTACCCTTTCGGTACGGAACCCTAAATAAACTGACGTATTGAAGACGATAGAGCACAAATCGTAAAGTAGAGTCCTTTTCATGAAAGAAGTCCCGCGGTGATTTTTGGAACTAAATTTGACAGGTCGGCCATGTTGTCGTTCGTCGATGTTATCAAGTTCGTTTGTTGTGGTAGATTTTTTGTGAGTTTTAAACTAGCTTAGTGCATTTTAAAGATTGTTTACAATGCCAAAAGTTGTAAAAAGTTCGGCTCGAGAAATGACATTGAAGGTGAAAGAATTCTGTGAAGCTGAACAAAAGAATCAAGGTGTTTTAATACCACTGAACAATGTTCGGAAGAGAGTCGCCGCCATAACAGGTACTTGCCATATAATAATTTTTTGCTGTATTGATGGGACTTTTATGATATAAATTCGTTTTGCGACAAAATTGAACAAATACATAACGTGATGAAATTAGGAAACCGAAATTAAAACGTATATTACATAGTACATAAGCATTATAAACTTAAAGTGACTATTATTTTTAATTGTTCATTCTTTAATTGCAGGTGTGTCAGAGAAAACTATAACAAGAATTACAAAAGAAGGTATAACAGCGGCGAGTACTTCGAAAAAATTGTCACCCCGGGGAAGAGTCGCCCGCATCCGAAAAAGTTCGACTTAGACGGGTTCGAATTGTGCGCTATCCGGCAAAAAAATTCACAGTTTTTACGTTGTGCATAAAGAATTACCAACTTTGGCTAAATTACGAGCAGCTCTTAGAGAAGACATCAATTTTCAGGGAAGCATCACAACATTGCACAGGATATTAAATAAGATTGGTTTCAAGTACAAGCGATGTCAATCCAGAAGCAAACTACTTATGGAACGTCACGACATTACCGCATGGCGTGCAAGATAATTGGATAAAATACGAATAAATCGCACTGTGGAAAAACGACCCGTTGTAAACTTAGATGAGACCTATGTACACAATACTTATCATACAAAAAGTTGTTGGCAGAGTGAGGAGGAGCCAGGAATGTTCGTCTCAGAGTCATCAGTCGCTGGATAATCGCTCATGCGGGAACAAAAGATGGATGCATAAATGGTGCATTATTAATGTTTAAATCCCAATCAAAGTCCTCAGATTACCACGATGACATGAACTCTGCAAATTTCTTAAAATGGGTGACGGAAAAATTAATACCTAATCTACCTGAAAGGTCGCTTGTGGTAATGGACAACGCTCCTTACCATTGCACTCAATTAAACAAAGCCCCTTCAATGTCAAATATAAAAAGTAGTATGCAGGAATGGCTCCGGCAAAAGGGTATATATTTTGAAGACACCTGGAGAAAAGCTGTGCTGTTTGAGCTAATCAAACAAAATAAAGGTCCACCGACATTTGCAGTGGAAGAATTATTAACAGCTCACGGACACGAAGTATTAAGGTTGCCGCCTTACCATTGCGACCTAAACCCGGTGGAGAAAATCTGGAGCCTTGTAAAAAGAAAGGTGGCGGATAAGAATGTGGCACAAGATCCAAAAGAAATTGTAAAATTAACTGTAGAGGCATTTGAGTCTATTACGGCGGAAGATTGGACAGCTCAGTGCACGCATTAGCAATTTTATTGACAGAATAAAAGTTATAATATGATTACTTCGTCTTGCTTATCTCCTCACTTTCAATATCTTTGTACAGTATATAAAAATCTATAAAAATCTAAAAGTCTCTCTGTACTGTACTATTGAGTCGACGGACCAGTGATGGTGAAAGCTGACTGGTTAACATCAACTACAAAAAATATTCCTAACATATCGGTAAATATAATAAGAATAAAAGACATGCATAATTTAACTGACAATTAACGTACTTATGAATTTTTATCATATCATGTATTTTCATTTATCTTTAATTTAATCATTATTTAAATGGCACCTTATTTGGTACAGATTTCTTACTCATTTTTTTTACATAATTTTATTTTCTTGGTGCTACAACCCGATGGCTTTCTTGGTGATAAGAAAGTTATATATTGAAAATTTTGATTGATTTCTTCATTTAAAATTTGGTCTACCCGATAATTTTTATATAGCTGTTGAAAATTATATGGCAAGCTCGAACTATTTTCAAGAATGGTAATCTGTCGTCAGTTTGGCAATTTTTTTTGTGCGAAGCACACGTTTTCTGCGTGTGTGGTGAATTTTATTAGCTGTTCACGGCTGCATCCGTTCAATTTTTATTCAATGTGTATGGCTGTGGAGGTGAGTAAATATATACTAGTACCTAACATGTTTAAAATTATATTGATGAAGTTATGTACTAATGAAGGTCTTACCCTCCTATATATATCATGTATCGTACGTCACCATGCAGGCGTTCAAATTTTTTCTTTCTGGATAAATTTAGTTTACTTATTACAATAGGTTTGCTTTTATATCTGAGAAATATATAAAAGCTTTTCTTATCGGCATAACACTGGACAAATTAATGAAATCACATTAGTAACCTTATAACTTTTAGTTTGGTTATATGAAACTCATTTTAGGTGGTAAAACGAAAAGTTTAAAATACTTATTCAAGTTTCTTACATTGGATTTTTCATCCAAAGATGATGTGATCAGTTTTTTGTTTGGGTAGAATGCAAATAGGGCAAATTATTAGGCAGTGGTAACTACTTATTTCATACCTTACATCCTTTAGTACCAATGATTTTGAATTTACATTCAAGTTATTCTGAATCTGTAAAATGTTAAATCCCTACAAGTATAAAAAAAAACACGGGTTGTTCAATTAAATTAAATTTTTAGTATTCTTTATCAGCTGTATTTTATTTCATATTATTGTTTTAAATACTTTTGATCTTGTGTAAAAAAATCCAGTTACCTTCCTGGTTCAACAAATTGACATTACATTGTACTATGCAATGTAAATTCAAAACTGGTTTTTTTCTACAAAATTATGATACTTCCTCAATCAGTGATACTTACCGCATATGATATCAAACTTTTCCAATTGACAATAACATAATAATGTTATAAAATGTTGTCTCCTTTCATGAAAGAAGGTAAAATAGTGACTTTAATTATCCAAATGCAACCTGCCTATAAGAATGGTATCTGTGACCTGTATGTGTGTTTTATTTTAATATTTTGTATGTTTTTGAAATTTTAATTTCCATGCCAATTGTTTAAGTTTTATTTGCATACTTAATTATAAATTGATTATACTTGTTTCCTTTTAAATAGATTCACAAAGAATCCATTCAGTGCATAAAATCTGTATCATGTAAAATTCTATTATCCTTAAATTTCATATTGTTTTAAAATATTTTAAAAGCTTTTTAGAAAGTCTGCGCAATTTATATTTTTTCATAAGAGTTGAGTATTAATAAAAAATACCAATAATATTATTATTCGACAACAACCAGGGTAAAGTTGCACAACATTGTGATATTTACGGCTGCACACAGAAATAATTCTTTTTTTATTTATTTGTGTAGTTCAGCTTTTTTAATAAAGCTAAGATAAAATTTAATAAATTAAATAACAGTATATAAGTATTGTCTTCAATTTCATACTTTTACCTGTTATTAACAATGTTATAAACTAGTTTGAAGGTTACCATTATGTTTAATATCTCCGTACCTTATGCAAACCACCATCTTTTATGTATACTCTAAAGGCCCATTTACACGATGCCATTTTCTTGTACATGCAAGAGCAATAATTGAATGCAATAAATTGCACGCAATAATTGGTTAGACCATTTGTTGTTTAGACCATGCAACTTATTTATTGCTTCAATTTAATTGTATACAACAGGCAAGAAAATGGCATCGTGTAAATGGGCCTTAATTGACATTAATCTTGTTTTATTATTTCATGTGTGGTATTTGTAGGTGGCCTGTATTGGTACAAACATAATGAAGCGGATAGAAGTTTTGTTGTTTACATATGTTTCTATAATCTCAAATGGCACTAAATAATTGTCCCATTTTAATGTATTATAATTTTATACTGATATTCTTCCTGTGAATATAGATAGCATTCCTATGGAATATTTATGGAAAAGGTGAATGAGTTGCCTTTTTTTTAGAACATTTTGTGCCAAATCTATTGCTTGCGTTCTGATTTGGTTGTAGACGTAACGTGATTTCCCGCCATTTAGATACAGACTTGTGATTGACGTCAAACGTCAATCACGAGTCTGCTATCGAGGCTATTGTCGATTATTTTCCATGTATCTGCATAATATAGAAGCTACTCGCGCGCACTAGAATCATTGCGTCACTATTGCATTACGTTGTTTTGTCGAAAGGCAATAAAACTGGACACGGTATGCAGCTGTTGTTAAAATGAGCGTTTCGAACGAGTTAAATATCGTCACTAAACGAACTATTGGAAGTAGCTTTGGGCGTGCTTAGGTCTCTAAAAAAATAAATTAAAATGGTAAAATGGCATTAACAACAGAAAAAAAACTTGTTTCATATCAATCCATGTATTATTTACAAATTCGCTTCGCATCATGAAATTAATTTCGTTAGATATTCCCAACTTAAAGGGTAGGAGGGGTACGTTTGTTTGTAGATTTGTTGTGATCGTACTTAGTCTGGACGCCTTCCGACGCGGGTACGCGAGGATCGAGTTAGGGACGTCGAACCGGCCTTGGGGAGCGTGTTGACCCTGGCCCCTGTGCAGGCGTTGGGCCGTTAAGGCGGGCGCACACGATCCTGCCCGAGCTCTCACGAAGCGGCACGACCGTTAACGCCGCCGCTTCCAAATAACGCACCACGCTGATTGATGACACACCGGCCTACGATGGCGTCATCGTTTGGACGCTCGCCGTTTCGCCTACCCCGCGATTCACTTCGATAACTAATTGGATGTGGCACGGAGCCGCGTGAGCCTTTAGCCTCCGCAATACGCTCTATTAGTGTGCGTTGTTCAACACACGATATAAGTGGGAGCTATTCCGACTTCGACCTATCGCTAATTGAACTGTGAAATTTGATATGCGACTCACGACCGCACCGAGAGACGTCAATCGGCACGGAAGTTACATTAAAATCTTTCCCGAAGACCAGTCTCAATCGCATGTTAATAATGCTCCTAAAGAATTAACGAATTTTGAGCTTGACAATCGTTAATTGGAGTTTGTGAGTGGGGCATGCGTTCGGTTTAGTTTAGTTTCCTTACGTGTCGGCAAGCATGGCTTCGCGGTCGCATTGCTTATTGTGTTCCCGCTATTTAGGGTTCGGTGGCAAGGAATGCGTGGCGTCGTATAAAAGCTCGGTCGTTGCCTCCAGCCTGCGCGTCCTCGGGGCATCGATGGGGGCGACGCACTACGCCCTCTGCCGGCCGAATGACAAATGATATACTCCCGACCCGCCGAGAAACCGCTGCGAAGTGGCGAGTTATTATAATACGAGCATGTTCCTTTTGTACTCGAATGTACTTTTATTACGCACTATTGCGACGCTTTTTGAGTACATTTTACCAGTACAAAATAGAAATACCGATGTTTTTATTATATTAAATGTTTCCAACTTTTATATAACGAAACTTGGAAGCTGAATGTCCAGCTATCGCATCTGCTTTTCCCCTTTTTTGATGAAATTGTTTCCCAAGAAAGAAGCTCTAAAAATGTAAAGTGTTTTTCTGCTTATAATACTCGGAACTTGTGTACTTATTTATAAAATAAGGACCGAGGGGGATAACCAGTTGCGGAAAAGTTGATTGCTGTTCGTATTGAATTCTATAATAACAGTATTCAACTAGCGAGCCTAGGGAAATTGAAGTTGAACTTGTTTATGGTTCTTGACTATCCGCTATACATTTTGAGTTTGAAGCTTACGATAGTAATGCGTTTCTCGATTTTTGGCTCCGACATTTGTCGTTATTTTTGCTAGTTTATTTTCTCCAAGATTCACATTCGAACATCAATGAATAACCCTAGAGCGAGCGACAATATACTGCAAGCTGTAATGATGATGATACAATTCACAAACGAGGAACGGTATGCGAGATTCTTTTTCCATGTAGGTGTATGTACTTTGAACATGTCATAAAAAATCAATCTTCCTCAAAAATTATAACATCAGGGTAAAGAACAAGTAGCTGTCAACATAGCGCGTAGTTATACTATAAGTATTAATATTAGAAATCCTACATCGCACGCATTACGTGAACATTGTATTCTATATAATTTTTAGGTCACGATAGTCATGATGATATTTATGGACTTGCTATTCCGTACGGACGAGACCTGTATCCGTCGCTACTTTACTGGGCCACTTGGCCGCTAACGGTTATGCACCCGGTAAGATTTATCTAGGTAGTCGTTGACATTAAATCACGCAAGAAATGTCTGTGTAGGTAAGGTATTCATCCGATATCCGCTCAGTACCGTTTACGTGATTAGCAAAAAATGATACTCGAAATTTTTGTATTTCATTCGGTTTATCAGTTTTATCTTTTGGCTACAAAGATAAGCGTGCTTTCCGGAAATTTAGATTTTACGTACATTGACCAGTGTCCCGCCTCAAGACCAATTGGGTTAAATAGCGCAGTATGAAAGCGGTTGTCGTCAGCGCTGTTTCCGGGCCGATACGACTTAGGCAACCTTCAAGAAGAAACCCTACTCCTACCTCAAAGGTCGGCACCGCTGTTTTGACTCCTCCGATGTTGCAAGTGTCTATGGGCGGCGGTGATCGCTCACCATTGGGTGAACCGCATGCTCGTATGCCTGCTTTTTCCATAAAATAAAACTTGGGGGCTTTCAAGAAGAGAGCCTATTTCAATCTTAAAGGTCGGAAACGCATTTCTGGTATTGCATATATCTATACCGGGGATGATCACTTGGCATCAGGTGAACCCCTTATTCGCTTACTTTCATTTCCATAAAGAAATATATATAAAGAAGTAATATACATATTTATATATAATGAAGTATAGGCTGGCATGTATACGGGTAGTATTCGTAAATGCAAATCGATGGGTGCAGGTGGCTCAGGATCGTGCTTCGTGGTAATTTGTGGGCGATTTGTGGCCAATTTGCAGCAGTGGACAAGAACAGGCTGATATGATGATGGTTGGTCTTAACTTTTAATAAGCGTTAGTAGAGTCATTTAAAGCACATTCTTGATAGCCGGCATAACACCGCGAAAACTCTAGCTGATGCTTATCTAAAAAAATATTCAATTGTATCACGTTTGCGACTGATCGGTATCTCACGTACAGCAATTCCGTGAATTTGTTATCCATAAAATATCAATAGACTATAAAAATACTTATCAAAATATAGTGCACATTTTGTATACATAATTGAACTTCTTCACACCTTCATCGAAATGGCCTGGTCATGACCTATTGCTTATTTACTCGTTAAACAGATAGAACACGAAATCTCGAACGAAAAGCGAAACTGCAAATCTGTTTTTTTTTTTATCTCAGAGACAACATTCACACGCAAATGTCAAATTTACACAATGCTGCCAGCTCTTTTTGAAAATTGGCAGTGTTGCCTACGATACCGGTTTATTGAATCGTAAAATTTAATCGTTATGCTATTTGCCTTTTTCTTACGCCTGGAGGCCTGCCTGCTGTCAAACCGCTTTAGGAATAAACACCTAGATCCGGAACAATTCTGTGCCTCCTGTGATCAGTGATACAAGTCGAAAATCAACATTTTACAGGAGAGCAAAAACAAGATTTAAAAAATTCTAGTTCATGAAGTGGATAGACTAGGACAAAACTTTGTACACACTCATATAGATTATAACATTCTCTTTCATCCTGTATTACAGTTTTGTTAAAAAATTATATAATTTATCAGTAACTCGAAAAAAAAACTTTTGAATTGTACCTCTGTAAAGTAAAATATTGGCAAAGAAGATGTGTTACATGATATGAGTAGATTTAAACCATGTTGCACCTTATTATAGTCTTTGTGAAAACTGATATACGTGTAGTATAAAAACAAAAATAACTTATTAGAACCTCTTCCTATCATAATTGTTTAATCAAATAAAAAAATAAATGAAACATCTAGATTCATTTTTTATAGTGTATATCCCCCTGTTGTGATAATTTCTTTGAATTGTATCAACTAGCTAAAATCCTCGTGATTTGAAACATGTGTTATATGATACACAGTCAAATTATACCTGAATTGAAAAATTATATTGATTGTGTAAATTAATACAACTATTCAAAAAATAATAAAAAATTTATTGTACTTCATAAAATATTCTTATCTCATGATTCAATAAAAAATTATAAATTATATATCTAGGATCGGTCATAGGAGATATCACAATAGGTACCTTTCAGTACTTACAGGATATTATGATCATTATCTTAATCCTAAATAGATTAATAAATATAGAGAAATTAACAAACACAACAAAATCTTCTTATCTTTCTATAAGCACCCTATCTATGAATAAAATCACCTTTAGACGTAAACCAAAAATAAAAGGAAACTATAACGACAAAATAAACGACAACTACTCAGAATCATCGTCATTGTCCGGAAGAGAGTCTTTAATGTTTTTTTTTTATAGAAAAAGGAGGCAAACGAGCATGCGGGTCACCTGATGGTAAGTGGTCACCGCCGCCCATGGACATTTGCAACATCAGTTGAGTCGCAATTGCATTGCCGGCCTTTAAGGTAGGAATAAGCTCTCTTCTTGAAGGTCCCTAAGTCGTGTCGGTCTGGAAATACCGCTGGCGACAACTCGTTCCACAAAGTAGTTCATTCAAAATTTCGCGAAAAACTCACAGTGGTGGACCGCCAACCATCAAGGTGGTGTCGATGGTACTTGGCGGTTTGGCGAGTTGTACGATGGTGAAGTTCACCTGCAGGTATCAACTGAAGAAAAATGCAAAGGGATGCAACAACCCTTCGCAGGGCCAAAGAATCGAGACGATCGGACAGAATTTGGTCGTCGATTATTCGAGCAGCTCTTCGTTGGATGCGGTCAAGTAGTAGGAGCTGGTATTTCGGTGCCCCAGCCCAGAGGTGAGAACAGTATTCCATGTGCAGCCGAATCTGTGCTTTATAAAGCTGCAAACGATGTGCCGGTAGGAAATACTGTCTCGCTCGGTTTAGGATACCGAGTTTTTTAGAAGCCAGCTTGGCTTTTCCTTCCAAATGACCGCGATATTGAACGTCACCGGTCACTCTTACAGTTTAGATTTCTATAAAATTCATGAGCTCTTTCATGGATAATAATTGTACTAGATCCTTCTTCTTTTCTGTTGAAATGGGAATCTTGGAATGGTAAGCTTTTGGTACGGTATAAATTCCTACCATATAGTACACTTTTCCGCGTTTCGATAAATTCATTCATGTTCCCACCGTCTTTGAGTCCTTTTTTGTAAGAAATACAGGGAAGAAAAAAAACAGAAATACAGTTGCCTTAAAGATACATACTCGATATGACATCAGACTACAGAAACTTTTTAATGTCTGTAGTTGTTTTGGGAAGGAATTGTTTAAAAAAATACCGAAGTCGTAAAACATATTCAGAGTCATTTCGATCACAATAAACTTTGCAGATTTATTTGAAGCTGTGCAGACTAGTATCTACCAATCTCTTGACAGGTGAATATCTATGCCCGTGTGCTTCTTTTTATGCTCAATCAGCGCATGGTCACTGTCTGCTTCCATGTCAGTATGGCTAGGTACTAGAAATTAATGTTCGATGGATTGTAATTGATATCAGGTATTAACTATAAGTTTCTCGCGTAAAGTCTGAAGATACTTGTGGTTTTAGTCAAAAGTCTTCAAAAAACATCCTTTACAAATTGCGTGTTTTGTTATGATCAAAACCGTGAAAGAAGTATCGAAAAAATCTAGCGTTCCGTTTTTTCTTGGGATATTTGGACGTCTTTTTTTTGAAATTCCAAGACTCCAGTATGTTTTGAACAGAGTGTTCCTTAAATGAAACGGTAGTCTCTCTTTGACTTTCTGACATAGTTGTTTAGATCACGTAAGTCACGAGTTCTTCTTGTTTTTCCTGATGTTGTTGTATATTTCGAGGCAGTGTTACAAAATAGTTTATTTATGTGAGAAGGTGGCACGCGAGCTGTAGGTCCACGTTATGTTAAGTGATAGCCACCGGTCATGGACATTTGCAACTCCTGTAGTGTGGCAGATGCGTTGCAACCTTTTAATAAAGTGGACTTAGTCAGTCACTTCACTCCCGCACATAACCGCCACCCTCACCTTGTTTTAATTTGTATCATTTTACACTATAGTTCGTAGTAAATACTTTTTAGAACATGTTTGCATTTCAGATACAACTCAATTTATTTTAGTGTTCAGATAAGAATAGATATTGTGTGAAATGATGCATGTTGAGATGTATCATTCAGCACATAATTAGGCGAAATTAATATTCAGATCGGTAAGTACATGTCAAGTTGTACCCTGCAAATAACAAAATAAACTAAGGTTCAAGTTGATGTAACTGGAATAAAATTATTATTCACGAAATATCATTAGAAAATCAAATGTGAAAATTTATATTATAGTAGTTATACCACAAAGTACGAAAAAAAAATGTGTGGAGTGATACTTTACTGGTGCTATATCAAGACTAAAATCAAAATTCACAATTTTTTCATCCAAAATCCCATTAGTTATATCACTTTGCACAAAATTATCTCGAGATCTATAGCAGATAGAAACACGTGAGTCAGACCCAAAGCTAGCTTATTTTTTACTGATTGCTTATGTGTTAAAATCAGAAAAAGGGTACAACTCGAGTTGTATCACTGATCACAGGAGGCACAGAATTATTTGTGGGTCACACAAATTCTTGTCCCGTTGAGAATCAAATCCACGACCCAAGCGCGGAAGCCAATAACTTAGCAACATCATCGTGGATCAACTTATCCTTGTATGTAAGGAGATGAGGTTGTCCCAGGACTATTAAGTTGCTGGTTCAAATCTCAGCGGCGTGCACAAATGAGATATTTATATGCTATTTTGTTTATAACTGTCACTGCAGAAATTCTATATTTTCCAGTTCTTTACTTTGTCTTAAAATCACGTTTAGGTCTAAATAGGGTGTTGTACACACAAGTAAGTACTTGGTTAGCTATAGTTGTATAGTTCTCTCTACTGCGTAAAGGTCGAACTACTTAAGACCTTGTGCTTGTTATTTAAAAACAATCACTAGTTTTAAACTACACTTAGTTTCGTGTCGATTGTTCACTGGGCTGGTAGCTAATGACGTTACAACTAAGGCAACCCTAATCGCATCAACATAATTTCGACTTTGACTTTGATAAATAAATGTCAAGTTCATCCGCGAGTGACCCGCCGACCTCATTTTTTGTTTATACATCAACTGTGTGCTACATTGTGAAAAAGGTGTATAATGTGAATGGAAAGATTCATTATATATTTTTTTATAAACGTAATGTTTAAAAATGAAAATAAACTCTTTATTCTTACGCTCTGCTCAAACTGCGCCGCGCTAAAAGCGCCCTCCAAATGTTATATTCTCTCGCTCACTTTTTCCTGTTTAAAATGGCGACCTTTTAATTAGTTGTAATTACAGCCCACTGTATAATCATGTTTAATTGGCTCGTAACCCGCTTTATAACTTTTATAGCGACCAAGAATTTTTAATAAAACAGAAGTTAGAAAAAATTACGGGTTGCACTCCGGGAGTGCCGACAGAAGTGAAAATTTATTTTGGCGCGTTAGACATTTTTAGATGGATACTAGGGTTATTGGGTTATGACTTGTATTGTATTAATTATTAGAAACTTTAAAATACATTTAATATTCTTTTATGAATCATCGTTAACAATTTTGACAACTCTTCGTATTCTCATCATTATCATTAAAATTATTACAACCTGAAATAGAAACTTTAGGTTCATGGTAAATAAAATAGGAAATAAACAATTTTGATTCGAAGGTATTTAAATATCTCGTGAATACCGCATTAATTTAACTGTGGTAGGACACAACAAAGACCAGCGTAAAGTTGAAGTATGATAAATACTTTCGCGTTTCGTCTGGTGAGTGAGGTAGCCCGAGCCTAATTTTCAAAAGGTTGTCAACGCATCTGTAACCCTCGGGTATTCACTTACCATCAGGTGAACCGTCTGCTCGTTTGGCAACTTTTCACATAAACAAAAATACTACCGAGTCTGAACCTCCTATGCGAATTTGGGCATCTTTAGAAAAGCCACCCTGTAGAAGTTTTAAAAGTTCATAGATTGATGTAAAATAGTCAAGTTTCCAGGAAGACGTCCATTGTTGAACGAAAGCCTACCCCTTAAAACGCATAGTCATTGTTTAATAATACAAGCTGGATAATTTCTCAATTTATTTTGATTGAGCATTAATGGTCACCGAAGATGTTTGACGACCTGATGTTTGACTCGGTTTCATTAAAATATGTAATAATCGCGTAAATACGACAAATTGTTATGTTCCCCATAACTTATATTAAATTGAACCTTAAAATTATTATTATATTGGTGAAAAACCTGATAGATCTGCAGCAACAGAGAAGACTGTTGCGTGGACATTTCTTAACAACGTAACAATTTGTTCTTCTTAAAGTTATTGGATTAAGCTATAAATGTTTCGATGGAATTCAATAAGTCAGTAGGTTAGTAGGCACTGGCGTGTGGGACAGGTAGTGTTAACACAGCGCGAGATGACGCGTCCCGTGTCACGGAATCTGGGTCACGAAGTTGGGACGCAATCCACGGTCAGGACGCCGCATTGTCGACTAACAGACCCTTAGAATCTGGAGCGGGCTATTTTAACATGCCCTCGCGACTAACAAAATTGGGCGCCACTGACTGCAACTTTTATCGTGTCCTCGTATCTCGTATCGTATGAGCTAATATTTTCGATGTGCACGCTAAGGATGACGAAGGAAATTGTGGAGTTTTCTGGAACGTCACCAAATTCAAATATCTTAATTCAATAAAGAGGCGTTGCACTTACTTATTGATTATCACCGGTTCGTAAAAGAAAAGTAGGACATGTTTTTAAATTTGTAAAGTCAAAAATTGATACATTTCAATTTAGCGTTTCGTTAATAACTGCTTAATTTGTAATCTTCGCACTTGGTAGTATACAGTAATGTGGTAAATAGTATGCGCAAATACTCATTAAAACTCTGATCGATTTCTTGTCTTTCTTTTATGGAGAAAAAGGGCAAAGGAGCAGTAAGCTCACCTGATGATAAGTGATCACCGCCGCCCATGAACCAGAATACTTACAAATGCATTACTAGTCTTTTAGGACAGAGTAGGCTCTCTTCTTGAAGGTTCCCAGGTAGTAACGGTTCGGAAAGACCGCCGGCGGCAGCTGGTTCCACAGAGTGGTTGTGCGAGGTATGAAATGAAATGATCAATGAAATTGTTTACATAAAAAAAGAACGTTACTTATATTTCTTTACCAATGTTATCTGTGCTTCAAAACAATCCACATGTTGTGATGAACTCTACACCAATAGTGCTTTGTGAAACTATCTTTCATAACAAAAGGTCGGGCCATTGACGCTTCGCGCGCACAAAGGCAACTGTTGCAGCCACGCCACAGCGTAAAGGCCCATTTACGCGATGCCATTTTCTTGAACATACAAGAGCAATAATTGAATGCAATAAATTGCGCGCAATAATTGTTTAGACCATTTGTTGTTTAGACCATGCAACTCATTTATTGCTTCAATTTAATTGTATACAACAGGCAAGAAACTGGCACCATGTAAATGGGCCTTGGTAACGAGCGAGTAACGCAGAAATCGACATGAATACCGTTCAGTATTAAGGTAACGGAGTTAATTCGCTCGGCGTGCAACCGCTTGTCACGCAAATCTATTCTGTATTGTGTGACGTATTTAAAAATGCTAATGTTATTGTAATAGAAGTGTTGCTCCTACTTATGCAACTGAATATGCACCAGTAGTGCTCGTTTAGTTTGACATGAATTGGTATTCCCGATTAACAATTATTGGTGTCTTGGAGGAGAGCACTAATTGTTTCCGAATTATATCTACTTCTACTTAAAGGTATACTCGTGACGTATGCAACTCATATATAATTATAATTGTTCTATCGAAAGCATGTAGCCGAGTAAGTAGTAAGTAAGCAGGAGAGATGTGTCTATAGTAAATGTATTATGAATAGTCATGGGGTATATTATTACGTAGCTAATTCAATAGAGCTTGAATTATGTCAAAAAATAGGTCAGCTCCAACCTTCCCATCTGGTTCTATATTTAGGACTTGTTTTAGTCTGCCTTGTCGGTGACGTCACGCGCAGACATTACGTCATGGCTATGACGTCAAAAGCTCTGATTACACGTATCTACTATGTACGCTATACTGTTTATAATTATTATAACTGTCTTTAGTGTTTCTTTAGTACCACCGATTGTAGGATGTTAGTTAGGTACGTATTTTTTTTGTTTATCAATAGGCTTATTTGTTCTCGCGGCGCGCGAATTCAAACATAACCCACTTAGTTAAAAATAATTTCTTAATTTGAAATAGGTCAAGTACTTTCAAGAATGGATACTGTTTCAGAGGATTATTTTTATCCAAGATAAATGTTAAAAATGTATTTTCCAGTTATTATTTTTAATATTTAATGCCTAATATTTTTCTTGAAGGACAATAATAATGAGTATTTTTAACGGTGTGTTAAATTTTATATACTTGGACTTATTTCAGTTATAAACGCACTTTTCTTGTATAACTTATAAGTGCTGTGCATCATAATTTTTTGAGACACCTAGTTTAGTAAGCCATGTTTACGTCGCGGAAGATCGACTCTCAACTTCCGGCGCTATGTTTTCATCAGAAGCGTTTAACTTTCGGCGTTTTTATTTGTAGTGGGGTAAACGTTTACTCGCGGTGGTAGTTTTCCGGCGCCTTGTGGTGCGATATTGAATCCTAATGCCGTGGCGTTAGTGCTTAGAACGGGTGGTGAGCGGGGCGGAGTCGATGACCGAGTATTGATCCCGACGAAGTGGGTCGTGACCCGCTTCCCGTTGCAACGTGGCCCCGGGGTAGGGGGAGGGGTGTCTGCAACGGTCACCTCGCCTCAGACAGACACGCTCTCGCACACTGGGGGGCAAGGATAACGTCACGCGGTCCGCGTTTCTTTTTTTTTTCTTTTACTTTTTCTCATTCCTAATGGCGCTATTGCGGCCTTCTCCGTCGTCCGAGTTTAATTGTACACCGCGCAATTGAATTTTTCTTTTGTAGCGGTTTGGAAAAAAGGTTAAGATTTCAGTTTGTGTATGCTCACAAGTTAATTACATTTGTATATTAATTTGTAGACAAGTTTAGCATAAATCCGACACTGATTATTTAAAAAAAAACGCGTAAGGAGAGCCATATTAAATATTGAAACAAGGGGGTAACGGATTTTATAAATCTTTTTGTTAAAAAAATTGATCATTTACTTAAGAAAGTTCAGACACGAGAAATCATCAAAGGTTGTAACAGTAATTTGTTGGTTCTTGTAAATTTTTGCCATTGGTATTCGGCCGTACTTGGTACGGATACATTTTACGTCGGCATTCTACTCGTAAATTGCTTGATAAATCGGTTTTCATATCAAACCGCAAATGCCTCTTAATTTATCCTGATTCTGTTGTCTTAGTTTCGGTTATTGAAATTTTGTTGATCGATATATGAATACAATTATCGGTGAAAGTTATAATTCTTGTAGAATTAAAGTCGGTCGGGCCCGTATTGTTTCCATGAGACAGTGATTCTCAAACTTCAAAAAGTCCAACACTAAACTTCGATTTCATGATGCATGGATAATTTAGTACAATGAGAGCTCGAAACGAAGATTTCCATTCGTTTGGATTGATTGGTCCTTCGCCAAACAAAATCCGTTGTTTAAAGCGAAAACATAGAACCCATCGTTTAGTGAAAACATATAACTCGCAGCAGCTCTTGTTTGGTGAACCTAAATTAAATACTTTCGGAAATTTACATGCGGTCAACGCCGAGATGACTACATAGGACGAAGTGCTCCGCAGACACAAGTGCTGGTGCCGCGCAGGTTGAGAGCCGCTGCGCTTTGGACGCACCGAGGGTTACGAGCTGCACCATTGGTTGCCTGTGGTGCGCTCGTGAAAGTTGATTTGCGAGCAAACCCCCCCCCCCCCCCCCCTTCTACCCGTACCCTACCCCCGCCGTGCCACCACAAAGGACCGTGCTTACTTTCAAACGCGCGGCTCCTCTTACAGTGTCGATTTGCGCGCAATTTAACGTTCTTTTTGTCGAATGGGCGAAGGGAAGACGCTAGTTGACAAGATGTTTATAGATGGGTTGTTTTGACAATATTAAATTGAGGCATTTGCTCGATGCTCATTCTCTTATATCGCCTGCTATATATTTGTATACGTTACAAGTATTTATTGCGTATGACGCGCGTGCAGATAAATTTAATTGGCCATTGGAAAACTACTAAACCATAAAAAACTCATGATGTATGTTATTGTTAAATCATTTAACTGTGGTAGGTACACGCAAACAGAAGGCTTCGCTGTTGCACCTTTGGGTAGGTCTATCCGGTTAAGTACCACGACCTCTCATAAGTACCGGCGTGAAGTGGAAGTATTAAACTTCTCCGTCTGGGGAGTGAGGTAGCTGGGGCCCACTTTATTAAAAGACGGCAACAGGGTGTTGCAAATGTCCATAGGCGGCGGTTTTCACTTAACGTCATGTGATCCGCTTGCTTCTCACATAAAAAAAAAAACTTTTTAAACTCTCCCTGTCATGTAACTAACGTCCTTCGCACAAACCAAAGCATAGTTCCTACGCTGGGGGACGTTTCATGGAGTCTTAGACCCACAGTACACCCAGATCGGTTACGGAACAACTTTTTGAGGGGAATCGAACCCCCAACAATCTGTTGGAATGGTGAATACCATTGCCTACACAGTAATTATTATTCGGCTATATTCCAATATAATAGAGATAAACGAAATTAGACTTATTTAGCTCGATATCAGCTCGACAAATCTCTTATCTGTTCTGGAATGTTCGAGTCTCGTCGGATTTATCGGTGTACGATTTTATCGATTATCTGTTGTATTTATAAAATTGACAGGATACTCTGGATGTCTTTATTATGCATAGCTACGTCCCCGTTGCGATTTATTCGAGGCCGACCTTCGAACCGTTCATTAACCCAATGTGAACTCGGTTGGGAGAGGTTGGTTTTGTATCGGTAGATATTTTTCGTTATCTTCAAATAACCTTTTTGTATATCGTAAAGGCCTTTTGCGCTTCGTATCCAATGTCATTCGGTTACTACTAATCTTATTTCCTATTAATAGGATGGTGTTCTAATTTTAACTTCATTTGAATTTTTACACGCCGTTTAGCAATTTTATGTATTAAACATGTTTTTCATCTTTGGAATGATACATTTATTCTCAAAGTGATTTTTGATCATCATGAAATCAGTAATTTTTCAGCGTTGTAAATTAAATTGTTTTTGTCTTGGTTTTATCATTAACCATTAATTGATGATAATTATACGATAAAGGCGGAACCGGATGGCGACAATCCTTAATTTAGACGTAAAGGAAGCAAGATCCCCCTGATAAAGATAGTTGTTTCAATTATTTTATTAAATTCTAATGAAAACAGTACATCCAATATAAAAATATTTACTCGAACTTCTGCTTCGATTCTTTGTGTGTCAGTGATCAATATGTATAATAGCTGTATTAAAAACAAAAAATCAACCATCCCTTTGCTTTTTTGATTTTATCTAAAACGATTTCAAGCGCACAATTATACGTTGCCATCTTGTATTTGAAAGGGCACGATTGCAATAGAAGCTTTGTTTGGGAAGGCAATACGATTTGCGGGTTCAATTGTTTTCTTAAGTATCGCTACGGCTTCCATAGAAAGGATAGTATAAAGGGTGAGCCGGGGCCCATTTTGGGTCATTCGGTGGTAATCGAACCGGAGAGATTTTGATTACTCATTGTGTTTTCCTCTTGTCTACTACTACATTACATATCTTACATTTACACTTAATTTTTATTCATAGCGTTCTTCCACGCTTTAGCCACTAACAATAAGTTATACACTTTTTGTATGTGGCTCTTAACTACTACGCATGGCCGTTTGGTTTTATTTTAACAATCTAACACGTGGTACATAAAATGTAACAATGGCGTACGCACACAGGCGCCCAGAGTGGAACAATAGCATTATAGCAGTTTCGACGATAACGTTTTTCAAACGAGATTAATAACGAAAAACTCAACGTAGGTATTTAATACGAATTCCGCGTGTAAAAATAGCCGGCAGCGGCACCGCCCTCGGGTGTCGATTAGCGTCGGCCGAGCGTTCTGGAGACTTCTCGAACTAGCTTCAGTGCCTCGAGTGTTTGCTCTCGTGTGAAAGCATTGACGGTCTAACTTAGAAGTTAGGCGGTGGAATTTTATATATATACTAGCGGATCGGGCAGACGTTGACACACGACTTTGATCCGATAACTTAAAAAAAATTGTGAATCTAAACCATTCTCGAATCGACCTGAAGAAACACAAAATCTAGCGGTGGTAGGGCCACGCAGCAGCCTCGGCTGTTGCACGAATGGGCAGGCTCATCTGGGTAAGTACCACGACCTCACAGAAGACCGGCGTAAAGTGGAAGGTATAATACTTTCGCGTTTCGTCTGGTGAGTGAGGTGGCCAGAGCCCAATTTTCAAAAGGTTGTCAACGCATCTCGGAACCCTCGGGTGTTGCAGACGTGCATGGGCGGCGTTATTCACTTAACATCAGGTGAACCGTCTGCTAGCTTGGCAACTTTTCACATTAAAAAAAAATCATTAAAATCGGTCCATCCGTTTAGGAGCAGTTAAGTGACATACATGAATAATTATATACATAAAGATTATAATCGTTTTTGTGTCCGTCAAACCATTCGTAACACAATAAATAGATGACGGCTAACTTAGACGCTCCTTCGCTGTTACAACCAGTTGAGACGAAGTTTATTAGACTTTGATCTATTCTGATTTTATTTACGAATGACATATTTTTTTATGTCGAAACTTGTCAAGCGAGTGTGCGCTCCAATTTTTGCTATGCGAACGCCGCCCATGGCCATGACCGTATAGACTACATAAAGCGTTGACAACATTCGGAGGCGTTGACTTACAAAACAGCGGGTTCCAATTATCTCACAGAGAAGAAGAAACTAGTAAGTTTAATACTTACACTTCAACCTCGACGGCCCTTAGATGACATATCATAGTTAAACGCACGCATGAGCACAAGCGCGGCCCTACCCACAGCGGATGGCCCAAACCCGTGGGTTATGGCTAGCCTACCGGTTTTGCGTCGGAACGGAGCTTGTTATTCATACCTTAAATTTACTCCTACCGGATGAATAAATTACAGATATCCGTTGTTTTCTACTGGCTACTACTATCTTTGAATGTCACATTGAAGAACTGAAAGAATGAACTCTAGTAGAATTGTGTAAAGTATGTGATCTGATTTTAAATGTAAATATTGATATAATTTGAGCTAAAACGTTCCAGATGGTCTTGATAACTATATCTAAACGTACGTTTTAAATGCATATTATGGTTAAGCTGGTGAAAACACATATGCGTGTATCTGAAATAGATTTATAATGTTGACGATGTTTTAAATAAAAAAAATATGTTTACTTAAATATAATCAGGTTAATTAAGAAGATGAAATTATTAGAAGTCCCCTACCAAGTATTTAATTTCGCTTGGGCTTCCTTCTCGTTCTTTTTACCCAAATACTTTTATAAGGTCTTTTTTGTGCGTCAATTTAAATGACGAATTACGTCATAATTTTACTTGAGAGACATTGCTAGCATTATTTCGCTTGCCTCTGCAACGGATTAGAGAACATCATCTCGACATTAATTTTATCTCGGGTGTTACTGGTAATTTATCTCTATTACACGTCTAAATACAAAATAAACAGCATCGTTTAAAGAATGCATTTTATGTCGATAGGAACATGACATGATAGCTCGCGCATCGATTCGAATTGCGTAAGACGTTACAGGCCATTGACCTCCGGTTTACGATCACGTCAATTAGCATGAAATTCATTTATATGTAGACCACAGTCTAATTAATAATTAATGAATACTACATTTCGCAAGCGAACAAATTTAACGCCAGTTAAGTGCTAATAAACGTTTCTTAGTGCAAGCTCTAAATTTTACACTTAGAGCCGCTCTGAGGTTATAGCGCATACAAAGGATCTTTCCGATCTACTTGTGATTAGCTAATATTAGTACATACTGACCCTTTGCTCTCTCCATCCATTACACTATCTATAAATTGTAATATATTTTAATCCACTATTGAATTGCATTTTTTGATTTTCGGCAAGTACAGGATTCTCCAACGCGAAAACGCAATCGTATGCGCACACGATAAAAAAAATTTATTACGAGTTTCGATAAAGAAATGAGCGCAGATTATTATTTCTGCAAAGCTGACGTGTGGGATCACACGGTGTCGTCACATTTGCGAGTGCTAATCAAAATCCGAGCGCCGGCTTGCTCCCTACGTTGAGTCACCGAGCCGACATGTAACTCTATCCCTTCACGGGGAAGGGATCATTGCACTGCGAATTGCCACACGACTGCACTTTCGGTCGATCGTTGATGTATCAGTTGACCGACGACGGAACGAGTTGCGCGCGGCCATTTTAGTAAACTAACGCCCGGTTTCTGAGACATCGATCATCGTAGAAATTAACTAATCAGCCGTCAAATGGCTTTTCAAATGTTATTTAAGTTGCCAAATGGGTGTTTAAATTCTCTGTATTGATCAGAATGATCTTAATAATGATTCACTGATTAGTAGATGACTACGATGATCAGTGTTTCAGAAACCAGGCGTGAGTCTAATGTACACTGGTTTATGAAACAATCCCCAGTCTGCGAAGTCCCTTTCCGTGTGGTTATTTTGTGTAAGGGGGTTTTACTCTCGATATCACTTACTACTAACGACAAAAAATACTCAGGAACTACTAACGCGCGTGTTTTATCATGATGATAATTAAGGTCGCGAAGGGAATTCTGGAATAGCAATACTAATTATTATAATCACAATTATTAGGTAATAATAGTAAAATATAATATTTTGAAGTCCGCAGTGGGGTCTTGTGGTGGACTGTGCTCCCAATACCTGTATTGAGGCGGTCTTTGCTCAGCAGTAGGACAAAATATATGCTGTTAATTTACTTTACTTTCTTAATATATATTGCTACTATATTAAGTAGAGCACTGCCAAGTTTTTGATCCTGATGACTTTTGACCTGATTTCGCCTTTTTATGTTAGATGGTGGCACAAGCCGCTTCCCCTGATTCAAGTGATTCAGTGATTAATGGCCGCCCTTGGACATCTACCTACAACAAATGTGGGCCAGCAGATGCCTTGCCTAGCTTTAAAAGTATGGGAACACTTCCACTTACGCCGTTCTTAACGTCAGTAGAATCTGCCGCGACACCTGAGCAGTCGCCTTTGTATGATCTTGAGACACGCCTAAAATTCCAGGGGGATTTTTTTATAATATATATCCACGGTATAGTTTATCCAAATAGTGCAAGTCACTTTGTGAATGGAACCTAAAATTCTTGTAGCATTTTATCGTGACTACTGGTCAATATTTTAATTTATTATAAATATGTATAAAATAATCATTTATGTTTTTAAAAACCGAAACTTACTACTCAACCGTTGTCTGCCCTTGTTGCTATCTTTATCGATATCAATGAGATAACTGAAATCACTATTCGACTGTTTATCGATAGATAAGAGGCGCTTTTGTCGCTTCGGCCGCTTTCTACGAAACCTAGAGGACGTAACAGCGACGCGGATATTATGCTACCAGGGAGTGGACATAATTATATACCGGCAAAATGGTATCATTTCATGGCAAAACATTGGTGTGTAGTCGGATGGCATGAATCACTGGCGAATTAGAACCAACGGTCGGCATGCCAAGGACATAAGACGCTGTGATAGAGAATCAACTTTGCTAACGTAGCCATAGACTATGGACACATAGAGTAATGAGTTTATTTCGCATTTTTCGTCGTCTCTAACGTTTTAGCACGTGTAATAAGTAATGCAGGTAATGGTGAGTCAGGACTCCTTTCGTGTTTTTACGTAGCATAAAATATACGGACAGTCCGTAATAATTGAGCATTATGGTCAGAGAGCGGTTAAAATATGTTAATTTCTTAAATCTTATAATATTCACTTGAATAAAATTACTTAATGGATTTTATTGCGCATTATTTGCTAAAGTTTTAAACATTCATGGTCACGGTATGGTCTCAAGACGAATATAAATAATAAAAAGATCCCTAAAAGTCTTATCAGTAAAGTTAAAATATTTTATTGTTTTGATAAGAGCTCTTAAATTTTAATGACACTATTTACCTTAACGTAAGATAAAACCACTTTCGCAATATAAACGTAGCATTTCCTCACGCGTTTTTAAATCAACATCTGCTAACTCGATCCGTTGGAGAAATAAGCATAAGCGATACAAGGCGCGGTATTGAAACTCTAAGCGGTTTTCCTCCCACGTCGCCGCAAAATGGTTTCCTGTCCGTTTGTCCTATTTAATTTCTATCGTCGGAAATGCCGCTGTGGGTGGTTCTAAATGTATCCTGAACGTTACTATAGGGCAAACGCGTCGTGGTGCCGGCTTTCTCTTGGCGTTCAGCAATAAGGTCGGTTGGAGTGCTTGGAAATGTCCAGACAACTATGCATGCATTTAGATATATTGCCTTTAGTCTATAGCGGAGGGAGGATGGGGGAATAATGGTCCACCCCACTCGCCCCAACGACTTTAATTAATACGCACACGTTTGTTCCTTTAACATTCGTCCCACCCATTAAAATCCCCTTTCCCAATTAAAGCGGTTAATGTTGGACATTTTTTTTTCTGTTTTTTTTATTTGCTTAAATTTCAAACGAGCGGGCGGTTCACCTGATGTTAAATTCGCCAATGGGCGTCTACAATACCTGAGGGATTAAAGGTGCGTCGACAACTTTTAAAAAAGTGGACACTGTCCTCACTCAGTAGACGAAACGCGAAAGTACAAAATTTCACTTCACGTCGGTCTTCTCGGAGGCCTTAGTAGTTCTCCTGACATATTCATGTAACAGCAGAAACTGTTGCGTGGCCCTAACACAGTAAAAATTCTATCTTTCGGAATTAAGTTAATTAAGAACTTAATCGCAAAAACTAAAACTGTAATTAAAAAAAAGGCCAAATAAGAGTTGGAGTCGCGCACTAAGGGTTCCCTACCATTTTATCTGTAAATACGGCAAAAAATCATGTCATTTGTATTGTCCCATATCCCACTTAAATATTTCCTTATTCTCTTTTCTTGTTGTTTTATAGCGTCAACAGGAATACATCTTCTGTGAAAATTTTAACTGTCTAACTATAACGGTTTTAAGATATAGCCTGATGAAAAACGGACAGACAGACAGTCAGTGGAGTATCAGTAATAGGGTCTGCTACTGCTGTTTTTACATGCGTTCATTTGTGGGATTACATGTGGCATTTGAGTCTTAATATAGATCGAACCTTGCCGTTGAAAAAATTTAAATTTAATTACAATTAAGTGCTAAATATAATCTGTGATAACAGCTGTGAGTGATATGAAAAAGCATCGAGACCGTTGTATGTACGAGGTGAAAGAGCAGTTTCCTACTGCTCTTCATCTTCCAGAAGATTCCGAGATGCAAAAACGTTAATCGTGTACTGTAATGTTGCCATATAATTATTATATTTGCATTGGTGTCGAACTTGTGGCTTAAATGTACGCATTAGGGGTGTGGTAGTTTCCGTCGGGATTATTCTTTTTTTATCAACGCTATTATTACAAAATAGCGACGGCGCCGTTGTCGGAAAACTCACTGGCAACCGAACGCGAAGTACTTTCGAGTCCCGCGCGATAACTGCGCCGTGATTCGCATTGTAAACCGTTTGCGTAACGCGATAAAGTCCTTTTTCGGAAAGCACAGCTTCTCAATGCGTAATGAAAAGTCTGAATGGGCCCGATGCGTGTGTTTAGAGATCTCGAACGGTCGTAACGTGCATCCGACGCCATCAACATACCGCCCACGTCGATACCGTGTTTAGTCTAACCAGCGCCGTAACGCCATCGCTGTTATGGGATACGTAAGTTAAATGCTAGATTAGCATCTCGCCTGTACGTGACCCGACATCACTTGTGCGACCGACACGCGGCGATTCTCCTCGCTCGCAGCTGGCTCCATTTGTACTGCGCGGTATTGCGTACGTGACTTAGTGCTCTATCTTTAAACACTATTAATTTGTTGACGTTTTCAACTCACGAATAGTCCGAGAGCTTTAAAAGTTAAAAAAAAATTAAAATTCTTAAGTTTTATTAACAGTAGTCAATTATTTAAAATGCGTCGAGCCGTCCGAATTGCAACAGTTACTCTAGCCAAAACGGCCGAGTTAATGGGATTCGTTCTCCGCCGATTCGTCGGTGTCACATTGGCGCGGAGGTAGGTGGCAACCCTACCGCGTGCGGCGATGACGCCAGCGTCGGGCCGTCAACGTGACGTCGGGCGGTGAGGCCGCGGGGCGCTCTACCGCCCGCCAGCCGCCAGTCTCTGCACGCCCGCGGCACGGACAGTGTCGTACCGCTGCGATGTAAACGCACAGCCCTAGCCCTCTGTCCACGACAGCTCTAGTCTCGCGAAAGAAACTGTATCGTCTTCCCGCTCTATCGTTCCACCCGTGGAATACATGTAAGTGGTGTACCCGTGTCACACAACTAATCGGCCGGCGCGTGACGTTTCGTCCTACATTCGTGGATACCACCACGAATGTAGGACGAAACACCGGGTTCGAAGTGCGAACCGATCGTTGCTGGATGCGGTAAATATGCGCGGTGAGGACGACGTTTCGTGAACTGTGCTCAGTGTGCCTGCCGTGTGGTGTGTCGTATCGCGGTTGCGCCGTGTCCATTGCTTCGTACGGCGTGTGCAACAGGTGGATAGAGTACGACGCGGCATGTAGGTCTAACCACGCTCGGCGATCATTGTTCGACGTTTACCCGCTATATCTTAACAATTCGACGCGCTATTATTCAACGGCGCGCTACAGAAACTGTCGAATGCGTATTTATTAGCACCGGCACAGCGTCTTTCGGCGTATTTATTTTTTTTTTATACTTAAAAACTCTGTGACAGCAGTAGCACTTCCCATAGCCCCACGAGCAACTTGTAGGGCGCTTTCTATTTAAAACGACCCCTCACGAAGCGGCCATTGCTTTTTATAGAGCGAAATGATTCTACCGAGTGGGCGGAGACTGTATCGCTGAAATGGCGACCAGTTAGACTGTACTTTAATTACCACGCGTCCACTTAGTACAATTAGCCGTCACACGGGGCATCTTATTTATTAGCGCGCTGGGCGCGGTTCATAAACATCACCCCCGCGTTTAGTAGTTACACTCACTGTTCTACGCGACCGTTCATTTATGTCCCGTAGAGCACTTTCTTGTCTAAACTTCCACATCACTTCTGATGCTACTAACGTCCATTGCAGTGATGATCGCTATTTCTTTTCCACTTCATATAAATATTCCTACTTAGTTTTTTAATGACATTAAATTAGATATTTGATGACATGTCAATCAAGTTTAATCAAAGACGATATGTATGTCGATGTGAAATCGTTCAGTTTTTTAGACGTGAGTTTCTTTTTTTCGCTATGCAAATTGATTTAGCACTGTCCGGCTTCGACGAACGCGTTATGTCACTGCCAATGTCATTATTTCACGGTCGACGCTCGTTAATAGCTGTTATTATCGGTAGCGGGAGCCGCCTCCTTTTTTTCCAAACTAAATATTTTCACTGTTCTATTTGCTTATCAACCCCCCACGTTAAAACACTGGTGTTATAAGTTTGTCTTGTCCGTCTGTGTATCTGTGTGTTTTTCTATCTGTGGCATCGTAGCTTCTTAAGGACCGTTTATGGTTTGGTTTATTTTTTGTTTGAAAACTGACGTGCTCGTGATGGTTCTTAGCTATCATAATTTGAGTTTTACATGTCACGGGGTTACTTAAAATTTATAACTTATTAGCGACCCTCTCCGGCTTCGCACGAACCTTCCTCTTGAATCACTCTATCTAGTAAAGAAAATCACATCAAGATCCGTTGTGTAGTTTTCTTAAAGATTTAGGCATACATAGGGACAGACAGACAGTGGGACGACTTTGTTTTATACTATGCAGTGATGCACAGCAAAGAGACGTTTACATTTCAAGTGACATTTTACCACAGTCACTCACTTGTTTTGCCTTCCCGTAATCCCTCCACTAATACTTAAACTTTATGGTATTAAAGTTCAAATTGACGTAAGTATTATTATGAATTTTTTGTACGGGAATATAGAAAAGCTAATGCGCCTTACTAGCATTCGATTCTTAGATTTCAGGTCTCATAATGACTGCAAGTTTGTTTTGCCGCGATATCTGGTACATATATTTATTCCGAGTGTCATTAGGTTATTCCTTTAATGAATTCCAGTGAGCCTCTTTATCTTTAATGAATATATCGTGTTTGCCAACTATTGTGTTGAACGTTTCGGCTTCGGTTCATAAGGAAAATGTAACGCTGTCGATTCGGCAACGTCAATTGATACTACTATTAGTTAATTACATTAGGACGCAGATGGTAAACAGTATGAAGAGCGGTTAGGTTTCTTCCTAAATTAATACACCAGAGAGTCGACTTCGTAAAATAGTTACAGAGGTGAAATTCGCGGCCACATTGCCCAGGTTACAAAAAAGTTTTTTTTTATGTGATACGTTGCCAAGCGAGCTGACGGTTCACCTGATTTTAAGTGAATATCGCCGCCCATGGACATCCGCTACGCCCGAGGGTTACAGATGCGTTGACAACCTTTTGAAAATTGGGTTCCGGCTACCTCACTCAAGAGACGAAATGCGAAATATTATACTTCCACTTTACCCCGGTCTTTTGTTAGGTCATGGTACTTACCCGGACGAGCCTGCCCATTCGTGCAACAGACGAGGCTGCTGCGTGACCCCACCACCACTAAAAATTATTTTAAATCACGCGTAATCTCGAAGATGCGGAGACTACAACTAATAGTTGAAAATTAAATGGTAATATAAATATTTTATTTTGTGATTTTTCGTAATTCCTTATATTTTTAACATTTCGTCGAAATGTCCACCATGTCGATATCAATGTTCGTGACGCACATCCTCTACATATTATTCTATTTTGTTCAGCAAAATGATTTTGAACTTTAGATCTACTCTGATAAACGACACGTCCAAAAGCCAGTAGGAAATCATCGTTTGACATTTTCGTTGCACTATGCTTCGAAACTTTGCCGTTTTTTTTTTTTTTTTGGATGAAAAGATGGAAAGTTTTATCGTTGTTTGGTTTATGGTTTACGTCTACATCTACTGAATCGGGCTCGTATTTTGTATACGTCAAAGTTAATTTGTTTTATTAACGTGTCGGCGTTGGAATAGAGGTCGGACAGCGTGTGAGTAATTAGCTTGTATAACTGCTCCGAGTTTTATGCGAAACAGACCTGAAATTTGCTCGATTTATGTTGGAGCGTCTTTATTTTTCTTTATTTGTCAATTTTTCTTATCTACCGAGACAGTTTTTATACATCACCCACTTTATGCAATCAGTTTAACCCGTGATAAAGAGGTGTGCAGCACTGGCGTAAATCCCAATTTTACAAGTATCAATTATTAAGTTAAAAAACTTTTCCCGGTCGGCAATCCAACCGAAGGCCCGAAGCTTTGATGTTACCCGAATCAATGTATCTGGCATGACCACTCGTGATAAGGTAATGCGTTACGAACTCCTATTTATAGAGCTGTGTGTAAATATCTTGTCGATTCTAATGCTAATAGAATTCATTGACGTACTGAAAAGTCGAAGCCAATACCTTGTCCACTGCGCCATGCAGTCAGCAAATCTATCGGAGTCAATAACTGTAAATATTAAGAAATAAACACATCCATCTGTACTTGTTAAGTTATCGAATACAGCTCGATGAGTTACATTTTTGTGTAAATATCTTCTTCTTATATAAAAAAATGGATTGCTGTTCGTTAGTCTCGCTAAAACTCGAGAACGGCTGGACCGATTTGCCTAATTTTAGTTTTGAAATATTTGTGGCAGTTCAGGGAAGGTTTCAGAAGGTTCAGGTAAGGTTGAAGGTTGAGAAATTATGGAAAAATTGCATGGAAAATGGAAATAGCCACAATTTCATTTTCCCATACAAACTGTACCTGTCAACTATGTCTGTGTAATCTGTCAAACACTTAATGCGTGCGTTCCGATTCCCTGTAAAAATAATTTATATGGCAAAACAACGTTTGCCGAGTCAGCTAGTAAATAATAAAGGTACATAAATCATTCAAAATTGAGCCCAATAAATTAGGTTCGCCGAAAGACGGATGATATCCTTTGAATTCTTTACAATGCTCTCCTTCAGCGATTTGTATGAATGAAATTCTTTTCTGCGGCGTTAATGTTATCTATACTTCCTTTAACTCCGAACAAAATTCACCGAAAACCTTCAAACGAGCTTGATTTTTTTTTTAAATAAGTTGTTGTAATAAAGTAAGGTTTTGGTATTTCTAAGAAAATCCCGACAGTTTATTCGAAATAAAATCGCACAGTACTATTAGGCAGATATCAATGAATTGAGTATTTTTAGTTACCTGTTTATATTGAAGTATTATGCACCAAACTATTTGTAAACGAAAACGTAAATCTTAATAACGGGCTAAGCATCTCACTCGTGTTCAATCCGTTATAACCTTTCAGAGTTTAAGGTCAATTGTAAGTTAATAAAAAAATATTCTTAATGTTCTCTTTCCTAATGAAAATGGAGCTTTATTTCAAACTAGCTTTTCGCCCGCGGCTTCGCTCGCGTTGAAGTCCTTGAATGAATATCTTTCTTTAAAAATTATATATATATATTTTAAATAAAGATATTTACACACCACTTTTTTCACCCTTTACAACATTTTTTTTTTACAATTAAAAATAGCCTATGTCCTTTCTCAGGTAGAGCCTGTGACTATCTGTGTACCAAATGACATTTAAATCGGTTTAGTAGTTTTGGCATAAAGCGAGACAGACAGACAGAGTTACTTTCGCATTTATAATATTAGTATGAATCGGTTCAAAAACAAATGTTTTATCATTGTATGGAATATGTACGTTTGATGTGTTCGAATTTAAAACATTCGGTACACGCGATCTCGAGAGGCGAACGCTTTTAGCTTAAAAGCAACGTCTGATGAGGACCAAGGTCCGTCGTCCGCGTCCTCTAACGTCAACGGCAAACACGGAGCCGCGATTGGCTTGTTAGCGTCGCTTCTTTCAACTTTAAATATAGAACACGAAAATCGTCGCAAATAAGAAACTACGTATTAATGTTTTTTTTTTTTTTAAGTAAAACTTCTTTACGCATCCTTGACTTCGGGAGTAAGTTGATTATTTCGTTCTTGTACAATTATATAAATTAATAGTTTGTTCAAAACGTTAAATAGTCTACGTTTAAAGTAAATAAAATTATAAATTTATACAGACGGAAATACAGATTACATATAGATGGAGCTAAAGAAGTTTTACTACAGTTTTAAGCACACTCGATTTTTTATTAATGTTATCTAGTCTGCATATGATTGAAACCTCTTTGGTCTCCGTTGTGTGGATTTCAATTAAAAAACTTAATTAAACCATTTAATGTACGATTTATATAAAGGGAATTCACATTAGGCAGCACGTAAGCCCAATGTTGTTATGTAAATTCCAAAAGCTACGCTACCTTTGTGCGACGTGACTGAAACACAAGCAATCCTACATTGTTGCCCATAATCTACCGAGATTATATGGTCAACTGACCTTCGTTACTGACTTATCACTTCAGATTTGAAGCAGTGCACTCCGTCTTTTTATTTATATAGTATGAAAACACTTCTAATCTGTCTCATTTTATCGTTATCGGACAAGCAAATGGATGTATCTGTCGAGGTGTTGTAAACCATAGTAGGTATTATGATATCAACATATTTCTACATACATATGAGGACGTTACTCCAAATTAAACGTGCTTACTTAACAGCTTAATCACTGAAGTATATAGTAAAAAAAACAATTCTGTAATTAGATCACGTTTCGCTTTTCGCTGAACGAAGCTCGATCACACAGTTGGTATAAGTCTGAAATTAATTGTTTTGCTTCTATTTATCTAACATTAATTTGTTACTATTTAAATTCAGTACATTATATATCCTAATACTAGGCGAAGGCCTTCTATGTACAAATTATATATAAGGGAATAAGTCCGCTATACGGCCATTGGTAAGCGAATGACCCGACACCGAGCCACCAAGGCTCTAAAAGTTTTGATAGCCGTTCGAATTCTTTATTAATTCCAAGGCAGTGGCAATTCAAGGCAACAAGTCGCTTCCTAGAAGCGATGTAGTGGTACAGACACTCGCCCGTTGCTCTATTGTCGGCCTGACCTTGCACGTTTTCCACTGATGCGTCTGTGCACTGTCAGACACTTCTATTAGTGATTATATTAGTTTATATTAGATTATATATATATATATATATATATCTTCTATTAGATCTGATTCTATTAGTTTTCTTTTTATTGCCTCGAACTCTTATTTCAACGCGAAAATATTTTTATTTCTTTATCACTATCTTGTTCAGTACTAATATTGGATTACTGATACTATCAGCAAGTTGGTGGGTTGGTTGGTGCAAGTGGGTGTTTCTTCTTGATCTCTTATGCCTTTTGGCGTTCGAGATGTTTTTAATCTAGCGCGATCCTAAATAATTGATATTTTTAATCATTTTAGATTCTTTTTTTGCTTCGTCATTGATGACACTGATAAACATTTTTACGTTCTTTGTTTATTTTATCACCATCAAAATTAAAAGTAAAATCGTGTTTGCGCATTTCTTTCTAATAAATAAATTACAAGATAAAAATAAATAAAGTGATAAATAATGTCGACAATATTCTTCTCGATAGTTCTTTTAGAATTAGAATGCTATTTTGTCGGAAACCATAATCATTGTGGGGATAATTTGCGGGTGACATCCGATATCAGATATGCGTATCACATAGCAATAATCAAGGCCTTACATAATCTCTGAGCGAGGAGTTAGATCTATGTCTATTAGTTTCGTAAGGATTCATGTAATAATCTCATTCCACATCATAAAATGGAAATATTTTCATGTTCCCTCTGACGCGAAGTATGGAGCACATGGATGGAAAAAACACGAAAAGGCAAACAGGTCTTAATAGAGTCCCGTTTTACCCTTTGGGTACGGAACTCTAAAAACCCAGAGTTGCAAAACCTGGGTATAAGACTGTGATTGGCACAAATATGCGATCGTTTAATGGTTCGTGTAATGAGTTTCGAGTTGGCGCCTCTTCTGCCAACAATACCGCCTCGGCACGTGTCCGCCCTGCGGTCGTATGTTATAGACTGCAATTGGTGTCGTGATCGCTCCTATGTCTATTGAATTCGCGTCGGCTGTCCATAACAAGTCGCCGTCAGTGCTATTGATAGACTAAAAACATCCGCGCTGACATCCGAACGCCCTTGCCGCCTCGTTTATAGAGGCGTGTGAAAACATTTTCAATCGTTCCTTTGTTACCGATTCGAGTGCGTCATCGAAGTACCCACAGAGCCGCATTAGAAATTCGTACGGCATTTATTATTGTAGCACGTCTCAATTCGTGAACTGCTACTTACTCCGTCCTCGAGATACTTATTTCTGTTTTCATTACCACTTGTATTCTGAAAATGCACAGAAGACACGATGAAAACTCGATTGTTTTGCAATACGAATATAACTGCGTAATTGTGCAAATTCAGACCTATCAAGTGTGAGGGGAAATTAAATTAATTTCCGGCGATTTGTGCTGATTTAGCGTATCTGGCTAGACGAAAATGTGTCGAACTTATGTTGCGAGTCGAAAATGTCTGCATTGTTGCACATGTTCATGGACCGTCTGGAGTTTATCGACCGTCTAGTCTAGTCGGGATACGGAACAAGCCCCTGACCCCCAGACTGCGCCACCGCTTGCTTCCTAAAATCTGTCGGAGACGACTTATTACAGCATTCGTTCTGATATTATCTTAAACTTACTTCTATTAGTAAGTTTCGTTTTATTGTCTGCAACATTCATTGTTTAATTTAAACGCTTGCGTCCAAAGTAAGATTGGAATTGTTGAACACTTAAATGGCCTGTATCTTTAATAAACGAATACCTGAATGAACTAAAGTATGTTAGAACGTATTCGGATGTTCGAATACTGAAGATGCGAACGTCGAAATCTAAATTCTCTCTTGGCCCCACACCAAGTTCGCTTTCCGTCGCTCCTTAAAAACTCTGAACGAAAATAAATATGCGCCCGAGACGTCCGCGTGAATTATATGGCTGCTAATTGCGACGGCGTTCCATATAGCCGGCACCGCTTCGCATTTTATCAGCATATCGGAGCGATACGACTTGATGTAAACACGATGCGATCCGCGAAGTACCCACGCCTCTGTTGCCGTTGCCAAATTCTGTTGCGTCTCCAATCGGTAGCGCGATGCCCGCGTAAATCTCTTTGGTCCACTATTCGGTGCGACCGGTGCGATATACGTCTCGCAAGAATCCAGTCCGATCGATGCAATGACAGTTGTTGGCTTGTGATTCCTCTCGGTAGTCCCTTCCCGCCGCGCTCGTCTCCACCGTGGCTCGACTGATGGACGTGTGCCGAGACGTCCCTGCTCGCTTCTTATTGTCGGTTTTCATCAACGTCGCGGTTCGGAACTGAACAGCTTTTTTACTAGACTACGATAAAACCTACTATATAAAATCAAGTGTGCAGTAATTTGCACTGTGCTAATATACCTCGTCGTGAGTGAATGATAATTGGTCAATTAACAGTCTACGCACAAACTTTGGCTATTGAGGTATTTATCAAGAGGTCAGTTAGCGTAGCGATTAACGGAGTCATTAATGGTGATGAGTGAACGGTGCGTCTCTCGTTGCAGCTGGGCATCCCTTCTGTGGCGACATTGATGGAGTTCCGCTTGGACAGTGCGGAGTACTGCCAGGCTCAACACAAATAAACACGCGGCCATTTCGCGCTAGCCAGCGAACGCGGTGTACCACCATCTGGACCCATGCTGCCGGGAGAGCGCGCTTACACCCAACCCGCGCACCATAAGTTGTTCACCCACCCACAGGTATGTAAAAAAAAGTAAAGTGGCAGCCTAAATTACGCACTGCTGTGCAAAGTCCTCTGAAAAGATGGTATATAGAGCATTGTCCACCAGGCGACTCTACTAAAGATTGGCGGACTTTTTTTTTGTTATTATTTCGAAAATATGCAGGTTTCTTCAAGATATTTTCCTTCACCGTCCGTGATAAGCCAACACAAATTTACAATTTCCTTGGTGCTGGCACCAGGGATTTAACTCGGGCATCTCAATCGAAACGTCGGAAGTTTTAAATTTCCTCTCCATTAAATAGGACTGCCTTGTTTTACATCTTAACATATTTGAAGAAATTTGTTTACAATTTATGGGGAGGAAAATTTTGGACAAGCCTAGATCAGTTTCATTAGTTTCAAGAACATTTTCCATCGTCTTTTACTCCTCCTCTCTCCTCTCTGTATTGGACCCTCTGAAACTTATTGATTTTAAAAACAGGACAAAACACAAAACTTTGTGGTTGCCGTAGGAAAGTGTCCATCGAAACATTCGACAACCACCGCTGAGAACAAAAGCCAATAGGACGGTTGCTTCGTGCTAAACCAACACTCCGGAGCACTCGATGCGACCGCGTTCGCTACGCTGCTATCGCAACACACACAATGGGCCCTCGGTTGCGTCTTGTTTACACCGTCGTTATCGTCCGTCCAGCGTGCGGCGGTCGAGGCCGGCTGGGCTTAGCGAAAGCGTCACGAAGCTGGCATTGGATCAGCAGTCCATCGCCGCGTCTCCCGCCGTACGGTGCGCTCACATGACCGTGGAGACCCCCCCCCCCCCCCACCGCTCTATTTTTACAAGCACAATTCCCACGGCGCCCCACCGTCCGACGCGTTTCTGACGCACACGGCCGCCGAGTCGAGATGCCGCCGCGCGTCCACCGGAGCTACCCCGTGCCCGCAGTTTCAAAGCAGCCCGTCTGTTTCTGTTCCAGCTACCTTAGACCCCGCCGCCGCAACAGTACAATCACGCAGGGGGAGGGCAAGGCATATACATAACCTTATGTTACGCGTTTAGTTTCGCCACCGCTTCAGACACCCCACCCTGAGCCCCGATTCGTCCGTCTCCGAATGCGCCCGAGCGTTTGAAGGCGACATCCATGCGGGTGGTTCTAATCATATAATTGGACCCTTCCTAAAGAGGAACAGCGAGACTGCAGTGTGTTGTGTGGAAATAGAGTGACAGTTTGCCTGTTGGACTCTGACGGATCAACCGGAGTGCAGACGCAAGTTGGACATATCTATCGGTCGTACGGAGAGCAGCAAAAGTGGTCATCATGAAGCAAAAGGACATCAGGCCGGCGCCCTCGCTAATCGAGTACAAGAGCATGCGCTTCCTCATCACCGACCGCCCATCGGACGTCACCATCCAGTCCTATCTACAGGTGAGCTCGTTGTAACTCTTTATATAACCCTTAGTGTCCGAGATGGAGAGTGTGATGGCATTTTGAAAATGTTCGGCTGCCTTGTTAACCGTTTTCTCATTAAATTTATTTGTTTTTAAATGTTCAACGAATTTTGCTTCAATTTCATTGGGCCCTAGAATTAGTTCACGAAAGATATCGTGCCTGTATACGTCGTATCTTGACATAATTCGTTTGGATACGCTTGCCAATTTACCGCCAAATGCGAAAATATCCGCGTAGACAGAGCAGATCTCTAACAAATTACGTCGACAATCGTATGTCGCTCCCGAAATTGATGATATCTTTGTTTCCGTTTCCTTCCCTTTGTTACGCGCTATACCACCCGCAATGTGTTGATTTGATCGCCATAAATATTCAATTGTAATATAACAGTAAGTATCTAGATACATCGAAAGATACGATATCGGCGTTATTAAGCAGACACAATGACAAACAGCGTGTGGCAGCTAATATTGCCGCGGTGTGCGATTTGAATATAAGGCGCTCCGCTAGAAAGGCAAAGTAGCTGTGGATAATGAAGCTGAAACAATGGTGCAAACGCTCGCAACGATAAACTGCAAGTCGTGCGGGCGCCGCCGTGCCGTAACTCTAGTATTAGTTTGTGACGTGGGTTGGGTATGGGCGCGGCGTGAACAAACGTACTGCGTTTTTCGAAAAAGTCTCACCGGGTTTTTCTTCGATTCTTCTTCCTTGTCATTAGAGCTCGCGGCCAGACTACAATCGGTGCTGTTGCATAGGGAAGCGGTAGTTGTGACGTCACTGCCGTCTTTACGTCCGACCCGCTAACTGTTTTTATTTGCAATCTCGCGGCATACCGCTACGCAATTTAAGATAGCCTTTGTTTATTTTTTTATTATCACTCACTATCGGCGTCGTATACTTAACAGTTAATTTAGAAAATATTTACACTGAAGCGAATTATTCATGAATATTTTTGCAATGTACAGATTATCTTATACCGCAATATTCATATATTGTTAGTGTCTCGGTAAAAAAAGATTAGACAACTATAAATACTCTTCTTTATAACTAAAAATACTCGAAAATTTGTAAAAGGTTAATTTATAATTATAAATTTACAGGCGTTTTATATATCAAAATTACCGGTACAGAAGTTTAGTCTATCCAATTCTGTATATTCGTAACTTTCTCCTGGAGTAGTAACAACGCTATATTTAATTTCCCTTTGATCGATGGGTATTTCATAATCCTTCAGACTGGTATTGACACCATACACCATGATAAGATGGTTTAAAATGGGTCTACACTATTTCCTTGGAAATAGTTAGAGAAGCCTTCGAACAGGTCTTGATATAAATCATGAAAATATAAAAAAAATGCTTGTTGTCTGATTCCCCTTGAAATAATTAGTGGCCGGAATTCATTTTGCCTCACTTAATCGAAGGACTTCCATTCGAACTGACTGAAAGGATAAGTTGTTTTATACAGACAATTACAATGCAAAGGTTGTTCAGCTATTGTTTCTTTTCTCAGCCCAGATAGTGCCTAATATGTACCATGAAGCTCAATTTATGTGAGTAGGGGATTCACCTGTTAAGTGATAACCGCCGCCTATTGACATTTGCAACACCCGCATTCTTGCAGATGCGTTGCCACCTTTTCATAAAGTGGGCCCCGGCTACCTCACGCACCAGACGTAAACGTATAAGTAGAACACTTCCACTTCACGTCAGTCTTCTGCGAGGTCGTGGTACTTCTCCGCACGGACCTGCGCAATCGTGCACCATTGAAGACTTGCGTGGCCCTAACCGCAATAAAACTCATAGTTGGTTACGGGGGCTGGAACCACCAGCGTCTCTGCGAAGGCCCGTGGTTTTTGTGCTGCTTGTGCGCTGTGCTTCACGGTGTCGTGGTGTTTGTGCGCAGGAGCTTCGCAAGCACAACGTGTGCACGGTGGTGCGCGTCTGCGAGCCGAGCTACGACACGGCGCCGCTGCGCGCGGAGGGCATCGAGGTGCGCGACCTCGCCTACGACGACGGCACCTTCCCACCGGCGAACGTCGTCGACGACTGGTTCGAGATACTGCGCGAGAAGTGAGTGAACGGAAGTATAATGTTATAACCCGTCGATGACTGGTTCGGGATATTGCCCGAGAAGAGAGTGAACGAAAGTATTGTAACCCGTCGACGACTGGTTCGAGATACTGCGCGAGAAGTGAGTGAACGGAAGTGTTGTAACCCGTCGACGACTGGTTCGAGATACTGCGCGAGATGTGAGTGAACGAAAGTGTAATATTATAACCCGTCGATGACTGGTTCGAGATGTTGCGCGAGAAGTGAGTGAACGAAAGTATTGTAACCCGTCGACGACTGGTTCGAGACACTGCGCGAGAAGTGAGTGAACGGAAGTGTTGTTACCCGTCGACGACTGGTTCGAGATACTGCGCGAGAAGTGAGTGAACGGAAGTGTTGTAACCCGTCGACGACTGGTTCGAGATACTGCGCGAGAAGTGAGTGAACGGAAGTGTTGTTACCCGTCGACGACTGGTTCGAGATACTGCGCGAGAAGTGAGTGAACGGAAGTGTTGTAACCCGTCGACGACTGGTTCGAGATACTGCGCGAGAAGTGAGTGAACGGAAGTGTTGTAACCCGTCGACGACTCGTTCGAGATACTGCGAGAGAAGTGAGTGAACGAATGTATTGTAACCCTTCGATGACTGGTTCGAGATATTGTGCGAGAAGTGAGTGAACGAAACACTTGATACCCGTCGACGACTGGTTCGAGATATTGCGGGTGAAGTGAGTGAACGAATGTATTGTAACCCTTCGACGACTGGTTCGAGATACTGCGCGAGAAGTGAGTGAACGAAACACTTGAAACCCGTCGACGACTGGCTCTTTTCTGATTCCACTGTTTTCTGACGAAGCTCTTGTGACCACGCTCTTTGATCCGATGAGTGAATGATAAACACATTCGTTTGATGTTAGAACGTAACCCAAGTCTATGAAAGAGCGAGTGAGTGTTTTTGTGTAAGAACTAGTTGTTTCGATGCAAGTTAATGTAATTATTGTATTTAGAGATAGCAGTGAATGGATCTTTCGATCCGACTGAAATTGATGAATTAGTGAATGTCTGTTACTTACTTAGTCAGTTATTTGTTAGGAGAGTACAAGGATCGATTTGGACCTGTTTTAAGGGATTAGTCTGTGGGATTGCTCGTGGTTTCAACGCTCGTCGTTGAAAGCGATGCGTCTACAGTTGCGGGAGTGGAATTCATCCTAACGAGGCCGTCACTTTCTTGGCGCATTTCGCAACGCGGGAGTTGGCCGCTTTCCTTACCTCCTTTGGCATGAACTTTAACCGTAAATGTCTGCAGACCTTTGGACGATTACTCAAGTGCCATCAAAGCCCAATTCGAATAGCTTTCATTGATGATCTTTAGATGAACACTAATCAAAAACCTATGTATATTTTTATTTATAGCACATTTTCACACTGAATAATCGTAGTATATTAGTAGTTGTACACATACCATACGTTTTTTAAACCAATCTTCGATATGATCTTTATTTTACTAATATATTAACATTATCTTATAATTATACATATAGGAAACATTTTAAGATAAATAAATTTGAAATAAATACAATAACTTCCGTATTTTGCGACACCTCAAAATTCTGATACAATGTGTTTATATCTACCGCGTTGTTGTAGCCCGCTTCCTACTACCAGCGTTCGTTGTAGGTAGTTTTTTTCTCTCCTTTTCCGTGACTTCATGTTGCGCTGGTTTCAACACGCAGTGAATTAGTCACGAATATTCATAGTTTTTTTTGACACTGCCTTCAGTTTTAAAAGGAAGACCAAGAAGTTACTAGCAGTTTTATAGATGTAAATGCGGTATAATCAAAGACGTAATATCATTCTAGGTGGGTTGTTCTAATTGGTGGAAGCTTTGCATCAGCAACTTAACCGAGTCGTATATTCATGGGCATCCCACAGGTGGGCAAAGTCTTCTATACAGAGGCCTATTAGGGTATAGTTCACCATGCGACCCCACTGCGGGTTGACAGACTTCACATATCTTTTTAATATTTTTCTGGTTAGTACTTCGAAAATATGCAAGTTTCCTCACGATGTTTTCCATCACCACCGAGCACGAGAGTCAGCACATAAATTTTTCAGTTAACAATTTCTTTGGTGCCAGCACCGGCATACGAAGGTTGCTTGAAATCAAACAAATTCCTCTTAGGAACGGGCCTATGCACCATTAATAATGTTTTATAGGTTGACGTTTATGTCTGTGTATGTGGCATCGTAGCTTCTAAACGTGTGGTGGCAATGCATCTAAACCCTACTGGTGTTTCGAATGTCCATTGGCGACGGTTACCACTTAACATCAGGTGAACCGCTGGCTTGCTTGCCACCGTCACAAATAAAAAAGTGTATTATTTAATCTTCTTTATTCTTTATTGTACACAGAGTATGAGTGAAAACAAAGTTACAAAAAAATGTACAAAGGCGAACTAAACCCTAAAAAGAGTTTTCTTCCAACAAACCCTGACATAAGATTAATGAGAAACAAAATCATGATAGGCAGGTGTGTAAAACTAGATATACTTAAAATCTAAACGCGTAGTGTATTTATTGTAAATTTATGAATCCCATTGTGATGTCGTGTTACTCCTTTGTCAGGGCGCAGAACAAGCCGGAGGCGGCGGTGGCGGTGCACTGCGTTGCTGGGCTGGGACGGGCGCCCGTCATGGTCGCCATTGCTCTCATCGAGCTCGGCATGAAGTACGAGGAGGCAGTCGAGACGATACGCGAGTGAGTGCTTGCCTCTCCGTCTCTTTCTCCCATGCGCCTCTCTTTCCGCTTGAAAAACGAGGCTACAGTAGGAATTTATGCTCGAGAGTGAGTGGTCTATCCCTCTTCCTTCCGGGGCTCTCTCACCATGAAGCACGAGGAGATAGACAAGCCAATACCCGATTGAGTGCTCCTCTCCGTCTCTTTCTCCCATGCGCCTCTCTTTCCGCTTGAAAAACGAGGCTACATTAGCAATTAATGCTCGAGAGTGAGTGGTCTATCCCTCTTCCTTCCGGGACTCTTTCAACATGAAGTACGAGGAGATAGACAAGCCAATACCCGAGTGAGTGATCTTCTCCGTCTCTTTCTCCCACTCCCTTTTCCACGCGTCTCTCTTTCCGCTTGATAAACGAGGATACCATGGTAACAAATATTCGAGTGAGTGTTCTATCCCCCTTTCTTCCGGGGCTCTCCCAGCATTAAGTACGAGGAGATAGACAAGACAATACTCCGAGTGAATGCTCCTCTCCATCTCTTTCTCCCACTCCTTCTAGAGGCCTCTCTTAACGCTTGTAACGCCATCCTAATCTTTTTTTTAAGAAAATGGTAAGCGAGCTGGCGGTTCAGTTGCAACACCCGTAGGGTTGGAGACGCGGTGCCACCTTTTAATAAAGTGGGCCCCGGCCCCCGGTTACCTTATTTACTAGACGAAACGCAGAAGTATAACACGTCCACTTCACGCCGGTCTTCTGCGAGGTGGTGGTACCTCCTGTAAAATGTTGCGTGGCCCTACTGAAGTTAAATAATCTGGACTTCTTGCAAACAAAGAACGGTGTCCCCCGTTAGCTAGCCTTTTACAACAGACAGGGGATACTTTAGCCCTGTTCTATCAGGCCTACTTTTTCACCTGAATTTTATGGCGGTAAACTCTTCATCTAAACAATGGAAAAGACACAATCTTCAAACAACTCTTAATCAAAATAGATGAAATTTTAATTCATTCACTTTGCCGGATCCCGTAACCATTCTAAACTGTAAAAAAAAAATTTTAAGCATTCTATATGTTTATTATTTTCAGTCAAAGACGCGGCGCCATCAACGCGAAGCAGCTCTCCTACTTGGAGAAGTACCGGCCAAAGTCGCGCCTGAAGAAGAACGGCCACAAGAACTCGTGCTGCGTGCAATAGCGGGCCCCCGGCACAGCGCGCCCCGAACAGCGAATGTAGCTCTGCTTTCACACACACACTTACAATGGGCAAGCACACTACTAATTAGTTTATATAAAGAGAAAAAAACTAAAAAAAATTTACCCCCCCAAAAAAGATTTAATTCAAACCACGTCGCCCGTATTCGACGAGTTCCTTTTTTACCGATATTTTTTCAGTTCAAATCGAAGCTCGAGACCGAATGACGTACGCAGGCACACATATTACCCTCTCGCCCCCCCCGATACAGAGTTCGCTAAAACTAGCCAACGTCCCAGCAAAATCCCACACACCGAACTAATCAAATTAGCGGAACTGATGATGCATGCTTAGTTTGTGTTCATATCGACCGGTACACCGGCAGCCTGCCCATGCGTACGCGCTTGAGGTCATAATAAGACGAGACCGCAAAGAATTTACCATAATAAACCACAGGGCCAGCCTCGCGCACCTTTACGTTACTCTTCGATTTTATTGTAATACAATTTGTGTGTTTACGTTATGATAATTTTTCTTCTCTTATCCCTAATACCTAATTGTTAATGCCCATTTAGACTTTTTTTTTATTAATAAAATGAGACATAATAGAGATGGAAATGATGAATATTTTGTGTTTCTTATGACAATGTAATTGTATTTTTCTGACATGAGTATTTAATTATGTTGTGCTTTTGTGAAAATTATATGTACATCTTCTATATATATATATATATATATATATATATATATACATATGGATATATCGGATATTATTCTTAACGCTGTGGATAGGTGATTCAAAATTTTACAAATCTTTGACTATATATTAATTGAATTTGCCCATATACTGGTATACAATACGACAAATTATAATTGACTCATAAAAATGTTCCGATGAGAAATAGCTCTTTGATATTATTTTTCTATTTCTAATTTTATGAAGATTATCGATGTGTATGATGTGTAACCACGGAACAGTCTCGCTCATCAATAAAAATGTTTAAATGCCAACAGGAACCGGTGTTTTATTCTGATTTATTAAAACTGTAATTGTACTATGAGTGCTAACAACGGTCTTAATATCAAATGCATTGTATACAGTATTTTTGATTGAACATGTACAGCTTGATATGAGGCAAATTGTTAGATTGGTGGCATTCCAGAAACGTTAAGTAGTCTGAAAACAAAATTGTATTGTATGGATAACCTTTGAATAGAGAATAAAGCGCATTTATACACATGTACAATTAGCTCTCAGAACGGCTCAGCTATTTGCGTAATTTCAACTGACCCTAATTGAATTGTCCCCATACCAGCATTCAATGTATATTAAGATTTCTATTTTTGGTAACTGGTAATATATTCAGTAAATAGGAGCCAATGCCAACAAGCTGATTAAAACATATCGCGTACTTGATTCATTGCGGCGCTCTGTACTGTTCTTAGGTTTTAAACGCTAGAATTATACCGAAACTATAGATTTTTTTCAAAATTTTGTTATCGTATTGTGTGAAAATTATATGTATGGTATTATAAAATTAAATACTGTGTATTGTTGTCATTATGTATCTTGTAAAATTACCTCAACTTCATGAAAATTATACGATAAATAAAGTCGTATTTATAACTTTTGGTATTATTTGGTTTTTTTTCTTTAGACTGTTAATATTTACGGTGGCTTACACATGAATAAACTTTTTTTCCCACATACAATTTTTTAATTTTAATATACATTTAATCCTGAAATAGTTTTATTAATATTTATTCAATGTTCATTTTTAAATCATTAGCAATTAAGATTAAGCGATAAAAATAAGCTTTTTTATTAATAATTTTATTATTTCAATATTAAAAAGTTTATTAATATTCACACTTATTCACATCCAAGTTATTCGGTTATTATCAATATCGGTACTTACAAATTGTACTTAGAAGGCTTTAATATAAACCACATCAAAATTTATTAAAGCTACAAACTAAGAATAAGCCCCAACCCCTTATCCTCTACTGCTCTAACTATATAAGATGTGGTATTTTTCAGGCAAACAGGCACGCACCTTTTAATGAAGTATGTTTAATGCATTTAGAATGAGCTGAATTCCTTAATAAAGTGCAGTAAATTAGAGAATTCATTATAATTAGGGAATAAATCCTTGATATAGAAGAATTCACAACTTTAAAATACTTGGTACTTTTAATTTACATAGATAATGGACAAAATCATTGTCAAACTTAAAACATACAATATTATTAAAAAAAATAAATATCAATAAGACAGCCACCTCATGTCAAACAAGTGGAAGTTGTTAACTCTATTATCTATATTATCTAATTAATAAAATTGTACTTCAAATCTTTTTAAATTGAACTATAATTGTAGCGTAAAAAATATACAAACAATTGGGGTAGAATTAGATTTTTAAAAATATCCACACCAGTTATAAAAACTTTTTAAACTTAACAGTTAGTACATAATATTTTCTAATAACATGATTATAATGGTACAAGTTTATTTCTTCGCTATGTATTTGTGTTTCTTCCCTCCATACCGTGCTACAAACGCATTAACATGAAACTTTCGTTTGCAACCTTCATAGTTCATGTATCTCACTTTACCGAAAACCGCTCTCTCCGCCCAGCCCTGGTCATGAATACCACATATGGACCACATACAACCTGCAATTAACCACAACATTACAGACAGATTAAATGTAATTAAGTTTAAAAACATTAATAAGTAAAAGGATTGGGCTCCTATTTCCTTACTCCCCCAGAAGTTATTAATGAACGCGCGTAAAATAAATAAGTTGCCCATAAATCAAACACTTTTTGAGATAAGTTAAAATGAATGTAATTAATTAATTACGAGTGATTTTAAATATTTATCTTTTTTATATTAACATTATTTTATTTATGTCTAGAATTTAATTAAAAAATATGGATACACTCAGAAAAGCTTCCCTGTATATAAAATTTCCCAATTTCCAAAAAGGTTGTTGACGCATCTGCAAACCCTCGGATGTAGTAGCAGATGTTCATAAAAATAATATATTTTATTATATGAAAATATAACTATACTTTGGTCTTCTGTGAGACAGTCATACCCAATTGAGGCAGTTGCTGTCATTCTACTATGGTTCCTATCTGAATTCCATATAGAAACTTGCATATACATACCAACATATCCATTTGGATCACGGCCATCTATGCTGTAATGATCATTTAAGTAAATTGCATATTTGAGAGCATCTTCTGGACTTGGAGTCCATTCTAGAATCTTCTTACACCAATACATGCGCAAGAAACCATGCATTTTTCCTTCCTTGACCATCTGAAGTTGAGCCGAATTCCACAGTTCATCATGAGTCTCTGCCTTGGCTAGCTCTTCTAATGTGTATATGTGGGTTCTTTTGTCTTTTCTGAAGTAAATTAAAAGAATTTATAAAACAATACACAAAACAGGTAATATGAAAATAAAGCAATATCACAAAAAATACTGTTTTTGACTATAGTTTTGTGACTAAGCTGTTAAATATTCAGCAAGCTTAGATTTAAAACATTTTGTGACTCCAAATTAAGGTTTGTATGTGATTTAGATAATAGATAATTTTAATTTCAAACTTTAAAAATTAGCAAATGTTTTATTTATATTTTTGACTGTCTGCCTATATTCGAAAAAAATTAAACCAATCTGATGCAGCTTTTAATTGACAGATATTTTTAATTTTACCATTGCAGTATTATTATGAGGGACAAAATTTTTGCATGATGACCTTTTACCTATGATCATCTAGGGTTTTCTGTGCCCAGTTGCTGGCTCCCTTTATGCTGTCGTAATGTTCGCAATAAAAGCAAAAATTATCAGCCAGTTCGCTACGCACAATCGCCTCTTCCAAGTAAGCATTTACACTCTCGGTATATTGTTTTTTGTACTTTTGAACGCAAAGTGCCACTCTCTGCACAGAAATTTGACCTGTAAAGAAAATTATCTTATTAAACAATTCTAATACAAAACCAGGACAGGCAGTCTCTTCGCATTTAAAAGAAAATTTCGCGAGTACCTGGTCAAAAAATTGTCAGTAGATTGACTTGATTGTTGTTGAAATATGTTTATTTTACTGTACGTACATTTTGTAATATATTGTACTATTATTTTTTATATGGCCAGTATATTATTTCATGTAATATCCCTTAAAAATTAGATGTTTCTAAGATCTCTCTTTTGTTTACATAAACTTCTCTGCAACACCCTATGGTTGACTGGTAGATAATGCTGATAGCATTAAGTCCACCTCTGTACATATTTTGTGTACATAAAGTATAAATAAATCAATAAAAATACAACCATAAGGGATGGCAAATTCTGTTGCTTTTGTCATGTATCTATCTACTATCATACAGAGCCAAACGTGGGAATGTAACTTTATAATGTAAATTTTTATTGTACAATGAACCCAAGTTTTCCCTACATTTGGCCTACATAATTACTCCTTGGAATCTTATATTTTGAACCAGTGTCTATAGTACAGTAACCATATCAATTATTGCATGTATATTGTGTATTAAATATTGTATAACAGTTATGTGCCATGAAGAAAAATTACCAAAGTGAAACCATGGTGACAAGTTACTCAAAGCATCCTGTGTTGGGTCATTTCGTTTAGATGCAAAAATCTTGAGTCTCTTCTCCAGAAAAGTCTTCAATGTTTTCACAGCCTCGTCATAGCCTGGACTTGCCCATTCTACTGGTCCCACAGTCTTATCCGCTTCTCGAGTCTCAATGGCCTTGTCCCAATCTATAGGCTGCAGATATTATGTGATTACATTTAACAACAATTAGTAAATCAATTGATATTTTTGTAGTCACAGAAAAGTGTGAACATCATTACATTAGAATTATATATATTATATATATTGTGTGTATTATTATATATATATATTGTATATATTTTGTTGTAAAAAAAAACCGTCGCCGATGCGTTTTACACTTTTTTAAACATAAATTTTACCTGGACAAACACCCAAATCCTAAACAATTATCTGTGGGTCACACAAATACTTGTTCCTTGTGTGAATCAAACCCACGCCACCGACGCTGAAGCTAATACCTTAAGAACTGAACCACGGAGTCATCAAAATTAATGAAATACAATAAGAATAAATACCTTTGGTTCAAATTTACTTGTGTATGGATGCTTTATCACTGGTGGGAATTGGGTCAGGTATTCATCAAGTTTAGAGTTTATTTTATTTCTGATAGTCCTTGCAGAGTACTCTTGTTTGTCTGAAGCAACCCAGCAAGGCACTACATTGTGAGTATCTACCTGCAAGCATAACATAACACAAAGTTTGTGTCTGATATTTGTTAATTGTTTATTCAAACATGACAGATGCTATAGAAATTACACCTTAGCATCTATAGGCATTAACATAGCCTGTTTATAATTTTATACATAACTAACATAACAAGAGAGTGATTATTTAATATAATTGTTATGGACGTTATGAAACTTTCTATTAAATGGCATCCTTCCCTTACCTCACAATGTGTTGGATTATTGAAAAGAAATCATAAATGATTGCTTTTTATGTTGTACTTTTATTATTTGTTTATTTCACATAATCACTCCCATGGGTATTGCTTTTGATTATGAAATATTTATTTCATAGATTTGATATTAATACCATATTTAAATATTATTACATATTTATAATATTTAAACATCATGTTTCAAGGTTGAATTAATCATTAACATGATATTTTATAATAATTCGAAAATCCTATAATAATCTCTATATATAATTTTTATAATTTTTCATCAAATTTCTTTATTTTAAATAATAAATAAAAACTAATTATTCAAATACCATTTCAAAAAGTTAATGTTTGCCGCTATTGACGAAAAATAGGCAAGTACATCATAGTTAAGGTTTTCATAAAAAATACTTTTGTTTACAAATATCTCATAAAGAATGTATGATTATGCCATGTATTGACAACTAGTTTAAATGAAAAATAGCAAAGTGAAATGAAAAATGTTATTCTTCAAAACAGGATACCTTTAATTGAATAAAATTAAGAAAATTATTTAAACATTAATATAATACTATGGTGTCACTGATCATGGTACAATACGAAACTTTCTTTGGTTCAAATAGTTATTACTTAATATGAATTGTATTTCAATATGTACTGTTACTAGAATTGATTTTTAAATATAGGGAAAAATTAAGGTTTTGCTAGTCACAATGAACAGTCATAATTATATTGTATATATAACATGTAAATATGTAGAAAATGCCTAATTTTTAAATATTATTATTATACCTGTATTAAAGGAATGTCCTTCTTGAATTTTTTCTTGGCCCCCTCAACCCAACTCATGGGTGTCCTAAGAGGATTGAAGTCACACACAACTGCCCCTATTTTATGATCAATAATCCATTGAGGTAAAGCATCAGCACCACTTCCTTCTAGGAGATGAAATGAAATATTTAGCTTTTTACACTCTGCTGCAACTTTTTCTAATCCTGGAAGTTACCATGTAAATAGTTGCTTAATTTTATTCAACTTAAATAGAACTATAATTCAATACATACTATATTTTTTAAGATGCCCACAAGTTTCCCAGAGTTTAAAATATATAATTATGAAATGATATACAAAAATATTATCTTAATAGGAATAGAAAATTTACAGAAAATGATATTAAGAATTAGATAAACCATTTTCAAAGAAGCCATAAAAATAGCTGAAAGAAAATTATATTCAACACTCATACATACGAAGCAGTTATGAATAAATAATAATGGAAAATGAACATTAAATATAATAATGTTCAAAATCTTACACTACCTTTTATAAGAAAATGAAACTGTCTAACTGAAGCATCTAAATATTTGGCAATTAAACAAAAACACACATGTAGAGGAACTTCGTTCTTGAGGGCTAGTTTCTGTGCATATAGAAATGCCCAGTTGTCTTGTACTCTACTATCCCTGGACATCCAATAAACAACACCTTCACACTTTTTAGGCACTAGTTGTTCTTGCGAAATGATCCGAACACGCTTTTTATTAAAATTGTAGTTTAAAATTGAATCAGCTGTATTTTCCCGCTCAATTTGTAATTCATGAATAAAATCTGTGAGGCTGAGATTCGTCTTGTTTTCAGAAACTGATGATGAAGACAATTTGAGTTTCTTCGCAGCCGATGCCATTTTTGTTAAATTGAATAAAGAATTAAAGTTAAAACGTTTCATTCATTTAATATTATAAATACACATACAGTGCTGTTGATTAAAATATCTGATCTATCAAATTTTGCGCGCGTTTCACATTGTTTCAAAAGTGAAGTTTACTGAACTGAAATAGTTATTGTGAATTGTGAATAGTCACTCAATGTCAAAAGTGACGTTTGACGTAAGCCGATATTTTATTTGTCAGAAATAAAATATCGGTATAAAGTTACGTTATTCCCACGCCCTGAGTGACATTCTTAACATTATAATTTTTTTTCTGTGAAGTCTACTATGATGTTGATGTCTTCTGTGAAATCTTAATGTAATCTGATTTATTGAATTTTTAATAAAAGTCTAGGCTATATATCTTACTTTTGGGTATACATAATGTTCTTAACTTGCAACACTAATATAATAGCTTCCTAAACGCTGCGTCCATCTAGAATTCGTGTTCCGAGGATAATGCTAAATATTTTTAGAATTTTAGTTAAATTACGTAGAAAATCGGTTACTTACTTGCATTTCTTTGTTACATTTCAGCTACGTTACACCACATTCCTTATATAAATTCAAGCTTCCCCAAGCGGGCCAAAAACATCACTAATTGCAAATTTTTTCATAAAATCTAAATGTCTCCGATATTTTTCCATCGATTAAAATATTTGTTAGCGAAAGACCGAGCCACTAATGTATACAAATACCAAAAATACGTTTGTAATATTATTTCCATTTAAAAACAATAAGTACAAACTGAACTTAATATCACCGTTGAACGGCTATGTGAGTGAAATGTCTGGATAATGTGGCCGCAATTAATTTTAACAAAACAATAATTTTCACGGCCCACTGATTTTTATTTAGCCCTTCCATTATTATTTAGTTTCAATCGCTCCCTCAGACAGCCTCATCGCCAACTGGTCGGTGGTACCACCCCCTTTGAGAACCACTGGCGTCGATCGAGAGTCGTCCCTCTCGATAGAACACAGCTCTCGGCGCTGTTCCGTCCAGGCTGGACACTCCTTCAGCGAATGTTGGGCTGTCTCTTGGGCAGTGGACTGAGAACCACTGCCCTGAACAAACAGTCTGCAACAGACCTGCCTCTTTTTGCTACAGAAGAAGCTGTTACGTGGCCCTTCCACAGATATTTATTTATTTAGTCTATATTAAATTTCTTTTAATAAGGAACACAATAGGCGGACTTAATGCCTTTAGGTATTCTCTGCCAGTCAACCTATGATGTGGTGAGATCTTTAGGCAGGTGCAATAATAAAACTAAAATTGAATTAGAAAATAATAAAAAAACATCCCGGTGAGATGATGAGGAATAGTTAACTTGTTATTAGTAGTTGACCGAAGAACCCTACAAGAGATACTGAAACTTATCCCTTAATTATGAAGGCGATGAGGAATCGTTCAAGACGGATAACAAGAGAAGAAAAATTCTGGAATTGCGCCTCTGTCAGATATTCAACTATTTAAGCTGAGATCTAAAATGTGACACATGGTCATACTTACGCAGTTAATGGAATATTGAAATGAAAAAACTGTAGAAATCATATATGTTTATTAATCCGACATGTTCATTTGTACCGTTAAGTTTTGTCCTGTAGGTGAATCTAATTTTATAAATGCATCAGAAAATAAAATCGGATCAGGATTTTTATCGCATAAGTCAAGATACGATAGTTTAAGTTAATTGTACTGTTAATGAAATGCATTACTACTAATACATATGTAAATAAAAAATATTTAAGACAGTTTAATTATCTTCAATATTGGAACTGCTAAAGATTATGTTTCTCAAGCTGTCATTACAAGGATGGCAATCAACTCTACGTGTATTTAATTTCATACACGCGTTGGTACAAAAAGAAATACTCTGGCACATTGGGCATAACAGTTTTTGACTGTTGAGAGGCAAAGCGCACTCAAAGCACACGCTGTATTTTGTAGTCTGGAAAAGCAAGAGCTGGATAAAAAATAATTAATTTATGAAACTTATATGATATTATTTACTTTAATAGTGCTACTATCTACACTGAAGATAAAATTTTCAATTTGTAGAAAAACGAGAAAAAAAACACACGAAGGGTGTGTCTGACTCACGAAGGGTTCCGTACCATTTTCTATTAATACAGAAAAAAATGTCTGTTGTATGTTGTCCAACGTAAATAACTTTTTACTATTTTTTTTAATATTTGTTGTTATAGCAGCAACAGAAATACATAATCTGTGAAAATTTCAACTGTCTAACTATCACGGTTCATGAGCTGCTGCCTGGTGATAGACGGACAGAGAGACAGACAGCGGAGTTTTAGTAATAGGGTTCCGTTCGTCCCATTGAGCACGGAATCCTAAAAATAGATGAATGGTTATCGTGGCTGCTAGGATTTGACCCTGCGTCCTCCGAGTTACACGCCCAACGCTCTAGCCACGGAGCTAGACAGCATGATATCCCCACACCGATGAAAATCTTAACGTATTTATCTATCTCGTTTTATAGCATTTTAAGCAAGCCATCTAGTGTGTTTTCGGTAAGTGTTCGCTAAATACTTTATTTTACTTCAGGGCGGGTTGAAAAAAGTTTGATATGATGTAGATTTAAACTACCGATTGAGTATATGTATAAGCTAAATTATTTATTTATAGTACTTGAATAAAATATTTCAACTGCATGTTTCTCTTAACTGAGTAGAAACTAAGAAAACAAACTCACACTCACATTTGCAACTAATACAGCACTGAACCAAGTTTTTTCCTCTATGGGTGCAGAACTAGATTTACTCAATTGTTGCAAAAGGCTATTAATTTCTGACTCTATAACATTTATTTCCGTTGCAGTAAACTTTTTTTCTTTCAGATTTCCATCTTTATTTTGGCCGCAGTAAAGTACTATGCATAGCAAATATTTTAATACCGTTTTATCAAAATACTTTTCTTTACTGTTTCTTTGCAAGATAGTCCATAATTCGAGGCTTACTTGTGGCGTAAGCCATAGACTAATGTTTTTTTTATTGTAAATGTTGTGAAGTATCATGGCCCAATGACGGTGTTTGTATCTGTAGAAAAATATGTATTAATTTATACCATTTTTTTTGTGATCGGGGGGGAAATCTTTAAAAGATACCCTGTCATCTTACATGACAGAGTTATGTGGGGTTTTTCTCACTAAAGCCCCTCGGTGGCCACCTTCTGTACGTTAGAGGGACCCCGGGATCTCCTATGGAACGCACCAGTATCCCTCGGTACTGGGCGTGAGCACGCCTCGGAGAAGTGTATACCTTCTCCGATTCCCTCGCCATCTTGCAGCAGCTCGAGGCCACTTCGAGCAGCCGCCAATCCGTGTCCCCTTTTAGTTGCCTTTTACGACAGGCAGGAGATACCTTAGTCCTATTCTATGAGCCCAGAACTAAAGGGCTGATCTATTAATTTATACCTAGAACGTACTTGAATTATACTGTGTTGCATGATTCTAATAAGCAGAAATATCATATCAGATTTGATAGAAATACAAAGATTCAACTACTTAAAAAAGAAGCCTAGATGTAAACATTATAATACTTTTATAGAGGGGAATAAAAATCATGGAAATTAAATAATTCTCACTTGTTTATTGTTTTGATTAATTGCTTGAGAAGTTTCGCTCGTAACCAATGAATATGTAAATTTCGTGCCCATTCAGTCACGAGTTCTAACGCCTGTTTGTAATCATCGACGTCGCCTATGACAGTTTTCTGCTTAGCCCCTTTATCGTCATTGCTTTTGCCGTTCTTTTTAATTTTGTTCTCACTTTGCTTTCTTGCTGCTTTAAACCATTGTTGTATCATTACTTCAAATTATTATTAGCATGACGTTAGTAAATAATATATATAATCGATAATACTGTTATATCCCTGGTCTGCTAGTTCTTTGTTCGAATATCAAGTAATGATGCAATAAAAGCTCTTGTTTTTAATTCCTGGTATAGTCGACAGAGATCGCCACTGATGTTAACCACTTTTTACCCACGACTAAAAACAATAACCTCAGGTGGGCCTGTCACCAAGATATGGACGTAATAGTTATTTATTTATGAAATTATAATTTTTGAAAAGCTGGAGCTCATTAGTGCAAGCTAACTAATGCACGATTCTAATAATATGTGATTTAACATCCAAGTCCTGCTACACTAAACTTTACTTGAATAATATTTGACTAGAATTATCAGTTCAACGGTTTCTGATATTACACGTAACAAATACCCAAACAAACATCTATATTACCTTCTTAAAATATTCGTACAGATGTGTACATAATGTGTGTCAACGGTATTGCTTGTTGATACATCCAAAGTATAATGGCCTTAGTTTAATTTTCTACATATTTTAAGGCCTTAGCCTTGTTTAAATTTGCAGCAGTAAAGTATTTGTTCAGAAAAATATAATGTAGATAAAAAATATTCATTTATAAGACATTCATTTTATAAACATTTTACATTTCTGTCCATACCAAATATTTTCTTCGACTTTATTCATTCGACTATGGCAGTTGTTTTCGCTACACTGTAAACATGCTACACTGCTTCTGCTGTGGTAGGGGAGGGCAGCAGCTTCTGCTTTTGCACGAATGGGCATGCTCGTCCGGGAAATACCATGGCCTCACAGATGATCATCGTGAAGTGGAAGTGTTATTCTTTCGAGTTTCATCTGTTGAGTGCGGTAACTAGCACCCACTTTTTTAAAAGTTGTTAACGCATCTGGAAGCCCTCAGGTGTTGTTGATGTCCGTGGGCGGCGGTCTTCAGTTAACATCTGAACTGCCTGCTCGTTTGATTTTTATATTAATACTAGCTGCTGCCCGCGACTACGTCTGCGTAGAGGGGTGAAAATTTAAGGTTGTATGTATTTTTGTACGCTGTATCATAAAAAAATAAAAACAACAAATTTTGTCCAAAAATTAAAAAAAAATGTTAATTGTGAACAACCCTTATCCCTTAGGGGTATGAAAAATAGATAGTAGCCGATTCTCAGACCTACTGAATACGCATATAAAATTTGCTAAAAATCAGGAAAGCCGTTTCGGAGGAGTTCAAGTTCGAACCCCGTGACACGAGAATTTTATATATTAGATATATCTGATGGGGTTGACCTAGATGATGTCGGGTACTTGTTTGATGTTATGATGTTTTCACTTATTGCGCAAAGCACGTCTGGATTATGTCACATAGAAAATAAAATAATATTCTATTCAGTCGCGAGTGTGTGTTAATCAGCACAAAAATAGTTTTATCCACGCACCGATTGGACTATGTTTAATTTCCACATTTTCACATCCATGAAGGAACTTCTTCGCATATACGATAATGTTATAAAATTTTTCCTCGTCATTTTGGCAAGTTTGCAAGGGATCAGCGCCGTGCCTCAACAAATTAGTCAACTGAAAAATAACAAGCACCGCAATGTTAAGTTACGTATAAGTTGTTTAAATTTGTTCTTGTACTTGTTAGAGGTAATAAAATTTAAATTAAGCTTTGAGGGATAGATTTCAATCGTTTATTCCGTAATTTCACAGGGTTTTTAATACGATTACGACTAAAAATTAATAGTCTTTTAATATTATCCTACTAGGTTACAAACACCTTACAATTTCTAGGCGATGCTTGCTTTCAAGGGTCTTGAAGTAAGACAATGTGAACATCTTGGTCAATACATTTTGATTCGATTGATTGATAATTGCGTTCAGATTAACTTTTGGATGTCCAATAAATACATTAAATATATCAGCTCCTTTCGACATCGCTACGTCGATGGCTGAACGGCCTTTAAATTGTTCCTCAGAATCACAATTATGTGTCAGCAGAAGTTCAAGCAAATGTCGGCGAATCTATAAAATAAGCAATGAAATCAGTCTTTACTTTTTCCAAATTGAGATATAAATCTCAATTTAATTAATAATATTTAAATGGAGAATCATTCCAATTTACTAAGTGAACACTATGCTGTAAAGGATATAACAATAGATGCCCCAAGCATTGCTTCAAATGCTAAGAAACAATGTAGAAAACGACGTTAAGATATTTGTCGGTGTGGCAATCAGCCGTTTAGCTCAGTGGCTAGAGCGTCAAGCCGCGAAGGCCGAAAACGTGGGTTCGATTCCCACAGCGGCGACAATCTTTTCTCGTACTTTTTCTACATATTTTAAAGTGGATACTTTATAAAATTTGGTGGACATTAGAATATTTAATATGGAAATTGTTATATACTTCAAATATTATTAAAAATTACAATATCATACAGCACCTCTTCTTCTATTTCACTATCAGCTGTTTTCGCAAGAACAGCATGCAAAAGAGTTGGCCCTGGAATCATTGACTCGTTGGAATTATGATTATTGTAAGGTAAGCGATGTTGCGTGTCGGCTCCGTTTTCCAGTAACACGTTAATCACTTTAAGATTTTCATTCGTGAGTGGATAAGAAATCGCAATGTCCAATACCGAATACCCTAGAACCTAAATTATAACCATTATAGCTTAATACAATAAGAATCAAACCTAAGTAGGAGCAACACGTAAAGGTATATTTACATGGGGATAAAATTCGTTCACATTCGCACCGTGATCGATCAGTTGTTTCACTAATTTAGAGCAACCAGATGTTACAGCCATAAAAAGTGCAGGTTGCGGACATCGTACGAGGCTTGGATCAGCTCCATCCAGTAAGAGTTGATTTATAGTCAACAATATTCGCTCATAACTGAAATAAAGTGTTCTGTGATGTACCTACTATACTGTATCAGCAATATTAAAAGCAACAGCGCTATCAGAACATAGAAGTTAGAAAAATATCTAAATAAGTGATATTGACCTGTCCGTAAATATTTTCTCTGTGTCTCTTAATTCCTGGGGATTTTCCTTGCTTTGAGTTCGCAACCCGTTAGTTAACTTTACTTTCCCATTAACTTGTTCCTTCAAAGCTTTCGAAGTAACTTTTTTTGGATTCTTTTCCGGAGTTTTCTTTTGCTCTTCAACCTCATTATCTATTATATTGTTCGTAACATCGCCAACCTCAAATACATATGATATTGGACTTCCGTTTCCCGCCGCTGAATAATCTAGGGCTACCCTTGCAGTATATTTATTTTTTACGATTGTGTACTGTTGAACACTTTCGTTCAAATCGTCATTTCCGGTTACAAAGCCTTGATCTGGTACTTTCCCCGGAGTATCGGGATTCGTTTTAAGAGATTGTTCCTTCAGCGAGGGCAGCGACTTTATTCGCTTATGGCTCACTTGAGATTTCAAAAGCTTGCTCGCACTTCTCGTAGGGCCGTTATTCTTATTTTGTAATGTATTATTGTCAGTTCCAAAATTCCATTCACAAACATTTTGTATTGAAGCTACAAATATACAATCAAATAATATTTTGGGCAATACTCCATAACAAACTATCTATTAACAAAACGTGAGCTTACAATCCGTTGACAAAGCTGTTTCTGGTGTAAAAGCTTGGGCCATGTCATTAACGGAAATACCTTTAACTTGGCAAATTAATCTAATTAAAGCAACACCAAGAGCTGTGCAACAAGAGTCATTAAAATTGTTTACACTTGCTCCTGCTTCCACGAGAAAATGTATTAGTTCTGTTTGATCACCACACTAGAAACGAAATATTTTTAATACGGTTTTAAAATTAAAAAAAATCAAATTTCAAAATTGTTATTACTTACGGTTGCGTACATTAAAACGCTATTGCCTTGCAGATCTGTAACATCTGGATGAATGTCCTCGTTAGTAACGAGATGAACGACGCTTTCAGTGTCACCCAAATAACTCGCCATCAATAAAGTTCTAAAGAAAAAAAAGTAAGCTTCAACTGTCTGCTGCGTTTGATTTACTGCTATATTTAATATGATAAAACTAGCTGAGTTCATCCCCACATCGCTGTGGCTTTGTTTGTTTTCGTTTCCGTTGCAATTTAGGAATAAAACGCAGACAAAAATCCTCCTGTTCAACGGCATATTGTGAACAAATTAATATTTATAAAGTTGAACAACCATCGGCTATTAAAATATGTAGAAAAAGTGCGAAAAGATTGTCGCCGCTGTGGGAATCGAACCCACGTCTTCGGCATTCGCGGCCTGACGCTCTAGCCACCGAGCTAAACGGCTGATCACCACACTGACGAAAATCATAACGCATTCCTCTACATTGTTTTCTTAGCATTTGAAGCAATGCTTGGCGCCATCTATTGTTATATCCTTTCCAGCATACAAACAATTTCGAATATCGTTTTACAACGATAATTCGAACGAGAGATGTCGCCATTGCTTTTTTAGAAATTTTCGTTGGTGTGGTCATCAGCCGTTTAGCTCAGTGGCTAGAGCGTCAGGCACTTTTTCTACATATTTTAATGTTCAATCTTAAGTGCAAAGATTAGCACTATAAACAATTTAAATTTCTAACCATCGGCTAGTTTTTGAGTTTTGTGGACATAAACAAACGGAAGCTAATTTTTTATATATAAAGTTTATTACGATACCATTCCGCTAATGTGTTAAAACTATGGAATATACTATCTAAATTTGTATTAAATAATGAAAAGTTGTTGTGTTAACTCGGAAGTAAGCGATAAAGGTATTGTCATTTAAACAGACAGGAAGAAATCCTAGCTTAAAAACCTGCAATCCAGTTCGTGTTTAGCCGGTTGTTTTAATTTTTTTCGTGATTCAGATAAAATATTCCCAATGTTAATTTTGTTTTCAAGTTGCTTCCCATGTATAAATGCATGCTTCATCATGTGTTTTATTATTTCATTGTTGTTCCAAGCAAAGTAAGTTTTATTGTTATCGAAACTTTGTATTCTTTCTGGCATCTGTAAATAAAGTAACACTTCATTTTACTCACTTCTTCCTCGCGTCATCAATATTTTTTATGATTTCCAAGACGAACCTTTTCCACCTCTATTAGCTTATCTATATTTCTTGATCCGTAATAATTCTGGTCAAAAAGCTGGTGTCGGAAAACGGGGCTTGTGAGATCAGTAAGATTTTTCGGATATAGTTTTCCCCATGAAGCTTTGGCTGACTTTGCTTTAGACCCGTATTTTATGAGTAATTCGATCACCTCATTGCTCTCATCAATCTATGAATTGTATGACATAAATGTTATAATAATAAATAACTATAAATTATACTTTAAAATTAAAAAAAAATATATCGTGTACGTTTTTCAGTATATGAAACTACATATATATATATATATATATGTATATGTATATATACTATATTATAAATACTACTGTTTAGAATTATGACGACAAGACTTGCACAATGCAATAAGTTTTTAGGTAGTAAATTGGCTAGTACAGTTGGCTTTGACGCTGCAGTACTTTAATCTTATTCCATGATTAGGTAAAGAAAAATATTCATATGTTTGACGATCTGGGAGGGATTTTTATCTTGTTATAGTTATTTACATCTTAGTACTTACACAGTTTCTAAAATTAAGTCTACTCACGGCTTCGGAAGAAGTTTCCATCAAATTTCTATGTGCATTAACGCACGCTCGTCCAGCGTTAGTGGTCATTAAATCCAGAATCAAATTATGCGAGGGTGGTTTCCAAGCTAGTCTGATTAACTTATTGCCAAGCCAAAGTCCCACATTTTGTCTAACGTCTACGTGAGATTCTATTCCTGGACCCCAACGGATGTTCGAATAAAACAATCCCTATGGAAATTGATATGAATGTATGGATTTTTATATATTTATTGGAAAAATAGAAATGGTGAAGTGTACTTTTAATAAATTGTTTTAAACAGACTAAGAAGGTTCTTGATTTAAACACGCAAACATCGATAAGTTTTCAATTTTGAATATTGTCTGAGTTTGAATGTTGACTTACAATTGTAGGTGCCATTACCATCTGAGGTAACATTTATCCAATATATTAAGGTAACAAATAACACAATTATAGCATATATAATAAATACCCCACTAGATGGAGTGTACGACATCTGCAAATGTGCGGAAAGTCTATGGATGCAGATGGCACAGGATCGTGCTTTGTGAAAGTTTGTGCGGGAGGCCTTTGTTCAGCAGTGGACTCTAACAGGCTGAAATGGTAATGATGATGATGATAACACTGCCATGGATGTATAAAGGCAATGTTATGCTGGGTAAAGGCTTCATTTGTATGGAAAACCCCTCTGTATAGAAGATTATATGATAAAAATTGAGCTACCATGTAGCTTCGGGTCTTTCTCCAGATCGTCGTTTAATAAAGCGTGTCCGGTACAGACAGCAACACGATGTGGTCTTGTGATGTCATAAAGCTAAGAGGGCACTCGGGGTAGACGGGAAATAAATCTACCCTGGGATGGTTTTATGCAAAGTGCAAAGCGGCATCGTTTTTTTCTGAACAAGAGAATGGTCCTATGTACTGTATAGTTAGCAATATAATGTTTATAATGTAATGTATAATGTTTATAAAAAGAAATATCTGAAAACTGCTCGCTTGCTAACTTTTAACATACAAAAAATAATCAACTGTGTATGTGTATATTGCGTGATAAAATCTTTAAAAAATGATCAATAAATAATTAAGAGATGACTGTAGATAACTCGCGGAGAGAATGGTAATCTCTCTGAACGTAAATGAATGTTATTTGGAGAGAAGGATCATGTTGGAGACAATACTAGATTAATCGAGATCACTTACATCGAACACACTACCATCGGGATAAGACATTGTCCCAAAACCATGCATGCGGTTGCAGTAGAAGTGACCCTCATATGTGACAAAGGCACCCTCTACGTTTAAGTAACGCCAGTAATATTCACCCACGCCGTGCATGGTGCCCCAAAGGAATTGACCCGAGTAGCATTCCAACGACTATAAATAGATATATAGAATACTTACATGAAATACAAAACGTACTGAAGTGCGTATAACTCATTGCATAGATAAATTCAAACGGTGGGGAGGTGGTTGGTTGGTATTATTATTTCACGATACAGTCCTAATCGTTGTTTACTTCTCCATTTATACGTTGTACAGTTGTGAACAATAGTGTTATAAAGTTTTTAAACATACACTGTCTAGGAAATCGTAGGTTAATGGTGTGAATCGATATTTGCATTATATGCTTTGCGTGCTCAAAAGGCGGAGGCAACTTAATTTGGCACATGGGGCATTCCACGCGAAGCGGACAGGTAAAAAAAGTTGATGTTTCCGATTTTAGTAATATTTGATTGTGTTATACCTATACCGGCGTCGGGGGTCGTGGGTTCGATTCCCACACGGGACAACTATTTGTGTGACCCACAGATAGTTGTTTCGCATCTGGGTGTTTGTCCGCGTGAAATTTATATTTGTAAAACGTCCTTTACAACACAGGATAACATTATCCTAAAGTAAGGGCAGTGTTTTTTAAAAAAGTAGCAAAAATAGCAAAATAGCAAATAGCAAAACTTGTGGACCATGTAATTATTTGTGGGGAAATAGGGACGAAATTCTCGAGGAGCGAAGTACGGTAAACCGTTAGAAAATATTCGTAAATAAAAAATTAAAGCTTCGTTATTCTGGATTTTTACCGAAGTCTGATATTATACCTTTGCCCCAGTCCAGTGGTTTTCTCCTTTAACACATTTGATTTTCTCGGCGTCTCTCTCACCCGTGTAATACTGTTCATAGGGCCACGATTTACCCTTGACCGTTGTACAAGAAAGTCTCGACATGGGTTATTATACCATAATACTGTTTTATCAAAAATATTCTTATCAAATCACAAAGAAAAAATAATATTAATAAACAATATATCTTGTGACGTTTCAAAGTGACAACTTCTTAGGCAATGACTATATTCAGTAGGGACGTGCTTTTTATTAAGTACCAGAAATAATAAAAAATATTAATAGTTACACAAACAAACCGACTTCACATATCTCACTCACATAACATTTATTAAATTAATTTCATTTTGAGTAGTTCCTTCGTGTTCCCCGGATTCTAGGGTCTACCAATGAAATTATTATGGTACCACATGGGAGCTATAATATACTTAATTATATACCAATTATGAACCAAATTCAAAAAAAATTAAAAAATTGTAAGGTAAAGTAAACAGCTCATATTTATCTCACTGCTGGGCAAAGGCTTCCTCTGTACAGCGGGTATTAGAACGTCGTCCACCACGTGGCCCTACTAGGGACTGGCGGAGTACTCATACCTTCGGTATATTTTTTTGTTATTATTTCGAAAATATGCACGTTTCCTCACGATGTTTTCCTTCACCGCTGAGCAAGTGATAAGTCAGCAGTTAAAATTAATAATTTAATTGGTGCCGGCACCAAGATTCGAACTCAGCGTACTCGTGTATATTGAATTAAAGGCGAGCGCCCGGAAACTGGGCTATCACGGCTCTATTGCTAAAATCGGTCCATAAATGACGGAGTTCTGAGGTAACAAACATAAAATAACCATACGACCGATGTGATTCACTTTCTTAAACTCGGCCTAAAAAACTATTTAGCAGTAGGTATGTCTTTTATTAATTTAGTGGACATTATAAAAGTATAAACAATATTTCGCTGACTAAAGGCAGTTGAAACGCCAACAACTGGACTTTGCTCTCTCAAAATACGTGTATTCCTGAAAAAAAAAAGGAAAGAATATGTAAACAGACATAACTTTCTTCATTCTCCTTATATAAATGAATGATAGTTAAAGTTACCAACGTTATACGCTATAATAAAATAAAATTTTGTGACTTTACCATTAGAAAAGTAGCCGCAAGCAGTAGGGCCTTGTGTTTGGGTTGGACTGCAGTGTCGGGAAACTTGAGAGTCGTTGCAAAGTTCACCAATTCCCGATCCCAGCCGTGAGATATCTTTCCCATCTCCCTCAAGGAATCTCCTGACATTATCTGAAACGTAAACCGGACTAACTTTAAAGTAACTCTTGTGGAACCTCGATTACTGATCAATTTATATTGCGGACCCGGGCTCATGTGCCAGAGGTTGTGGGTTCTATTCCCAAAGTTGGTAAAATATTGTGTGATGGACATATGCCTATTTTAGTGCCTTTATCGTATAAAAACTAAAGGCACTAGACTTTTAATATGACGGTGAGATATTTATATACATCATCATCACATTAATAGTGTTTGTCCCATATAGCTGGGACCGCTTTCGTAATCTTTCGTTCAATGTTCGCACTTTCTTGAACATCGTCACCCTTCATTTCGCATACAGTCAGTCTTTGAACCATCGCATCTTGAGTCTACTACAATCAAAGTAAGGACAAGTGCAATACACCCTACATATTCTGTCATTCTTCTGCTGATAAGTTCAAACCACGGAAATGAATTTTTTGGACCTTGTTAGTGATTGTCCTCACTCCGACACATTCACAGTTATTGTTATTTACAAAAAAATATAAATTAAAGTGTGTTTCTTCTTTACCTAATACCATAGTACAATCATTACTTATTTTGGTACTAGATAATGACGTGTAAAAATATGTCCGTAAATGTTTATAATTATTATAATTGTTTTATGCATACGCATAGAGGTTGTATTTTTGTAGAACACAATGGTGCTGTTGGTCTGTCCATTTTTGCGCTTTTGATTCGAAAACTGCATTCTGATGCAAATTATATTTTAAATATGGCAACACGATGAAGAGAAAAAGAGTACTAGATATGCGCACGTTGGGGAGCGGGAAACGGTTATATTTTGATATTAGTAGTGAGATTATACTCATTCTTAGGGGTGGCGGTGATCGCTTCACCCCAAAAGCTTGGCTTTAAAGTAATGTAAAGAAAATTACCTTGAACTCGGACAGTATGAGGGCGCTTCTCTTTAAAGAAGCAGGACCCTCAATGACAAATAATACTTCATCGTTGGCGTCTCTCACGAGGTAAAACGGCACCATCCACGTCCATTGCTGATGCACTCGGCCCACGTAGTTGCCAGGCGGTGTTATGACCTTCATTTCCTGGTTAAAATTATCGTAATTAACATTAATGAAGTAAGATATCTGTCTCTGTCCTTCACTTAAGGTTAAAAGACATCCAGAGCCTTGAAATAAGATTTTACTTATTCTTTGGCTTGAGGCCAGAAATCAAATGTGAAGACTCGCTGGCGTAGTTGCTAAGCTATTGGCTTCGGCGCAAGGGGTCGTGGGTTTGATTCCCACAAGGTACAAGTATATATATGATGACAGATAATTGTCTAAGATCTGTATGTTTGTCCTCATTGAAGGGGTCACGTCAGTCAGGCAGCCGCTCATAAAAACACAATCAATACCCAACCAAGGTGGGATAAAAGCAGGAGAAAGGAGTACAAGAACGCATTGCGATGGTATCTATCGACGAAACTTTAGGTTTCGTGATTACGGGCTAGGTAGCCAGTGAGGTCACTCACCAGACGAAACGCAGAAGTATATCACTTCTTGTGTGTACTTACCCCGACGTACTTACCCATTGCAACAGAGAAGACTGTTGCGTGGACCTGCCACAGTTTTTAAGGAAAATCTCACCTGTAGCCTGCAAGGAAAAAGGCAGGAGGCTCCTGCAAGCCTCCTGCTTAATAAGAGGGCTTCCTGCCGCGTGTTGTCGTGCAGATGCATCACGAACGACCGGCCAGTGCCGCATAGACATCTCTGAGACGGTGTGGACACTTCACTAGCGAAGTATAATGTTTCACCGTTGGGAACTTTCACCGTGTACCGATTCTCTGAGTCGATTTTTGATGTCACTGAAATATGACAATGCATTTAAAGAGCTGGTAACTAATAAAGTTACGCGTCAGATGAAAAATTCATTTGTGACATGATAACTTTACTAAATTATTTAGATCATTATTTATTACAACTATACTTATGATGACTGGTGGCCTAATTGCTAAGCTATTGGCTTTGGCGTCAGGGCGTGTGGGCTCGATTCCGCGCGAGACAAATATTTGTGTGACCCCACAGATAATAACAAAACAGTAATATCAAGACTCGCGTTGTACCGACTCCACCTAGGAGGGATAATGGCACCAGGATGATGCTGTCATAAATAATAATTTAGTTTTAGGCCTGTCCTCGGAATTTTTTTCTATACTTAAATGCTTTTAAAATAATTTAAGTCTTTTAAAAGTTAACTTCGGATTTTGACAATTATCTTGAGAATGGTGTCTATTAGGTGTCGGTATTTAAAATATATTGTCAAATTATTATTTGACAATATATTTTTTATGTTTTGACTATCACGCTATGTGTGTTAGTTATATTTCATATCATTCAAAAAAGTACATATATTTAAATTGGAATCGAAAAGCAGTCGCAAAACTTTGACATTTGTGTCTAAATTAAATGTCAAATTGATTTTATTGATATTGGTTTTCTTAGAGTTTTAGACCTTGAAGGAACGGAGCCAAACTATTCCTCCATGATTTTTCAGCTACATGAGGATTTATGGCAAACAACGATACCAAAAAAATCGTAAAGTTCTGATTAAGAATAGAAAGCGCAGCCATTACGCCCGTGACGGCTGCTCGAACTGCGAGTGTGAGTCACATCAAGAGGTAGAAAACCTGTTTTCCGAGATGAAAGGGAACCTATGTCTTAATTATAAAGAAGCCATTCAGGCCTGTGTGAATATATTCATGTACGTAATCAATACTATTATTACTTTTAATTATTTTGAAACTTGACATTGCTTTTTACTTATAATTTTCCTCACAATTTCATTACACACATTATAAACTACAGACGTTCTATCACTTACACCTGTGAAAATTATAGGTTAAGCTAATTTCTATCTTTTTGTATGGCTTTTCGTTCAGAATATACATACCTAATATATAAATAATAGATTAAATTACTGTAAAAGCTTGGAATACTAAGATTCGTACTTACATGTTTACTATGTATTTATTACACGAATGAAATTTTGGCACTTACGGTCGTTCAGCTCAACAGTTTGCTGTATGAGTAAAGTTGATGTACCGATTAGGAAATCGAGACCGTGCCTGGGAATGAATTGTCCGCGACTTCGTGACTGCCAATCTACTGTAGACACTGGCAACTCGGCGCGACCATTTTCTGTAATTAAATATAATTAAACAGGAAACAAAATAAATATTTTTATTAATTAATTGAAACGTGATCATGGTCAATAGGTGCATGTTTTAAAATGTGTTTAATTCACAAATAAGAATGCAAAAAGTGTTAAGGGGGATTATAAGTTCTAATAGATTTTCAACGAGGTGGTACATTATGTGTTAATTTTATTTTCCACGTTTTGAAATGATTTAAATCTTTAGCTTAGTATATTTGATTTTTTAGGTAACGAAGTACCTAAAAAATGTACCTACTGCTGGGAAAATTCCCCTTGTACAGAGTGTATATGCGATGTACATGCGATCCCACTGCGGATTGGCGGACTTCACAAATCTTCAAAATATTCTCTTTTTATTACTGTTTCGAAAATATGCAGTTTCTCAACTTAAAATTGCAACTAACATTATGGCGGCTGGTAATATGAGGGCTTATTCTTTTTTCTTCTCAAAGGTAAAGTATAACAAAATCGAAATAAAAATATATTTATTCAAATAGACGCTTGCGCGGTCTTGTGAATCGTCAAATTTTACATCAAAGATTATGTATATAGGTTCGTAAGGTACCACCGGTTCGGAAAGTATTTTCTGTTGAGAAGAGACCGGCAAGAAACTCAACAGTTGCTCTTTTTCAAAAATATCAGGTACAATGTAATATACAGGTATAATAGTCTTATTCTAGCCTACGTGAGTATTAACAGTATTAACTCCACACATTGGCGTCGACAAGTTTGTTACATTGTCATTATGCCGTGTGGGCTAGTTTTGTTTGATAATGACGTGTAATTTAGTTTTTTTCTGTAATTTTAGTCAAACATGTAAATGAACAAAATGCAAAATCATAAAAAGTGAAAATCAAGAAAAGCGTAATCAACATGATCACAATAAATAAAACCAACATGGCGGTTGTTTACAACATTGAGAATTTCCGATCCACGTACTGTGCTTGATATTACTCACCATGTTGTTGAGGCTGTACACTTATCACCAGGTCAGGTCTCAGGCTTGTTCCGTTATCTGAAATATTCAACATCAAACAAAAAAGTAAAACCAATCTTGTATTATACATTATGAAGTTTAAAATAAAAATGTACCTATGTTATTTCTACGCCCACTGTTTTTGGGTAAGTTGACCGAAGTTCGGTCCACCAAATACAAAATTTGTATAACGTAATTTTAAATGAAAATTCGCTCTATTGGAAAACATACCGAGCTGATTAATTTTTACTGATAGCAAAATCAATGATATTGGCGCTAAACAATTTTAAAACCTTTTATACCTTCTGTAGCTGCATGGTTGTCGATGCCTTCCAGATTGTTCACTCTATTCCTTGACGAGGCCATTACTAACTTGTTTACAATTATCGTTTTCGTCTACTAAAACATAATAACGATTTATCGACGACGTGTTCACTTCAACGGTTATCAACGCTCTGTTGATAAATCTGAATTTATCAGTGTAGCACAAGCATCGATGAACGATATAGAAATGTAAACTGTATCGCGCGGGAAATGCTTCGATTTTCACGCCATACAGCTTGAAATGTGCATTATTTTCATCATTCCGCTATTCCATATCTCAGCACGGTTCTTAAGTGTGGCTTGTTTCTTCTAACAGCAAAAGACATTCCGTTTTTATATTTACAATTTCCTGTTTTAATGTATATCGAAGATAATTAATAAGAAATTATTACCTTTGAACAGTATATTGAACGTCATTTAATGATAATCAGTACTTTTTTTTGTGTAACTTAATATTTGAAGTAGAATTGACTCAATAGGGGCTAAAATGTAAATATTTTTTTTATTACTATGTAAGGAATACAGTTATAATTATTATAATTATTATAATTATAGTCATACTATTATAATTACAGTTTAAAATGATAATTTTATGAAAACAAATCTTATGATGTTAAATATAATTTACGGCGTAGCGATTTCATGGTGGTCGCGTTCTGTTATATGCACTAATTGTATACATGTCATGACGCCGAGAGCTTAACTCGCACTGTTAGAACTCTGCACTTGTGGAGGAAACGTTAAAATTTGTAGAAAAAAATGGACGTAAAGTTTTTCGCCGGAATCGAAACCACGCCCAGACGCGTTTAACACTAAACTAAACCACTGATTGCCACACCGACGAAAATCTTAACGTATTTTTTCTACATATTTATTATCGGCATGAATTTAGAAGAAAGAAGTTGGAAGTATTCGATACCCACAGCGGCGAAAACCCTTTCATTCGTTTTTTTCTACAAATTTTTAAATGATAAGTATTTTTCATTATATCATATATCATCAATAGCCGGCGATATTTATTTATTTAAACTTTCTGCACAAACATTTGTGTACGAAGGCGGACTTAATGCCATCAGCATTATCTCCCAGTCAACCTTGGGGTGGTCCAGAAAAGTTAGGGTAGGTGCATTTATTACAAATTTACAACAACAGAAAAAAAAAGCAATCAAAAGATTTTTAAATATGTACATTACATATTAAATCTACCAACAAAATACTACACTAATAATATCAGATAAAACTATACAATACCATACATATATATAAAATAAAGTAAACATATTAATGCACAATACATACACACACATAATATTAGATATACATACTTACATTCTTATATTTTATATATAAATAAATATAATATATACATACTTTATATTATATTTAACGATTCAGAGAATCTGCTGACAGTTTTTTAAGGAAGTGCTCGCGAGTTTTCCTTTTAAATGCAGAGCGACTTTTAGCAGTCTTGATTTTGAGAGGCAGCGCGTTCCACAAAATAATGGACTGAACAAAGAAAGACGAGTGCATGAAACCAGTACGATGAGAAGGACATTGGAGAAGATGGTTATGTGTCGAGCGAAGATTTTTATGATGGATTGTAATAAGATATTGAGAAAATGAGGCGATAAATAAGATGGAGTAGAAGAAGAATTTAAAAAGGAATAAAGAGTGGTTAGTGCTCTTAAGGAGCGGCGTTGGCGAATGGGTAACCACTGAAGTTGGGAACGATAGTGAGACACATAGTCATACTTACGAAGATTGAAAATGAATCGAATGCAGTTATTCAGAAGACGGTCTAGTTTGTTGAGGTGATCTGCATTCAGGTCAAAGTAGCACACGTCGCCATAGTCGATTAAAGGAAGGATTAAGGACTGCACGAGCGTAGCTTAATTTTAGATGGTAAAAAATGTTTAAGTCTGTATAGGCAACGTAGAACACTTGTGACCCTCTGACTGACACTGGCGATTTCGTCTTTCCAGCTCAGGGTCATATTGATGAGCAAACCAAGGTTTTTCACATTCTGGCTTATAGGGATCGTAGAGTTGTTGAATATTATTGGTGGAAGATTGCCTACATCTACTTGATTTATAATACAACAACTCCCAACAAGTGTTGCCTGACACTTCGAAGGATTGATAGTCAATCCGAATCTGTCGGACCACTTTTTTATAGCATCTAGGTCTCGGTTGATGTTATTGATCACAACGGATAGGCTGTCACAGGTTGCATGAGCATACAGTTGTAAATCGTCAGCATAAAGATGGTACGCACACTGAAGATGAAGAGTAATAAGATTTATGAAAACAGAGAATAAAAGAAGAGAGAGAATTCCGCCTTGAGGAACACCAGTCGTCAAATTAAGCCAGTTTGATGACAATTCACCGACATTAATTGACTGTTGGCGCCCTCGAAGATAGGATGTGAACCATTCCAGCACTTCATCAGAAACCATAATGTGGGAAAGGATGGCTAAAAGAATGTCGTGACTGACGGTATTAAAGGCGTTTGAAAAGTCAATTAAGACCATGACTGTGATTTTGGTATTATCCATGGCTGCCCTTATATCGCCAGTCACTTTTAGCAGTGCGGTGGTGGTACTATGTCCTGGCCTAAATCGAGATTGCAGTGGACTAATAAGGTTATTAGTAAAAACAAAATCAGAAAGTTGTTTAAGGACGCAGGACTCAAGTACCTTGGAAAGGAAGGGCAGGATACAAATTGATCTATAATGAGCAGGAAGTGAAGGGTTGGGGCACTTTGGAAGTGGACGGAAAAGAGCTTTCCGCCATTGGGAGGGAAAAGAACTAGTATCCAAGGAGAAATTGACGATATAGGTAATCACAGGAAGAAGGTAATCAAGGATGGGAATAATCATACGTCGGCTGATTTTATCAAATCCAACTGCATTGGACTTAATAGCAAGGATATTGATGTAGACCACGATCGTGCTGCTTGTCTGGCCGTGCAAGTTGAAGGCTTGTATTCAAAATTAAGGGGGTTATTTTGGATAGGCTTAGTCAGCATAAGAATCTACGTTTTAGTAAGTTCCGTTTGGTATATAAATGGATACTGTAAAAACAAACATGTGTCGATTATTTCCCAGTAGACCGGTGACAGAACTTATGACTCGACTAGGAAAGGACATAGTTGATCGAATGGTCAGGTATAACAGCCCAGTCAGAAAAACCTCAATATAGTACAAAAATGGCTGTTATCTAATGTTAAAATTTCCGCCACCCGTGGACATCAACAACGCCATTGGGAATGTGCAGCTCACTCGCTCACTGGACGTTATGTAAAATTTGATACTTCCACTTCACGCCAACAATCGTATGTCCCAAAGTGTTTCCCAGACAACTTTATTAGTGCAGTAACTGAAACTCTTGCGTGTCGTGCCTCAGTAAAAATAAAGGTAGAAAAGTCTCTTTAATCAAACAACTTGTATTGTAAACCATTTATATCCATGTAATATTATGTTTTAGAACATCATATTAATAAAGTAAGATAACAATCAAATATTAATTATAATCATATTGATAATTTTGTAGACAGATTTACATACTTTTAAATGATGTTTATTTCAGTAAATTGAACAATAAAATAAATATATCGGCTACGTTTCAAAATGTAACTTTGATTTTGTTGTTGTTGTCTTATAAAAGTTTGCATGTCGAAAAGTTTCGAAAAGTCGAAAAGTCGTCGAATTTTGCGCAAGACAAAGAGTCTTTTCTCCTTATGATACATTAGTTATTAGTCACATGAAAGCGAAATATTTTTATTGTCCTAGTAAAGTCTAAAGTGCTGCACTAGTGCTAAGTTGTGCTTCGTTATCCTTACGGATTTCTATGTATACTTTGCTTCCTTTTCGGATCATATCACAATCGATAAATATAAGAGTAAACTTTGGACATTCTTCACAGTTTCCTTTCGTGAATTCATATTTGAAGCCATAGGGTCAGTTGAATATATATAACATATATATATTATATGTGTATACATATTTATATATAAGAAAATTTTTGGTATAGTTTTGACTTAGATCCATAAAGATAAAATTTGAAGTTACATTTAAATTTTGGGCGTACAATATATATTTATATAAGTGTGGTAATCCCTAATATACATAGTCACGTCTAAAACAAATCATGTATAGTTATGTAAGTAAATATTTAACAACGATAAATTTACCATCTCAATACACCCAAAAACATCACCTACACAGTGAACATTCCAGCATCTAGCTCTGACCCAATTTCATACTTTAATACTGTAAGATGACGCATCAGATACAATTGCATAAAACCTACCTAGCAAAACTTCGTACAACGCGCAATACATATTACATATTTTTAAATAACATCCAACAATGAAAGCATTGGTTTTCGCGTAAATAGTAACTATTACTAGCAGTAATTACTGAGATCAACACTTAGAAACACGAACCCATACGTGTCTATGGCTGGTTAGACCCGTACGGAGGTACTTAAAAACGTCATCATTATGACACTACGAAATGGTAAGTTAACATTTCTGCTGTGATAAGTTTTAGAAAAAATACGACTATTATAAAAATCTTATTAAAACCATTTATGTTTTATCTCAACGCGACGCGTGAAACGATCGTGGTTAACATACGAGTCGGGAACCAAGTAAAACTTTGAAATTCCTATCAAGTACGTTCCAGCATAGCTGATTATCATGCCGTGATTGTTTGATTGGGACCGTTAACATTTCCTGTCGGATGTCTATCGTTGGAGCGCTCTTTGCCAGCCGATGTTCAGCTTTAACGTCGCCGGTAGACAAGGGCTGGCTTCGCACTCGCCGTCCAATTCGTCCGCCAGGCTGTCGTGCAGCTCACGAAGGGCCATCAATGCTGCTCGGGCCGCTCGCTGGCAGCTCATGTCACCCTCGCAAGTTGTGTCCGCCTCCGAGAGAAATACTAAATCGCACGTGGTCGGTGGTGCTTCGCCCTGGAATGAACACAATATGTTTAGCGAAATTTCCTCTGGTCCAGTGATGTATATGGAGGTGCTTCTGTTGTTGCACGAATGGGACTCGTTTGGGGAAGTCCCGCGTCCTCACAGAACACCGGCTTGAAGTGGAAGTATTTCACATTTAGTCTGGTGAGTGTCTAGTAACTCCGGTTTACGACAACTCCCACTTTTTTAATGGTTGGCAACGCATCTGCTACCCGTAAGGTGTTTTAGGTGTCCATGGGCGACGATAATCACTTACCATCAGGTGAACCGCTTACTTTTGTACAAACTTTTCACATAAAAAAGAAGCCTTAATGGTCAAAAAGTGGAAGGGGGTCTTACGCATAAATAACAAATTTGATGTAAGCTGCAGTGCGGCAGGAAAAGTTGTCCACGATCGCCGGCCAGCAAGTCTACACCGCGGCATCTTTGAATGATTTTGGCAAGCACCGGGCATGGTCCTGATGAACCTGCTGTAAATTTGATTTATTTAAATTGATTTTCCTCTTATATGTAAATAATGAAAATTATGTTGTTCAATGCAAAATTACCGTTTGACGGCATCGGTGTTCGGTGTCGTCCACTTCCACCCATGTAGCCCTCCGAAAGCTGTTCTTCTATTTTTCCATTCAAATAATGTCCTGCACCCTGCTCATCTTCAAAGTCATCAAACTTTTCATCATCTTTGATGTAATTGGATACATCTTTTGTGGTTGATATGGCTTTCTCTTTTTTAACTGCTACTCTTTTAGATTTAAGGTCCTCGTTCTCGGTTGATAATTTCATGTTTACTGCCTTCTGTGTTTGTAGACTTTGTTTGAATTCTTTAAGAGCTTTCCTCATTTTTTCCAAACTATACGCAGCAGCTAAGCGAGACAGTAATTTTTCTTTCATCTCCTGTTCTTCTTTGGAATCTAGTTTTTCACCGACGTTGGAGAAGTGCAAGGCTTCGTCAACAATTAAACCTTCCATATTTCTTAACTTCTTGTCAATGTTATCTAGTTTTGAATTATTATCTGAAGCACTATTACGTTTCTTATCGTTTCGAATTCCAACGACTTGGGCACGATCTATCTGTATTTCTGTTTCTTCATTTGGTTTCGGCTGGATAAAATTCCTTTTGACGTTAATATGTTTTTCATAGGAGTTGAGCGGGTAGATTACTTCCTTGCTGAATGTATTGAAATACTGTTTTCTCAATCTATCTTGGTTCAAATCGTTAACAAAAGAAACCGATTTCTTAAATCGCTTATCAACTCCAAAGTAATCTGACCAGTCTATAGATTTCTTTTTTATTGTTATTGGCTTTTCAGTTTTTTCGTGATCGTGTTGATCGTGATCATGTTGATCGTGATCATTTTTATCGTGATCGCGATGATCATGATCATGATGATCGTGATTATCATATTCGTGGCCATAACCACGGACATGACCATTTTTGTGTATGTGTACATGAGAATGATCGTCTTCGTGATTATGAGCGTGATCCAGGTGATGATCATGGTTAGAGTCGTGTTCTATTTTTTGACCAGATAATCCAGGATGGTGTATTGCGTGGTTGTGCTGTTCATGGCTGTCTTCATCAAGATGCGTCCCGTTATATTCGTGAGTGTCATTATGGCTTAAAATCGTTAAGTTAGGCGGTTTAATTTCGTGCGAAGTTTCGTCATGAACACTGCTTCTTTTAACGGGAGACTTAATGATTTCAGGTTCAGGTTCTTCAAAGATTCTTGATAAGTCTCTCAAAACTTTCGGATCCGTACCTGTATTGCTTCGAAACGATTTTGATACCTCCCGTGTGTTTTGGTCTTTGGCGAATCTCTTCTTTTGAGGACTGTAATAAGGACCACTACTACGTTTAGATACTGGAAAACGTTTCTCAACTGAATCATAGGGATATGGTTCATCATCTAAAATCTCTGATAAACCTTCATCATCAATTGGCTGAAAAGCTATAGCGTATTCTTCACGCATGTCATCTTTGTCATTGTCAGACAGGTCATATGCATTATAATTACGACCAACATTTTCCGAGCCACGGTTACTATTCTCGTCATAATTTAGTATTGTTCGGTCTTCATCGAAATCAGAGCTGCGTTTCTTTTTGAAAGCAATAGGACCCCAATTGTTAGGGTACCTCTTTCTGACTACTTTCTCTTTGTAAAGTTTGACAATGCCCTGGGGTGCATCTGCATTGGCGTTATGCGGTTTATTGTTATTGTGCTTATATTTTGACCATAGTTCACCAAGTAACAAGGCATATTCGGCATCGCTTTCGGCTTTTTCTGGCATCAAGTGTTTTTTGCTGTCCACTTCGTTAGAATCCATGAATAAATTTCGCAGCATGTCATTATCGGAGTGTTGGCTTCTTTCGCGGAATGCAGATTCTTTTTTTAACGCATAATCAGGATTATCAAAATGGGAGTTTTTCTTCCGTATTACTTTATATTCGTATGCTTCTGGAGGTCTTTGATCCTCATCTAAAAGCTTGACAACATATTTCGGAGTTGGTTCCTCATCCAAGTCTTCTACATCTACTGCATAGTCAGGCTCTGTAATAATAAAATATATTTTAATACTTTAATGGTCTTTTCCATTGTGAAAATAATGCAAAGAAATAATAACAATAATAATTAGTAACAAATTCCCAAGGAAGAAAAATATCATTCATGGCCTCTTCACGGCCCGGTGAACTTAATGCCAATAAGCATTAAATCCTGTCTTGCAATTCCTATTCAAGGTGTTTGCGATGAATAATAAAAATGAAGCATTGAAATACTTATTTAGACCTTCGACTGTATAGGCGATTGAAATTATTTTCGACTGACCTGGGTAAGCCTGTGGTGGGACAAATTCGTATAGCGCATCGTAGTCGGGTATAACAGGGCCGTAATCCCGTCCCCTCTGCCGCCGCTGCAGTGCCTCCAAGGCGCCCCGCAGGGACGAACCTCGGTCCGCGCGGTCAGCGATCGAGCTCGCGACTGCTACAGCGAGCACCACCCACGCCAACCTTATTGTCATCGTGCTTACTCTGCGAATTGGTGAACCATCATTATTCAGGCAGTACCGATATAAAGATACAGGCTATTCAAAGTCAGTCAAAATTTCGTTATTCAATATACGAGTATGTATACTTATTTTAAGCTCTTATTGAACGTCAAAAACTACCACCGGTTCACTAAACTAGACCTGTTCAGAGAAGAACCGGCAAGAAAGTTAGCGGTCTTATCTTCTTTTCTTTTTTTTTTGAATTAAGTAAGTACGCAAAAGTGTTTAAGGATTAAATTAGCAGGAGGCAGGGGACTTGCAGAGCAAGAGACATTTCCACACATCCTTGTCTTCAACGCATTCCGCGGCATTGTAATAGGCCCTCTCCATTTATGTAGCTTTTACAAAATGTTTGAAATTATTTACACTTAATTGTTTGTGGATTTTACCTATTTTATTTTATTATACATCTACCAAGAAACGATTTCCTGGTTTTGGCTAGTCGTATTATTTCCTCAGTATTTCCAGTATGTCACCACGGCCCCGACGCGAAGAGACAAGTCAAGTGTGAAATGATTCACCAAATAAATTAATGAACTATGACAAGAAAACCGCCCAAACACCGGATGCAGATGTGAGTTGGAGTCGAATCTTATTTTTTAGTATTTGGCAGTTTTAGCACAAATACAAATTATTAATAATTTCCACTTCTTGATTACAATACAGAAACAATAAAGAAATGTTTTTCTCTAAGTAGTTACCTATTTATGTACTCATACTGTAAAATATATCAAAATTAAATAAATTCGGTCTTCTTTGGTTCGGAAGTGGTAAGAAATATTCTCTTATATAGTTTGTGAAATTTGGAAATCCTGGATATTGAAAGCATTATTTTTAGATTCATTTAAAATAATTGCTTTAAATGTAACAAAACATTATGAAGAATGTTGAGGGTTATATTGTTAGGGTGTGTATTGTAATCGCACCTTTACTGATTCACAAAAGTGATAAACTCTCGTTTAAAGCCAAAGCGCGAAAAACATGAAATATACAAACAACAATGATAAGAAGTTGAAAATAACAAATATTACTAAGTCACAAGTGTCATACGAAGTGTCCACCGCCTTATAAATTTCCTTTCTTTTGAAACTAAAGGAGGCTCGTGCATCCCTTATTTGTTCCCTTAATCGACTGTCGTGTAGTTTGACCTGAACTCAGATCGCAGTAATAAAGTCGGATTGACATCTGAATATCTGCGTTGGATATATTTTTCAATTATGTTCAGATATCTCTTTCCATTGTTCTATTATTTATTTATTTCTCTCAAGAGCTTCACGTCACGGAGACGAAGATGCTAAGGTGGATGTGCGGCGTCACGCAGGCTGACCGCATACGTAATATATTCATCCGAGGCAGTCTCGGGGTCCATAACATAGCGGATAAGCTCCAAGAGCGGCGCCTGAGATGGTATGGCCATGTCGCACGCCGGTAGGAAAAATATGTCGGATGGATATGCCTTGATATGCCTGTCCCGGGAGCTAGACCACCTGACCGCCCAAGGAAGCGTGGATGGACGTTGTGAAGCAGGACATGAGAGCCAATGGACTGACCTATGAGGATGTCGAAGATCGGGCAAAGTGGAGGAGTTTAGTAGGAAAGCAGACCCTGGCAATTGCTGGGATAAATGCTAGGTAGAAGAAGATCTCTCTCTATTGTTGACCACCTTTTATTCAACAACGCTATTTTTTACTGTGAGCTTTCATCTTTTAATAGTTTTTAATTTCAAATTTCGTTGGCAATTTTTTCTTTAAATGGAACCAGGTTTCCACTTACTTAAAAATATTACTTGAATGATTGTATTGTTGTATACAATATATACATAATATGATTTTATGTCTATTACATAAAATATACATAACTTTTTTTAGAGTATTTTATATTATTTGCATAGGAGAGCCATGAAAGGGTTGCCGGCAACAATGAAATTGTTAATTTTAAGTGCTGAATTATCACGTCCTCAACGGTGAAGGTAAACATGAGAAAATATTTTCAATATATTTTCAAAATAAGAGTGCATATTTTCAAAATAACAGTGCAAATAAGAGTGCATATTTTCAAAATAATAACAAAAAATATTTCCAAGATATGTTAAGTCTGCCATGGGGTTAAGTCCACCGTGGGGTTGTGTGGTGGAGTATGCCCTAATACCTTCTGTACAGAGAAGACCTTTGCCCAGCAGTGGGACATATATAGGCTATTACTCTACTATACTACTTTTAGTGTACTTTATGATATATCTTTAACTAAACGAAACCAAATTAAAGGGTATATAAAATAATTTCGGGACTAAGTCAAGTAAGATATTAAATAACAAAGAAAAAGTATCTGTTGTCTATAGTATGATGTCAACGATGTTATCCGGAATTACTGTGTCTACGTTGATACTTTATGTTATCGAAATATCGCTGATAAACTTTATTATCAGCGCTTTATAACTGTAAATATGGAAGATTACTATCGATTCTTAACTTTAGGTTGGGTCTTAAGGTGTCCCTTAATGTTTGGGATCGATGGTAATAGTTTTGAATACCGTAGTGAACATAGGAAGGCGTTATATTAGAAAGAACGAAGAAATATTTCGATGAGATTCCGTAGAAAAACTTTTGGGTATTGTATAGAAGACCAAGAGCATGTCTCGATTATAAAATCTTATACATAATCAAGCCAATTGGCAAGAAACAGCCCAGAATAGAGAGCAGTGGCGTCTTTTCGTGTCGGAGGCCAAGATCCTCTTTGGGTCGCTGAGCCAGCCAAGTAAGTATACATAATCAACTCGCAATACTCGCATCACACTCGAAGTTTGGATAGAAATTCAGTCTAGCTTTTCCTACATATTCCAATTTTCACAAAATATAAAGCTAAACTTAATATATTTCGATTTTTAGTGATGAAATTCGTAATTAGTATCGTAAAATTTCATAATGAGCATTAACATTTGTTCATTATAGAGATCGTGATCCCCAAGGTTAACGAATGGTAATAGAGTAACGTGAAAACAATGAAATAAGTTAATGTCATTATTTTTCGTTAGATAATGTCATCTTTAATGTTACTGAATTTCGACGATGGGCATCGTCCGCATGGATGTTTTGCCCAGAGCGAACAGTCACTGAAAATATAAGTCATACAAAATTATTAGGTTTTATCAGTGACAGTTAGAAAAATAATATAGTCACAGGTTCAAATCTTCACAGCGGCGAGAAAGTTGCCGTCCGAAAGTTTTCTACAAATTAAAAAAAAAAGTATAGTAATTATAATAATAATCTTTATTCAAATTACAAACTTTTAGGTTACAAAAATTACAAGCACATTTGTGATAACATATTGAAAATTATTGAAAATTAAACATTCTATGATCTATATGTATACTTTTATCGTATCCAGGTGCTTCTATAAAAAAATATTTAAAGTTGTTTTTGAGAGGATTTTTAACATAAAGCGATCCGGAGAAGCACTGGATTTACATACACTATCATGTCAAAACATTTTGGAGAATTTTAAAACAATAGGTTTAGAAAAAATTATGTAGTGGATGGTAAAATCAGCACATGAAGTCGACTGGTATACCTTTACTTTAGTATGGTCGTTTTTGCATGTTAGGCTGAAGAAGAACTCAATTTCTCAGGTAATTGCATACATAGTAGTTTGCAACCTTTTCAGTTATTTTAAGCCTCGCATACAAAGACGCGAGGCAAGCTATTAATTAAAAATGACATACGGCTAATTGACCAACAACTGGGAGCCCGCAGATTAAATGCAATGTTAGCAATAAATCCTTCCACATCATTGTTCATTGCTATAAATTTAAACTTGAATATTTCCCTGATTTATAATGGCTATCAGAGAGTCAATAAAATCATGTTAAAGAGTTTTTAAATGTATGTATTCTGATTTAAATTGTGTTAAGCTCTGATCGTTTTGTTCTGCCATCTCGAATTTTCAAACCCTAAATACTCTGGCCGGTAATGGGCAGTGTTAAAGATGCGCGGTGTCTGGAAAACCTGCTCGCCAGTCATGGCAACATTTCCAAAATCCTAAGCAGTGAACACACAAACAGGCTGAAATAATGATAATTATGGTGAAGTTCTGTTGCAAAAAAAAAATATAATTTATATATATTCACGGACTTGTAAAATTGATTGTGAAAAATCCGTAAATGGAGACTCGCTATATATGAATGTTCTGATAACCGAAGCAAGTTCGTCTAGCCATTTTCGTATACTCCACCGAGCTTATGTGAATGTTAATTGTTCGATCATTTCAAATATAAGGCAATTGTTAATTTGTGCTATAATTGCCAATCCCTGTCAGAAGGATGGCTTATATACTACGACCTATATATTAATATCAATACGTGAACCAAAAGCTTTGTACCCCTTTTTACGAAAATTGCGCGGAGGAGTATGAAATTTCAGACACTTATAGTTTATATAGAGATGGAGTGCAAACTGCTCATATATTTTTGAATTATGCATAAAGCACACATTGAATCATCATTAAAAAACGTTACGCACACTACCAGGTATAATTTATTTTGGTCGAATTTCGACCGCTGGGCGACTAGTAGTTAAAAATTAAAATGTCACAATTAAGTTATAAAGTAATGTCAAATTAACTCTGGCGAATTATTCGCTTAGAACCGAGACCAGTCCCTGAATAATAATGTAATTAAACAAAAACGAAAAATAATTAGGTGATATAGTAATGTAGGACGTTATTTTTTTTTATGCGAAAAGTTGCCAAACGAGCAGACGGGTCACCTGATGTTAAGTGAACACCGCCGCCCATGGACATCTGCTACACCCGAGGGTTACAGATGCGATACAACCTTTTAAAAATTGGGCGCCGGCCACCTCACTCACCAGACGAAACGCGAAATTATTTGTCATACTTCCACTTTACGCTGGTCTTCTGTGAGGTCGTGGTACTTACCCGGACGGCTCTGCCCGTTCGTGCAACAGCCGAGGCTGCTGCGTGGCCCTACCACCGTTAAAATTATTTATAAATGGAAGGTTATATGCTTTGAAAATTAGCAGCACATATTATTCTACTTTTCTACCTTTCTCTTCCTTTTAATAAATTAACTATTTTTTTCTCATAAGCTATAGCAAGCATACCTTCAAAATGATATTTGAGTAATTATTTTGATAATGAATTAAGAGGGATATGAAGTAGTCACAAAAACACCTTTGAGAACATATATACATATCTGTTTTAATAAAAACATAAAACTCTGTATGATTTTATTAAGTATTATTAATCCTCTAATTAAATTAGCTTTCGACGTTGAATAACCATCGATAAAACACCCATAAAACGAGATCGTATATGACACTTCTGATGTCTTAATACTCCGAAAGCAATTTAAAAGACTTCTTCTTTGTGTCACAAAAGCACCCTAAGTTATAAAGATGAACATAGCCCTTTACATTGCTCCTTAAGCTACGACCGCGACGCCTGCGAAATTGCACCGATTTGGGATTATTTTGTGGTTGGAGTGAGTCTTAAAAGTACGTACTTAAGTTTTAACAGCTTGCGGATACATTCAACTGTCTTTCTCGGGAGGTCATCCAAATGTTGTTTTTTTATCGCACTTTTATTACATTGCCCTACAGGTAACGAAGTTTTAATTTTCCTCCATAATGAATTTAACAAAAATTACTAGGAATATAATTCATTATGATTACAATCCATTCAATCGATATTGAACGTCCATAAGTAAAAACTTGATGAAGTTAATATTTTAGCGCTGATTGTGGTTTATGGTTTCTGAGTGCGCCTTATAGTTTATTATTACCATACCATAAATTTAATTTGTTATACCCTGTAAACAAGCACATTTATTTTAAGTTTTAAGGTACTTTTGACACTACTGCTGACCTTTCTTCAGAGTTGAAAGCGACCATCGTGGGTTGTTAGTCAGTTGCTAGCCTACGTTTCCTAGTTTTGTTGCATCTCACAACACTGGGCTCAAAGTGGACCTAGATTTGGAGCTAGACAATTTTAATTATTTAAATTGTATGCACCACCTAAACATATTTATTACATTCGACATTCAAAAACGTACGTGAGTTATTTATTTTAATTATTACATTTACGTATAATTCAGGAGTGAAAAAAGTATATTATAAATCTTTTTGAATTTATTTATAAACCGTCAACGGAAAGTCAAAATATCTCATATTTATAGCCCCGACGGCGACCCGATTGCCGTAGTTTGCATTGGCCCTGCCTCTTGCGCCAGTGGGTTCGATCTCCACTACTGGTAAAATATTTTTTTTTTATTTTTTTTTAAAGAAAAAAAAACTGCCTTTACTTTTAGGATAATATCATCCTGAGTTGTAAAGGAAGTTTTACAAACATAAATTTCACGCGGACAAACACCCAGATGCGAAACAACTATCTGTGGGTCACACAAATAGTTGTCCCGTGTGGGAATCGAACCCACGACCCCCGACGCCGAAGCCAATACCTTGGCAACTGCACCACGGAGTCATCGTATATTGTGTGTGTTGTACATATTATATGTATTTATTTACGAAAGAAAAGTATGCTTGTGAGTTATCTAGTACCCAAATTACAAGTGTTGCTTAGTTTACAACTAGAAAACGTTGTGTAATGATTTGTCCTGAAACATTTATTATTATTATTTATTATAGTTCGTAAATCTCTTTTACAACCATGTGCGACGTTGGTATTATTAAAATGTCAACAGGCGCATTAAAAACCTTTATGTTCAAAGTACCCATCCAATAATGGTTAAAATAAATCACCCCTAGTACTTTTCACGCTGTGGGCGAAAGCTCGGCGCGCGCTTTGAATTATTACCTTAATACCTTAGCCATAATACCTTAGCATCTTAATATGTCCCATAACACTAGTGTAATATAAACATTTCGGTAATATTGTGCGTTTATTAAGGGCATCATAATTACATAAATGACATATTTGACCGTAATTATAATCATAACTATCCCTCTAAGGATTTTACTTGATATTAAAACGTTATCATATATCATATATCATAAAAAAATTCCACTGATTTATCAATAGAAGTTTTACTTATACCTCATCTAAGTATATTTAAAATAAAAATTTAAATGTTTTTATTACAAAGGCAAATGTTTATCTTTTTACTTTTTACTCAACCCTCCTTGGAAATAAATACCCAGACCCAAAAAACATATCTGCTTTCACGCAAAAACATCACCTGAGTGGAAATCGAAGTTACGATGCCGGCACAAAAGCCAATAGCTTAGCAACTAAAAAAAAAGTGTGTGCGTGTAACCTTTACGCGCGATTGAAGTAAAACTTATTTGGCGTTGACGGCATATATCACTGAAATGATTAAATATTAACTTAAATAATATCATATTATAATTTAATTATATTTATTATTCATGTGCTTTACAAAGATTATTCAAATGTTATATTAATATTAAATTATTCATTCGAAACTTACTTGAAGTTAGGTAAATGTCATCATAATTTCTTACGTATGAAATTATGATGACGTTACTTCCGTTAGAAAAAGCGTTACTTCCGTCGGAAACAAAAATCTGAGTTACTCCCTAGTCGCGCCTAAAGAAGTTTTACTTCAAAAACATTTTATTGAATTACAATAGCGAATGTCATTTAATTAAATTATTTAGTATTATCATTCAATTAATTTATTAAGTAGGTATATGGGATATATGAGCTAGACAAAAATGACAGTTAACGTCAGCCGTAGACTAACGGCCGGTTTCTGAAACAGTGATCATCGTAGATGCCAACTAATCGGCTGTCAAATGGATTTTCAAATGTTATTTGAGTTGCCAAAAGGATTGTTAAAATCGCTGAATTGATCAGAATGATCTTCTAAATAATCAGAATGATCAATTCAAGAATTTAAAAACACTTTTGGCAACTCAAATAACATTTGAAAAGCCATTTGACAGCCGATTAGTTGACATCTACGATGATCACTGTTTCAGAAACCGGGCGTTAGTCTACGCTTCGATTACACCGCTCAACGCTTTGATAACACCTTAATCCTTCTAACGTATCGTATGACATTGTATTTTTTTTTTTGTTTTTGACACAAGACATTTCTCTTATTTAAATAGTTAAAGAGGTATAGACCTACAAACATTATTCGAATTACATCGCAAGACGTGATACTGTGTGTATAGAGACGTTATTAATAACATAGTTTCAATATGCTTGTTTAATGTCGAGTCATTAATTTACCGTTAAGTTTGACATTCATTTGACCTATCCATTGTATAGTAAAAATATTACGTAGGTACTCTGTATGAAACCTTTGTTAAGACTTATAAAAGTACAAGTGTAAATATTCTTAAACATATCTGTTTTTAAATAAATGCTTATCTATGACACACTATATCACAAATACGAAAAATTTTCGTACAATATTTTTTTCAGTAGTGGGGGTCGAACCCACGCCTTCGGACCCAAAAGACAGGTTTTGATATACACAATTCCAATCAGGTTGTATGTAGATATAGATATTTCTCAAAAGTCGGTTATAAATGGTAAAATTGTTTGTTTAGAGAGAAATAGAATCTCTCCTTTAAGAACCACTTCATAAAATTTAAGACCGTGTTGTCAATGTCCAAATAATTCGAAAAAATATTCAATCCATACTTCTTTACATACAGTAGCTTTATGAGGCATTAATCGATACTAAAGAAGCGTTCCTCGAGTAATAAAATGGTCATAAATTATTGGCCCCCCTTTGTTTGACTTGCGGCAAATGTAATATATTTGGACGTTAATTAACCGAGACAAAGCATTCGGAGGTTAAACACGTACATAAATACATATGTTTACATGTCTAGTTTTATATTATTAAACGAAGGAGACAAAGGTTTTAATACATTTTAGAACGCTGTATAAAAACGTGATCCGTCATCCGTTTTCAAACAAAGATCTCAACCGACAGCCTGAATAAAAAATGTAGGTCATATTTTTGTTGCTCTCCAAACACCTGTTACTTTGGTTTTCAGCTAGCATCCGGTTAGATGAAGTGATACTGGGTATATATGCCGATAAAGATGAGAGATCCGGGACTTACCTTAATGCATTTATCGCGGGGACACGGAAGCCAGCACTGTTCGGATTCCAGAGACGTCCGCTTGCTTCGGCGTCTGGAAAACAACTGGTATCCCAAAGCGAGGCTTGCGCGAGCAGCTGCGCGCACCGGGGCGCCTAGAAGTGCCGGGGTGGCCGGGGTGGCGCTGGCTACCCGGTATCAATGGTACCGCCGGAGGTACCGGTGCGGACCGGGCGGGGGGAGGGGTTACATAACGCCCCGGATCGATACCGTGGGCGGCGGTAACGCTTAGGCACTGTCCACGCTGCTCCAGCCATTGTTTCGCAGCGAGACGACGGGCACAAAGTCAAAGTCGTAATTTCACACTCAAATTGACCTTGGTCGATAGCACTGATGAACGAGATCTACCACATATTGAATAAAAGACCACGGTGACGGACATTACCAAAATAATACGAAGATTGTAAGACGTTTAAAAGTCAGGGTTTCTTTTTCTTCGTCCCGCATAAAATGCCAGCAACGCTTTTGAAACTTCTCAGGGTTTGTGGTCCTCGTGGGTGAGTAGGTCGCTTATTGCGTTTGCAAAGATGACCTGTATCCATCATTGTCCATCGCAAATGCGACTGCGGGTTAAGACTGCGCTGGCCTGTTATTGTATTTGCCAATTCGTAATACAATCGCAAAGTATACTTCACGGTGCCCCGCTAGGGAAATCGATAAAGTTAACGAATACCGAATTGATACTACAAGCGCTCGGATGCTTCTGAGTACCCCTGGAAGTGGATCGCGATAATTGTTGATGTATAAAGGGAATTTGTTTAAAATTCTTTTCGTTTGATGCGAAATATAATGAGTTTGACTATCTGTTAAACATCAATTATCGCTTCGTATTTGTTTGAATTAAGTAAAATGGAAAATTAGTGTTAGTTAAGAAAATACAATATTTAATAATTACTGGTTAATTAATAAAAAGTTAATTATTTATGATTATAAATGAGATTTATTTATCTGAACAATGATTTTATTTTTAAATCAAATATACGAGTACTTTTAAAACTCTAATTAATAATCAGTTTAATATCGGTAAAGATGCTATAAATGCATATATGAAAACGCAAATATTGTTTTACAAAAATATATTACAAATCTAGATAAGCAATAACAATAAACGTAAACATGATTGAATCATTTAATGCCGGTCTTTTTGACACTCTTTCCTGTAAATGATTCGCGTATACGTCGAGCTGTATTTGAGCTTCTTAAACATGTCGCCCATTTCTCCAGTTCATAACTCAATTCGAACAATCTATTGCGACTTTTAGATATGTTATTTAGAAAAATAAAACTGTTTGTTATGTACTTATTATAAAGATACATTAATTCCTCTTACATGCGAGTATATAACCTACATTTTAAATTCTGCTCACAATTATTCGGCGAATCGCTATTTTCCTACTTCCTCAGTAAAATTAAAACTCTTCTCCCACATGTCTTTCTGTTATCTTCTTTCAAATAATCATGCTATGTGACATGAGCTTTATTCCCCTATAACCAATGCAGTTCTGTACATCAATCACCCGTTCTTTTATAGATGGGAACCATCCAGCGAAAGTATCATTCCTTTGATTTGTTGCAATAATTTATTAGAAAACCAAGTCATCTATTTCAATCCATCAGCTTTCAAACACTTCCATGCATCAACTGGTATATCATCCAGGCCTTCACCCATGCATTTTTCAAACCTGGCACTACCTTTTTCACTTTATATTTATCAACTTGTCGCACCATATTATCTGATGTATTTTCTAACATTCACCTCCAGTCATTTTCTTCAATTATCAATCGTTCAAAGTATTATTTTCACCGTTCCCTTATTTCCTCGGCATTCACTAGTACCTTTCTTCAGCTATCTTTCATGCATTTTATACATAATTATGTATTGTATCCTAGAAAAACTATTTTCTCGCCTTTGTCAAATAGTACAGGTATTTTTGTGATTACGGGTTCTGTAGTAATTGGTAAATTTTATCTTTGGCAGCAGCAATAGCTCGCTTTGCACTTCGCTTTTTTTTTCAATTCTACATTTCTATCATCAACACTATTTCACTCCACTATGTTTCAGTTTTTCCAAACACTTCCTTCGCTATACTCCATATACAATCCGCCATTTTAATCCAGCATTCATTTACATACGTCATTTCTATCTCCTTCATTTCTGACATTCTATCTATACAACTTTATTTCAAAAACATTCTGCATACTCATACTTCTACAACATAGTATATCATTTTATTTTGGGTAGGGGTTTTATTTTACGGCTGTTTATAGAACCTAGATTTTTAAGTCCTATACCAGGCACGTAGGAGATGTTGAGAAACGAAGCCCTCACCGAGTACTAATTTACAGTTTTTGACGCGCCTTATTGCGCCTTCAACGCATATAGACTACTTTCTCCTCAGGAGGAGAAAGTAGTCTATTTCCAATAAATTGAATGGCTGCCTCTATTATAAATTGCGAGTTATAGATCTATAATATATAAATAATAAAATAAACTCTTCCCGTTTGATGGACAGACTTTTATGAGGTTATAAATAAAATCCAACTGTAAAAAGAAATGTGATCAAATTTAATGTTAATTATTTTTCTCACTCCATGTGAACGCCGTTTCACAATCTCTATAAGACTTCGGACGGTCTTTCGACGCGGTATTTAATTGAAGATTCCACAGAGATGCCTCACCAATTATTGCTTAGAATTAAACAGCATAATGCGAATGTCTTGGAACTGATAGCTATTCGTGTCCTTATTTTCAAGATTAGAAAAATAAGATACTATTCAATAATGTTTATTCGAATTCTTAAGAGACTAATTCTAACTGGAATTTACTTCAAGAAATAATGAACAATAGAACAAAACGGTTGGTTTTCAAAATGTTTACTATTTTAAATCACGAAAAACAAGTTAACACATCTTGATCATATTATTTGGTGGACCATTTCAATAGAAAACACCAGAAATTTGACTACAATTTATTAGTAAACTTAAGACGCGTGAATTGATATATTTCACTGTCTTAAATAAGTTTTTAAAGTAAACATGTCTGACAGCGATGCACTCTTTATGGACATTTCTATGATTTAATATTCCGGTTTCTAAACGTTAGTTTTTTTTTATTTAATCTTTACATTTTTCCCTTAATTCGACTTGTGTGAAGCCGGATTGAGCAACTAAATGCGTAATATAGCGAAATGTTGTTTATGAATTACAAAGTAAAAGGGAAGTCTTAAAAGTTCTTATAAGCGTTTGCTCAAATGTTTCGCTTTTGATAAATTGCTTTGATCATAAATTAAGTAAAGCACCCTTTGTGTAATTGCTGTATATAAAAGGGATTTATGATGGGGAATAATTTTATAAGCTCGACTCAAATCTTTATTATGTAAGAAATTTGTAAGTAAAATAATATTTCCATATTTTTATACGTTTGAACTGTTCTTACTGCCAAAGTGAGTTATATCTTAACCAATAGAGGGCACATCACATGAAAACATTTTTATTAATTTCTTTCTTGAGGGGCTCACGAATTGCTAATGATGATTACCGGATATTAAACATTTTTTTTTTTAATTATTGTCATATAATTACGAATACTTATAGTATTCTGAACAATTTTGCCACAGTTTTGTGTTTGTATTAAATCAGTTAAGTCGTGGATTATAATGTTGCCCATAAAAAATATGAAATCAAATAAGATATCGTTGTTTGCGTTTCGTTTGGTGAGTGAGGCCGGACCTCACTTTTCCAAGGTTGTCAAGGCAACGGCAAGCCCTTAGGTATTGTAGCTGTCCAAGGGCAACAGTACTACCGCCTCACTTGAAAGTTTTTCATATGAAAAAAATGATATGCCATCAAATAGATACTCAATTATACGTGATTTCTAAGATCAGTATCACCTCTATATCTACCCTCTATATCTTTTTAGGCAAAGCTCTAGATATACAGACGCTTAAGACGTTTTCCATTGAAAACCATAATAAGCCTTTGTTCCAAGAACGAGCACTTATAGTTGAAATGTTACACACAAAGGGACGGTGTGGGCGAGGAGACGTGTTATTTCTACTTTTACATCGAATTTATGCTTCGAAGAATGGTTTCCAACAAAACTTGTCTCCGTCAACGTCCATCACATAACATATGCGTTGTTTTTTCACGTAAATGAATGATATATCAGATTTTAAAATGCTGCCAACATTTTTCGCTGGCGATATTTGAAACCCGAATAAGTATTTAAAAAATGAAAACAAAAATTTTTCTTCTCAGCAAGGTTAAAATAGAGACATGAATCACATAATTTCTAAGCATGATTTAAAGGGTGAAAATATTTTATTTTAACATGATTTTGTAATACTTAAAATTTTGATTAATGAACGGTATAACGATATTTAGTAAAGAATAAGTCCGTGAGCCTGAGCCACCTGCATCCATCGACTTCCCGCGCATTTGCACAGGTCGTCACTCCATCTAGTGGGGGGTCGTCCCACACTGCGATGGCCAGTACGAGGCTGCCACTCGAGAACCTTTCTTCCCCAACGGTTATCGGTTCTACGAGCTATATGGCCGGCCCATCGCCACTTCAGCTTGCGCAGGTGGCTCAGGATCGTACTTCATGGCAGTCTGTGAGGGAGGCCTATGTTCAGCAGTGGACTCAAACAGGCTGAAATGATGATGATGATGATGATGAAGTCCGTGATATTTGAACACAGTTTATGCCATATCTATCTACTATCACATTGAGACAAGTTTTAACGATCGTTTAACCTAATGGAGTAGTCAAATGTTTACATTTCTTCTTTGAAAGCGTGTCGCACCGCCCCATTATAGGGGTGAAGCAATCAATATAAATTATCGTATTTATTTTGGTAACTACTTCGTTATGAACACAGGCTGGTTTCTTTAAAGATGAGGAAGAGGTTTACGAAGATGTTGACTTTTTTTTTAAATTAAATATATTTTTGAAGTTATACTTCTTTTGGCGTGATTGTAAAAATATGAGAGTAAAATTTTTACAACGGGCGCACACCGGATATGAATGCAAAGCGATCAACTTCACGGTGTTACCTTTGCAACCAATAGTTAGTAGTATCTTTTTGACATTTACCTACCTATAATTCCCAATTTAATGCCTTTTTCACAAACAAGGAGTAATTAAAAAAAAGTAAAGTATCAGCCTGTACATGTCCCACTGCTGGGCAAAGGCCTCCTCTGTACAGAGGGTATCAGGGCATAGTCTACCACGCAGCCCCACTGCGGATTGTCGGAC